TCTCACTCTCGTTCTCTCTGTCTCGCCCTTAAGTTACCTGTCTTGAAATCGATAAGTTATAAAAATTAAAACTGAAAAGTATAAAATAATTACATTTAAATGCATTATTCATCCCTTTTCTGCAGTCTGGCGTTCAGGGTCGTACACAGAGGGGGGGGACAGACAAGTTTACATTTCTACTTACTAGACAAGTTTACAGTGCCAGTCTGCCAGACAAGTTAACATAAATGGATAAGTTTACAATGGCAAAAAAGTTTACAGTGCCTGACATTTTTTGCATTGCTAGTCAAGTTTACAGAACCAGACAAGTTTACTGTACGAGACAAGTTTACAGAGCTAAACAAGTTTACAGTACAAGACAAGTTTTGCATTGCTAGACAAGTTTACAGTGCCAGACAAGTTAACAGCACTAGACAATTTTTAAATTGCCAGACAAGTTTACAGTACTAGACAAGTTTACAGCACAAGACAAGTTTAGAGTACAGACAAGTTAACAGAACCAGACAAGTTTAAAGTACAAGACAAGTTTACAGAACCAGACAAGTTAATAGAACTAGACAAGTGTTCAGTACGAGACAAGTTTTCAGAACCAGACATTTTTACAGTACCAGACAAATTTACAGTACCAGACAAGTTTACAGCACCAGACAAGTTCACAGAACCAGACAAGTTTACAGTGCAAGACAATTGTTTACAGAACCAGACAAATTTACAGTACCAGACAAGTTTACAGTACCAGACAAGTTTACAGCACCAGACAAGTTCACAGAACCAGACAAGTTCACAGAACCAGACAAGTTCACAGAACCAGACAAGTTTACAGTGCAAGACAATTGTTTACAGAACCAGACAAGTTTACAGTACCAGACAAGTTCACAGAACCAGACAAGTTCACAGAACCAGACAAGTTCACAGAACCAGACAAGTTTACAGTGTAAGACAATTGTTTACAGAACCAGACAAGTTTACAGTGCAGCAGACAAACCTACTGTGCCAGACAAGATTACAGTGAACAAATTCAAAATTTAACATCTGACCTGCCTGCAGCAAACTAATTAAATTGAAAACAAAAGGGTGCGTATATTGCGCGACACATACTTAAATGGAAATCTACGAAGCGTCAAATACTGTCTGTGTCAAAATTGTGATGACGCGAATAAAACATATGCAAGGCGCAAAAAATACGAGAAATTATTTGACATCGCAATTTCTTAAACATCTTTTATGCGTAAGATTTAGTTAATGTTAGTTAGTTTGTGCCGGGGAAATTTAGTGTGGCCAACCCGATAATATCTTTTTGAGTCTATAGTTTTAAATGGATTAGGGGAGGCCTATCTAAAATTCCCGGGCACTTGTATTTGTAGGAGACCTTAATTTTGGATCTATCTTGTAGCTCAATTTAATAGGAGTGGGGAAGAGTTAAACATCTTTATTAATAACTATTGCAATTTTTTAGAATGGAAATACGGGACTCGCTTAGCATTAGAGGCAAAAGCCAACTACTTCATCTGAGTGCGGGTTACTATAGACTGCCTTCTTTTCTCCGACTTTTTGCTGGTTTCATTCTATGCTCGGACTGAGCGCATTTCTCCGTCTCTGCGTAGAGTAGACGGACAGTTTTATGAATACTATAACAACACTAAATTATCACTTTTGATTTGAATCATATTTTTAATGTAAGGATCCATCTGTGCAACATGAAGAGTAAAAAATAAATAAATCTCAATAAAGTTAAATCATTTGAATTATTGTTAATATTTGCTTTGAACCATAAAAAATGCTAGTTTTTAAAGAAGGATGGAATAAGGAAGAATGGAAGAAATTCAAAGAGGGAAGAATTAGGATCGTTGGAGAAGGGTAGGGGAAATATTTGATAGGATGAACTAACAAAGGGTAAAGAATAAAGAGAGGATAAACTAAGGAGAAATTTGGATAAGGTGAGGGTGAAAAGGATAAAAGATATAAGGAGAGGATAAGGATTGGAATCTTATTCGTAATCTAATCTTGACTAAATCTTAACCTTCTCAAATCTACCTTTTTTAAATTATTGATGTGTGATGATCGTGTGAGATGGATTTTGTGTGTGTATTGTGTGCATGTTCGTGAAGATATCAAATAAAGGGTTTAACTCATTTTTATTAGAAGACAATTAAACATCGAAACTGTGTAATACCTTAAGACTAAGTAAAGACGACTTTTTAAATCTCATATTTAACGAATCATGGTGATTCAAGTTAATAGTTAGTTAGTTAATAGAATTTAAAAGAATTAAAATCAAAAGATAGTTAAACTATATAGTTAAATTATACATATAGAAGATAGTTATACTACAGTTGTAACCAGTAAACGATGTAATAGAAAGGCGACATTGATGTTGTTACAAAGCAAATATTTTCCCTCGTAACTTAGCAAAGCACAATTTAAGTGAAAAGGGTCTATTTACACTGTACAATTGCTATGTCTAATGTTCATTGAACTAGTTTAAGTCCTTACTTGAGTTTAAAAGTCGTCTTCCTATTTCAGAGTTTTCTGGTTATCATTGTATAAAGTTAAATTATACATATAGAAGATAGTTATACTAAATAGTTAAATTATACAAATAGAAGATAGTTATACCATATAGTTAAATTTTACATATAGAAGATAATTATACAAATAGCAGATAGTCATATTATATAGTTGAATTATACATATAGAAGATAGTTATGCTATATAGTTAAATTATACATGTAAAAGATAGTTATACTATATAGTTAAATTATAAATATAAACGATAGTTATACTATATAGTTAAATTATACACATAGAAGATAGTTATACTATAAATTATACATATAGAAGATAGTTGTACTATATAGTTAAATTATACATATAGAAGATAGTTATACAATATAGTTAAATGATACATATTATAGAAGATACATCCTTTATTTCATTAAAAACATTTATCGTTTTACAAGTTAATATTAGCAAATTATAAAATATAAGAATTGTATACTTAACAGCATGTAGAAACCGGGCAAAGGGATTTAAATCGGCCTAATATTTGAAAATGGGTTTGGTCTCATTTTCAATAAATCAATTCGCAATTGAAAAATCAATGGTGCCATGTATTATACTACAGAATGAACTAAAGAATTGCGGCCTTTTAGTTAGAGCAATTAATTTAAATGGGAATTGATTTTTTTTATAATCTTTGGAAAAGAGACCGAGCACATTTTAGAATTTACATACTTTTAAAGGTAAAATCGACAAAACTGTTAAATTTACCCGGCCGCTATTTAAGGGAATCAGCTTGTAAGTTTGGTAGTAAGGTACGATAAAACGACGTAATATTAGAAGACGAAAAAGAGAAATCTCGTATTCTTTTTTTATAAAGTATGTTTAAAAATGTAAGAACAATATGGATCTATTCCATTGTGAATTTGTTTGCCATTTGAATAACAACATTATTTCGATATTCTTAGCTTTATATATAGCTAGTTAGTAGTATTACGTTAGGGGAGAGATATGATGGCTAATTATCGAAAGAAGATGAGGAGGGGTAGGGGACAATATAATAATATGGTAATAAAAATAGATCTGCTAGTTAGGATCGTAAGTACACATTGTATCCAATTAAAGGACCAAGTTTTGTTGAGAGAAGAATGAGAAAGCTTGGAAAGGTTTGGTTTAGATCGATAACAGCTGTAGGCACCGTATTATATTAACAAACATGAACCTAGGTAGAAGGATCCAAACAAGGATATCAGGATAAACCTTTCATCCAGTCACAAAGAGAGCTGGATATAAGATGGACGTATCCGATCCACTTCGTACTTTGGATATCCAAGACTCAGAGGATATATTCAAATCCACTTTTAAGGTGATACAATAAAACAAAATTTTCATAAACATTTGTTTTTGTTCTTTAAATATATCTGAACAAAAAGTTTATGACAATTTAAATGACGTTTTGTAAATGATTATAAGTTGCATTCACATATACATTAGTTAAAATAATAGATAGGACACAAGATGTCGTCTTTTCAAGATTTATAAGCATTTCGTTCACAATAACCCTGAGGCAGAAGCCCACATGAGTTACGCGTAGTCGGCGTAGAACAAGCTCTCACTATGTCTTTTTAATCTACAGAGAGAGAGCCTATTCTACGCCGACTACTCGTAACTCCTTTGGGCTTCTGCCTCAGGGTTATTGTGAACGATATACTTATAAATCTTGAAGAGACTATGTCCAGTGTCCTATTTGTTATTTTAATTAATTTATGCATTTACACCATATAGCCATGCTCAATGATTAAAAAATTCTACTTAAAACTTAATTAATTGTTCACCTATCTTTAAAAAAGTTGATTTATAGAGTCAACCTTAAATCTTCAAATTTTTGTCCGCGCAAAAATTACGAAGAGATTTTTGTTTTTACACCTAAAAAATGGTAATTGTCATTTGTGGGTTCTCCTTAAAAGTGACTCGCGGATTTCAGGGCTACCCAGTACTCACAAAGGATGAGACTTCAGCGACGATTCTACGGAATTTATACGTTGCCTGTTTTCTCATATTCACGACTTTCTGCAACTGTAAACTTGTTTCTATATTTGCGTAATCATTAAATAAGACATTAAAGACTATATTCATGACTGGAGTTAATTTAACCTTGTCCTTTAGGTCGTCTTTACAGTCTCATCCTCATTGGGTAACTCTGTAATATCACAAAAGAAGAAAATTGAACCTAGCAGAAAACGACGCCTTTGTTTCTAAAAAAAGGTTAAAAGGATATCGGTTTAAATCGGGCGCGCATGTTTCTCATGTTTTTTCAAACTTTAATTTTTTCAAAATTTAATATATTGTTTTATATTTAGGGGTCTGTCGGTAAAGTTAAAATAACTGCACCTATTGAAGAGGTGAAAGCTCTGAAGGGGAAAGAAGAGGGAGGGAGGGGGCGGGGGAAAGAAGAGGGAGGGAGGGGGCGGGGGAAAGAAGAGGAAGGCAGGGGGCGGGGAAAAACGAATGAAATTAAAGAACGAGAAAAGATTAAAGATGAATCGGGAAGAGAGGAGAAGGGAGGTAGAGAAAAGATCGACGGTATGAAGATCTTCAACTGCGATCTCTCCCCGGATGAAGACGATCTTTTTAGTGATTGTCGATCACAACATTCTGGGTCTCAGGTTATTATATTTCCAATAGAGTAAGCCCTGTAAAATAGATGGCGCCATCGTTTTTTGGTTCGTTTATAAACATTCGACGTACGGTAATAAGGAGGTACAGGGTGTCCCACGAAACATGAAAGTTGGTGAATAGTTTTGAATGTCTTCTTTCATATACTGTATTAGATATTAAAGACTTTTTGCAGTTTTATTTAGTTTAAAAAACTTTACTCAAATATATTTTACTTAGAAATCAATTTTACTATAATATGGATGCCATAAAATATTTCTTATTATTCTCTTTGGTAACAAACAGCTTGAAATATTAAGGAAGAAGACATTTTAAACTATTCACCAACTGTCGTGTTTCGTGGGACACCCTGTAGTTTGATTTACAACGATTCCCTTAAAAACTTTGAATGATCAATTAGGAATGATATATCCATGCTCTTAATTTTGAAAATTAATTATTTTCTATTGAAAATTCTCTGTGAAAGTTAGTTGTGGATAGACGGAGTTGTCAAAACCAAACACTTTTCAAGCTAAAATATCGGCAATAACTTCCAAATTATTGATCTAACAAAGGTCTACAGGGTACATACAGTGGTGAATCAGAGTCACTTGAAATTTCAACAACAGTCCCTTTAAACCTTAATTATCCTAGGTTGGATTAGGCTCCGTATTAGAACCTGAACCTGGAGTAGAGCCAAGTTCAACCAAATCCTGTCAACACATTCAATCTAACTATCCAACCTCGTCCAGCCCAACCGGTCTCACTAGTTGGACCATAGGAGCTGATAGCACAATTTCAATCAGGTTAGTGTCTATAATACAGATAGCCCCACAAAGAAAGAAAGACGACTTGTGAAGGTCGTATTTGATAACGCCAAAATGTAAATATGTGTTTGAAGGTGTGTTCACTTATTTCGAAAAGAGGGAACGAATTTTACAAATTTCAGGAGTTGATATGCGATTTATTTAGTTGATCTAATGTCGATTTTATGTCTGCAAATACCTTTTCAAAATTCTCGAACATTCCCTTAATCCGTAGTTGTAGGAGTTACTTTAAAGAAATATGAGCCCTGACACGCGGTAGTTATACAAAGAAACAATTTCTTTTTAATTTTTCTCAACAAAGAAGTTTATTTTCTTGCGGCAGAGTTTTGGTGGAAAACATGGCGACATTTTTCTTAAATTAGACTTTCTTAATTCATTCAGTTTCAAGGTTAAGCTTCTTTATTTCAGCTCAAGGTTATCTCTTCAGATTTATAATTATTAGATTATATATAAAAATATTTAAAACCTGTTTGTCTGTATTTATCCAATAAACGTCAAAACGGCTGAACCAATCAGACCAATATTTTTATGTGTTAACTTACAAGACCCCAGGGAAGGTTTTTAGTTGGTCGAAATTGAAACAAGTTGTTTAAAAGAAAGAAAAAAGAAAATCCAGAAAAAAAATCTATTATTTTTTAAATCCACCAATGATAAGCTAAATATCCGTGAAATGATTTTCTTTAAAGTTCAAAGAAAATTTGCGCCTCGAAAGCAACATGAAAAACTAAACATTATTTTAAACATACAAAGACTTAAAACAAAATTTAGCCTTGCGTTTTTTTCTATTTGACAAGCTATAGATCGCTATTCAAGTATCATCCTGTGTGGGTAACAAACAGAATAAACCTCTAGCATAAGGATTTACAAAAAATGTCGGCCATTTTTAACTTTTTTGTTTTTATTTAGAACGGATGGACAGAATTTAGAAGAGTTTATATCTGTGATAGTCTCAGATCCTCACAAGGTTGGGGATGGTATATCCAGCTATATGGTGTATAGAGTAGCAATCAGGTAATATTTTACCAAGGAATGAGACTGAAACCAAATTTCATGTGACTTATCACTTTAAAGCATATTTCTGATCATTTTCAATAAAAAATATCTGCGTTTTTTGGTACACAATAATTTTAAAGGACAAATATTCTTATTGGATAAAAATTCTTTTAGGGCGAATATTCTTATAATAGCACGAATATTCTCATCAGGACAAATATTCTCAAAAGAACGAATATTCTCAAATGGACGAATATTCTAAAAGGACGAATTTTCTCTCAGGACAAATATTCATAGATGGACAAATATTATTTTAATTACAGAAATAACATTCTTAAAGAACGAATATTCTTATAAAGAACGAATATTCTCTTATGTTGAATATTATAATACAGGACAAATATTCTTTTAGGACGAATATACTCTTTTAAAGGACAAACATTTTTATACATCTTATAATAGGACGAAAATTCTAATAGGAGGAATATTCCAAAGGACGAATATTCTTATAAAAGATCGAATATTCTTATAAAAGGAGGAATATTCCATAAGACGAATATTATATAATATGACGAATATTATATAATATGACGAATATTATTATAGGACGAATATTATAATAGGACATATATTATAATATGACTACTATTCTAAAAGGAGGAATATTGTTATAGGACGAATATCCTCATAAGTCATGGAACGAATATTTTTATACAGGACAAACATTCTTAAAAGGCAAATATTCTCATAAAACGAATTTTTTCATAGGACGAATATTCTTGTGGGAAAATAATATCTTAATTTCAGGACAAACATTTTTAGAATTTTCATATATCATATCATAATTATTATAATTATATTATCATAATTGGACGAACACTCTAAGTGGAAGAATAATCTTATACAGGGCAAACATACTCAGAGGACGAATATTCTTATACTGGACGAATATTTTTTTAGGACGAATTTGAAATGTTTCCGCCGAGGGTCCTGGAGTGTGGTGAGACGCTATAGTGATTTCCTGGGACTACATGATAAATTGGTTGGAAAATATCAGGCAGATTTTTTTTAATAAAAACACAGGTTTTTTTTTGATAAAAACTTCTCCCCCCTTCCTTTTCAAACCTAATCTTTTTTTAGAAGTAAATATTTTTTTCAAATGTTTTTATCGCTTATTGAGGAAAATAAATGAACTTTTTTATTTTGAATTTTTCCCCGCCAAATCTTAGAAAATTATCTAATTTAATTTGCTTTCAGGCCCGGGGTAGAATAGTTCCCCCAGCACCAGAGAAAAGTATTATAGGTCAGTAATCACCTTTCTTAAAAATATTGGAACAGATAAAAAATCATTTATAGATTTATAAATTTTTAAATAAATTATTATTATCCCCTGTCAGTGTGACTGTCCTGAAACAAAAAACTGAATAACAAAGAAAACAGATTAGAATTTTTTAAAAAATCATAATATATTTAATGTCCTCAAGGGCATACTTTTTGAAACGCAAAATTATTTTTTTAACTAAGAAAATGATTAAAACTTTTTTTTCAGTGGTATTAATTTGGATTTTAATATTGATTGACATTTAAATACATTTGCATGTATTTCGTTAGTAAATCTTATTTAACGGATTTTTTTTAATCAATTTATTGTTTGGTTGATTAATTGATTAATTAATTGATTGGTTAATTGATTGTTTGATTTATTGTGTGATCAATCAATTGATTGATTGATTAATTGATTGTTTGTTTAATTGATTTTTTAATTAATTTAATTATTGATTGACTGTTTGATTGATTGTTTGATCAAACAATTAATTAATTGATTGTTTGATTGATTGTTTGATTGATTATTTGATCAATAAATTGATTGATGAATTGTTTGATTGATTGTTTGATCAGTCAATTGATTGATGGATTGTTTGATTGATTTTTTCATTAATTGATTGCTGGATTTGTTTATTGATTGATTGGTTGATTTGTTGATTGATTGATTGGTTGATTGGTTGATTGGTTAATTGATTGGTTGATTGATTGATTGATTGATTGATGAAGGAGCTACGAAGGTAAAGATGGGTTCAGTGGATGGACAAACTCCTGGCCAGGATAGTTTACAGAGTAAGGTAAGCAAAATTCTAATTTTACTTGGTTTGGAAATTTATTCAAAAAAAACAAAACAATTAGCATTGTACCACGTCCACACTTGATATTTGTACCCTACACGACCCTAATTACTGTTATGTACACGCCTGACCCAATCTACTGTTCTAGCTGTACTGTACACACCTTATATCTTGACTCTGCAAAACTCTATCTACATAACTGTACATCTCTAATACTTTGACCCAGAACGACCCTATAAACAGTACTGTACATGCCTGATAATTGAACCCTGCACCCAAAGAGAATAGAATATATATTAGAGAGGAATTTACTAGAAAAAAGTGTAAAACGGCCATTTTGTTGTACTGTTTCCATACTGCAGGTATACTTCACATATTTGCGCTATATAACCTTTTGGTCCCTGGAACATCATTTTAAAGAAAATCTAAAATTAATATGGAAAGAAAACCAAATTGAAAATGAAATAGGCTGGCTTCATAATTGACCAATGATCATTTTACATAGACCGTATGCCTTTCACTTTACAAACGATGATTTTCCGTTATAACTATAAATCAATTGATGCTTTTATTCGCCTAATTCATTTTATAAAGTTTATTTAACAGCTTTAAAAAATCCGAAATTGAAATGGATAGTCTAGGGAACATACTGTATTAACGTACTCTACTGCATATAATTTGTGAACATTTACATGATTTGTACACTTTGAACTCCCTTTCAGGCTGAAAGGGACTGAAAAAATGCATACCGAGAGATTGTCTAAATTCCTCTCTAATATATATTCTATTCTCTATGCCTGCACCACTCTATCTACCGTGATGAATACGCCCTTATATTTTGACTCTGCACGACCCTAGTGAGATACAGTACACGCCTTATATTTGTACCCAGAGCCCAAAACTTAAGACAGGGTATCGTTATGAAAACCAGTTTTAAAACCCGGGTTTAACAAATGGGGTTAAGCAGTTTTATGAATATCAATATTTTTGTAATAAAATATTATTTTTTTCACTTGATTTAGATTCTCCATTTTTTTCGAATCTCTTTAATCAAAATCTACACAAATGTTAAGACCCCAAAAAGGAAACTCGAGAGTTTCGTTCAACGATACTCTTTTAAATTTCGGGCTCTGTTAATTCCTGAGCCCAAAACTTAAGACAGGGTATCGTTATGAAAACCAGTTTTGAAACCCGGGTTTCAAGAATGGGGTTAGGCAGTTTTGTGGATATCAATATTTTTGTAGTGAAATATCATTTTATTAAGTTTCTTCATATTCTTCATTTTTTTAAATTTCTTAAATCAAAATTTACACAATTGCCAAGACCCCAAAAAGGAAACTCGGGAGTTTCGTTCAACGATACTCTTTTAAATTTCGGGCTCTGTACACGAAAATATTCGGTCTCGGTACGCCCCTATGCACCGTACTGTACATCTTTGATATTTTGACCCAGCACGACCCTATATATCCTACATCCACGTGTACATATACGCGGACAATTGAATCCTTTACGACTCTACCTACCGTATTGTAACAGTATTCGGTGCAACTTAATTTATGTACAGGTCACCTTATATTGTTTAAAGTTTATATATATGTAAAATTTTTGTATACGGTACAACTTAATGTATGTGCAGGCTATTTTCATATCGTTTAAAGTTTCTATATATGACCATTTTTATATTGTACAACATACAACTTAATTTAAGTACAGGCTATTTTCATATCGTTTAAGTTTCTGTATATAAACATTTTTTATATTGTAATACAGCTTAATTTATGTACTAGGCCCCCTTATATCGTTTAAAGTTTTTTTTTCAACTGAAACATGTTTTATATTGTACAACGTACAACTAAATTTATGTGCAGGCCACCTTCATATCTCTAAGAAGAAGTGGATTGGAGAGATTTATAAACAGGGTTGGGATGCATCCCGTTCTTAGACTAGACTCAGGTAATACAGGGAGACCTATAATATTGTGAAATAGAAAGATGACAACATTTTAATAAAAGACGAAAAAAGTTGCAGTTCTATTCAGAGTCTAGGCTAAAATTCAACCGCTCTTTCAACCGCTTTTTCAACCACTTTTTCAACCGCTCTTTCAACCGCACCCGCGGAGTATATGTTTATCATTTTATACTAAAGTTATGATTTGTTTACATAGTCAAAAGACACAAATTGTACACTACAGTGTACCCAGATCAAAGTTGATTTTTAAGGTATACAGGTAAAACAATTTGGGTTGTAACAACATGAAATACACAAACTATTTTTCTGAATTTCTTTTTCCTATTCCACAGTCTTGTACTTTTCAAATAAAAACTCGCCAGAAAAAGAAGTTGAATTTGAAAACAAGCATGGTTCTTATAGTTACCCAATCAAAATATGAGGCAAATCGGTCAAAGGGTTCCTTAGTTATTATCAAACAAACAAACAAACATCAAAAGAATCAGATAAACAGAGATTACTACTTTATATATTTGATAAGAGTCAAGAATTCCTAACTTTGTCATATGCCAGTCCTTTAGGAATTTTTTTTTGATAAGAATTCAGGAAATTTAAACGATTATACCCTTTAAACCTTTATATGAATAAGAATGACTGAAATGTCCTGGATTTTCTAACTAACAAGTGATTAGTTTTACTGTGGTTTCTCTATTAAAGTTAATTCGGCTTTATGCTGCAAACACGATGAATGAAATTGTCAGGATTCAACACTTTTCAAGATAGAAACATAATGATTTCTTATTTATTGTTACGTAGAAAGGGTTAATCGGGTACGCCAATCTTTTAAATGAAAGGTTACTTGAAATAATGTTGACAGTCCTTAAAAAGTTTTTTCTTTAGATTTTGCGGATTTTCTTGAATCTGGATCTGATCTGCCCCGAGCTTCATCAACTTCTGCTCTATCCTCTGCTTCTGTGTTGAAGATGGTGAGTAGGATGGGGGAGACGGTGAACAAGATCACGTACAAGATGGAGGAATCAGATCCATGGTTTCAGGAGAAAACTAGCCATATTGAACAGGAATGGCGACAGTTTTTCCACTTGTTATTTTGATCTCCTAATTAGTTTCAAAGTCCGTCATTTTAAAATAAAGTAAATCCACCATATTTCAATAATATGTCCAACATATTAAAATAAAATTAGTCCACAATATTGGACCGAAATAAGTCCACCATTTTTGCCATTTTTGAATGAATAAGTTCCCCATGTTTGAATAAAATGTCCATCATATTGGAACAAAATAAGCCCAATATGTTGAAATAAATTAGGTAATTTTATGGGAATGAGTCCGCCATATTAGAACAAATAAATCTCCCCATGTTGTTTCGAATAAAATTCATATAAAAAGTCCACCAAAATGGAATAAATTAATTCCACCATATTGAAAAAAATAATTGTCCACCATATTTAAATCAAATAAGTCCACCATTTGAAATAAATAAGTCCATCATATTGTAATAAAAAGTCTGACATATTAAAATTAATTAAGTTCACCATATTGGAAATAAAAGTCCACCATATTGGAACTATAAAGTCCACCATTTGAAAAAAATGAGTCCATCGTCCAAAATAAATAATTCCACCATATTAGAATAAAAAGTCGGCCATATTGGATTAGATTGAGAAACAGCTGCGCAAACTTCAGGGTATTGTGGAGAGTGTTGTTGCTTGTCGGTAAACTTTTTAATAATTAGTAAAGAATTGAAGACATCTATATTTTAAAGAAAGTACTATAACTGCTGTTATCAATCATCATATTTTTTTTGGAAATAACGATGTTTTTTCACATTTTGATCATAAAAAACAGTAATTAATTCCTGTCTAGTCTGAATTTGAACAAATTATGTACATTGTACATAGTCTGATTTCTAGAAGAGAACTGGCTGTTTCAACGGGAAATCTATCTGTTTCCCTCCTAAATCTTGCATCATCAGAGGAATCCATCCAACTAACTAGAAGTATTGAAGGGCTAGCCAGGTAAATATCCAACTAACTAGAAGTACTGCACAGTGTCCAGGAAGGGTAATATGTACTGTACAGTGTCAAGGAAGGTGAATTTAATGCACATGGTCCCGGAAGGTATATATTTACTGTACAGTGTCAAGGAAGGTAAATAAGTTCTGTACAGTGTCCAGGAAGGTATTTATATTAACTTTACGGTGTCCAGGTAGGTCAATATGTACAGTACAGGGTCCAGGAAGGTATTTGGTCAGTACATGGGTCCAGGAAGGTATTTAGTGTACATGTACTGGACAGGCTCCAGTAAGGTATATATATATATATATAAGAACTGTACAGGGTCCAGGAAGGTGTAGAGCAGACCCTTGAAGAGCAAGCTGATGCTGATTGTGCTAATCTACTGGAGCTGGTTAGAGATTATCTAGCACTGGTCTGCACTGTCAAGGTACAAATACAAAAAGTAAAATTTGAAAATTAAACAGATGGTTTACTTCTTCTTTGCTTTGGTACAGTCGTTGACGTATATATCAATACAATGAAGACAACTTACTTTCTTAATTTTGATTTCTACCATCAGAAAGATAAGTTTAATTAAAGAGAAGTTGTCAATTAACAGCTTCTCTTTTTTTCCAATCGTAAACTTGTTATTTTTTAATAGTGCTTGCAGGAATCAAAGAATCGTCAAAACATCATTTTATTGATACAATCGCAGATCATTGCATAAACATGACAATTGATACATCATTTGCAACCTCTTGGGCTACATTTTTATTATTTTAACTAAAACTTGCAAATTTTCAAACCCAAATAGTTTGAGACATCATATTTCAGCAAAATATTTTCAACAAAATGGCTTTTACAATTTAAAAAAATATATTTAAATTTCTAAACAGGATGTACTGGGTGAAAGAGTAAAAGCATTCTACGCCTGGCAGACTGCTGTAAACAACCTACACAAGAAGAGAGAGCTGCGAACCAGAATGGAGTTAGGAGGACGGATAGAGAGGTTGGGACCTCTATTAGAGGTTAGTCTTGGACAAGTTGGTCTTTAGACGAACTACATTAATAGAGGGATATGTCCGATTCACAACGGTACCTTTTAATAACATATTGTTATATATTAAAAAGATTTAGTTTTAAAATTAATTCATTGCTCAGACGGAGGTTTCAAAGGTTCTGATGTAAATCGAACATGTTTCTTACGAAATTACGCTGAGAGTTGATGATGATGATGACGATGATGATGATGATGATGATGATGATGATGATGATGATGATGATGATGATGATGATGATGATGATGATGATGATGAAGACGACGACGACGACGACGACGACGACGACGACGACGACGACGACGACGATGTTGATCAGGACGTAACTGAGTGTGAGGCTAGAGTTGAAGAATCCCAGGACAATTTTAACAAAATCTCCCAAGTTATCAAGGTAAATGCACTGTTAAAATCCAATATTTCCCAATTTTAAATTCAAAATCATGTTCAATGTGTAAAGAATTTAATTGTACCTCTATACATGAATTTTTTCATCCTGTACCCACCAAACAGACCAGAGCTGAAAACTTTAGAATGAAATATCCAGATATCCGATCGGTTAACTTCTCTGGAGTTTAAATTCATGTGGAGAACAAGCAATATTCAAACTGGATATTAAGAAACTTAATTTGAAAAGAGTGGTTTAAGCCTTAATCCTGATATCCACCATTCTAAAGTTTTCAGCTCAGGATGAAACAACTAGTTGTCAAAGAGCCATGACCGAGTGCATACACCGACTTTTGAACCAACTTACACACTGGCATTCAAAAAGTCAGTTTAAGTCGAGGTTTTGTCACCAGACTTTGCCCAGTTGGTTCAAAAGTCGGTGTTAACACCCATGCCGTAAAGGCAAGACTTTTGCAGAGTTTAACTTCACTTTCAAAGTCGGCTAAAAGTGGAGTTACTACAAAATTTTTGCCTTCACTCGAGTCACTGTTTGTTGGGTATTTCTTATTCATAAACATTTTGGTTAGAGAAAACATCCATTAAAAGTCTCATTTGTGTAATGCACAAATCAAAAATTAAAAAATTATTCTAGGTAGAGATTGACCTGTTCCAGCACTATCGCGTGTTTGACTTGAAAGCCCTGGTGCTCCGCTACCTGGAGGAGTTGACCCGCACACAGCTGGCCATACTCAACCATTGGGAACAGTCCCTTCCTTACCTTACCAGGGATTCAGCAACATCTGCTTAGTCAATTTAAATCTATTTATTGATCTCAGGATCTGTACATTGAGAACCAGAAAACAGTCTTTTTTAAATAAAAAAATGCCGGATTTTTCAATTTAACTTATTTATTTCTAGAATTTGGCCTAGGTATAAATATATCAGAAATATGAATCCCAAATTCCAAAAGATATGTTATTGTTAAAATTCTAAAAACAAAGATGACAATAGTTCCTTGTATTCTGGTTCTCCCTGTATATATTTACACATGTATCCCAGTCAGCTTTCGGTGGAAAATAAACAAAACTGTCCATTTTTTGGTATTAGGTCTGTCTTTAGCTTTAAAAGGAAAAACGACGCAATTTCAATTTACGCTCAATTTAAAGAGTCCAAATGATACCCTGAAAGGAGATCAATTCTGACAATTTAGTTCGTTGTTTCTTCTGCATGAATCCATAAGCCACTTTGATGATCCGCAATTAAAAATTATAAAATTTTGCATAGAAAAACATGGATATCATTTTTGCTAAAACCAAGAGTTAAAGTCGATATTGAGAAACTCATGAAAAGGAAGAATAACTTGAAATTTCGGTGACAATCTTTCCGGCATCCGGTCTGTTAATTATGAATTATAACATATAAAAATTAAATGCCTACTTAACCATCAAATACAAATGTTCAGGTAGTCATTGAATTCCTCCCAACAGGATTCCTCTCATGGGACTCCTCCCAACAGGATTCCTCCCAAACGGGATTTCTCCCATGAGATTCCTCCCACACAGGATTCCTCCCACACGGGATTCCTCCCATGGGATTCCTCCCACACAGGATTCCTCCCACATGGGATTCCTCCCACATGGGATTCCTCCCACACAGGATTCCTCCCACATGGGATTCCTCCCATGGGATTCCTCCCACACAGGATTCCTCCCACATGGGATTCCTCCCACATGGGATTCCTCCCACACAGGATTCCTCTCACATGGGATTCCTCCCACACAGGATTCCCCCCACACAGGATTCCTCCCACAGAGGATTCCTCCCACATGGGATTCCTCCCACACAGAATTCCTCCCACATGGGATTCCTCCCACACAGGATTCCTCCCACATGGGATTCCTCCCACACAGGATTCCTCCCACATGGGATTCCTCCCACACAGGATTCCTCCCACATGGGATTCCTCCCACACAGGATTCCTCCCACATGGAATTCCTCCCACAGAGGATTCCTCCCACAGTTGTAAACTGAGGATCCACATCTGATAAGATCCCTGTATTTGATTATATTATAGTGATCATGTATGATTTAACACTGTATCTGTCTGAACCAGCATGCACTACGAGGAGGTCAAGTATTTAGGACGCCATTTTTTATTTTTTTTTAGGAAAGAATATTTTAGAAGTGGAAGTATTTTTAAAAGATAGGAAATATTGATTCAAAAGAAAATTAGTAAACTAATTTAAAATAATTTTTTTTATAAATATACTATATACTATATTTTTTCTCTCTTTTTTTCTCTTTTTTTATTTTTTTTTTATTTATTCATCTTTTATATGTTAGGACTTTATACTTTCGCCTGGCAGGAGGATTGTTTAAAGCTAGATTGTCAGCTGCTCCAATAAAGTATTAAAATATGTACACTCATCTATACTCTGTATTCAGTGGGAGGAATTGTGTGTGGGAGGAATTCAATGGGAGGAATTCTGTGTGGGAGGAATCCTGTGGGAGGAATCCCATGTGGGAGGAATCCCATGTGGGAGGAATTCTGTGTGGGAGGTATCCTGTGGGAGGAATCCCATGTGGGAGGAATCCCATGTGGGCGGAATTGTGTTTGGGAGGAATCCTGTGGGAGGAATCCCATGTGGGAGGAATCAGAAAAGTTCCTGTATACGGCCAAGAACAACTAATTGTATAATTGTCCTTGTTCTCCTTGTTAAATCGAGAGAAAATGTCTTGAATTTAACAATGTAGCCAGAGAATTCCTAATCGTTAACACAAGAACAGTAAATACTTTTATTAGTTTAGAGTAAAGTAAACAGTGAACAGCATTTAGGGCATGTTTTTAGGTTCATTATGTTTACAGTGTTACCTTTCCCATATCATATTGGAATATTTCCCAGCTTTGACGCCAAAATACGCACATAATACTCAGAAAACATAGTATTTTCTGCATGTAACCTGTTATAAATTAGCCTTAAAGAATTTTATATCATTCATTTCATTCTTTTAAATTTTCTTATTAGTAAATATCGCAATTTAGAGTTAAAAACGATCTAATGGCGTGGGACACCCTATAGAAAGAATACAACAAAATTACGACCATGAACATTCTTTAAATATAACGATAAAAAGATTAATTTGGGTTTCTTCCTTGATTATAAATAGTAAAAAATTATGTACTTAATAATTTGGAAAGGAAAAAATAGGGAACCAAATGAAGACTGATAAAATTACGGGCAGTCGTCTGTATCAAGTTCTTTCTGCATAACCCTGTAATCTGCATATTAACAAAAAAGTGTAACTTTCAACATTATGTGATTCAAACAAAAGCTTATTTTTTAAATATCACTTTTTCCCACGCCGCAATTTATTGGTACATTCTACAATAATATTTATTTAAAAAATGATTTTAAAAAGTGTGTAACAAGCATAAACGATATTTCTGAAGAAAAACTGTAATCATAAATTCTTAAATATATAAACGGGATGTTCCAATAAACATGGGAATTAGGTGCATGCCGACATTATGTAAAATTTAAGTGTTTAATTCATTAAATAAAATCTTAATTGTCTAAACCTCTTCGTTGGCCATGTTTTCAGGAGACACAAGTCCTTTATATACAAAAAAAAATTTAAATGTCAACATTGTCGATTCAAGATTTGAAAAAAAGAAGATTTTTTTCCTAAAAAAAACACTTTTTTGAATACAACTTTAAACCCTAAATACTGATATTTACGTAAAATAAAAAAAAAACCGTTAAAATATTGTCAAGACGAAATGATAAATTCTTTCGATGTATTTAATGTTCAGGGTTTAGCTGCCGCATTTTAAGGAACATGCTTTCTTTTTAAAGAACAAGAAAAATGATCAGACAATTGAAAGTTTTAAAATAAAGAAATTAAATGTCTAAGAAAATTTTGCAAAACATGTGTTTCTGATAAAATCAAGATAAAAAGATAATACTGAATGTCATTAAATAAAATTGCTAAACTATTTATTAAAAATCAAAATCAACGAGGAATTTAGGTAATTTCTTCATTCCCATGTTCATTGATCCACCCTGTACAAAACTATTTATTGGTAAACATGCGCTAATAATTCAAGTCAACATTCCCCAGCTTTATCATGAAATGTGTATGTTATTTGACTAATTTTGTTTACCATGAAAGAAATATATAATTATCATATCGAGCATGATTATATTTCTATGTAAATCTGTCGTACATAAATAAATCTATATCAAATCTAGTTTTTGTTTTTATTTGTATAATTGTTTTTTTTTGTAATTCTAATTCATCACCATCATGAGTACAATTTAATCATCATTGGAGTACAAATCTGTCATCATAGGAAGGAAAATTCGCCTTTATTGGAGTAAAAACCCATCATTATTGAAGTACAAACCCAACATGATTTGAGTACCAATCAATCATCTTTGGAGTACTATCATTGGAGTTTAACTCCAACCTGATTGGAGTACAAACCCATCATGATTTGTGTATAGAAACCCATCATGATTGGAGTATAAACCAATCATCATTGGAGTGCAAACCCATCATGATTGGAGTACAAACCCATTATCATTGGAGTACAAACCCATAATGATTGGAGTACAAACCCATAATGATTGGAGTACAAACCCATCATGATTGGAGTACAAACCCATCATGATTGGAGTACAAACCCCGTCATAGCTGACAGACAAAAAAATAGAGTTCCGAACTTTTGTGTTATTGTCTTCTGAAAATACCAATCCGTATCTTTCTGGCAGATTTAATCCAAGTCTGCTCTCGAGTCTCGACCAATGAGAAATCAAAATCAGCTGTTTTTCTCGGATTAAGCACTTGATCAGTTCAATTTAAAAGTGTTCACCTAGGAAACGCGTTTTCATAGAAAAGTTCCTACCGAAGCATGTAATCTATAGAGTTTAAAACAAACGTAGAGTAATAATCACATTTTAAAACTATATTAGAGAAAAAATAGATGGATACATTTCCCTGGAAAACTTTTCAGGGAAAAATTATTTTATTCAAAGTTTAAAGTTTAGTCCCCCCTGTTCATAGTTTGCAAGAATCAATTACCTCCACTAGTCTCTTAGATTCCCCGCGGACCTTGAAAAAAAAATGTTTTTATAGAATTTCTAAAATTTTTCTCATTCTTTATTCCTGACAATCTGAACACGTAGCAAACATCGGCAACCGCACAATTTGAACTTAAATTAAAAATGATTCAGAGATAAAATCTTATAAATAGCAGATGTAGATAAACTACCTGGATTAAATAAATCAGTTTTACCTGGCTAAACCCTATTTCTGCTGGAGGGGGGGGGGTCAATTTGACCCCCCCTGTAGTTTTTTTTACATAACTCAAAAAGTATTGGTCTGAGGCTGTCGAAATTTCCTACATACCCAAAGCCCTCCCTTTAGGTCTAAAACCGGGCTTTAATACTAACTGCCTGAGTCCCTCCGGCACACTGCCTGAATGACTGCTTTTTCCCGTAACAAACTATATCTTTGTTTTGACCCACTTTCACTTTTCAGATTTTGATAAAATTTAGCTTTTTGGATCGCACAAGTTTTGCAAATCTTTTGCAAACAACCTGTCAAAGGAAATTTGCACAGTTTTAGTTTTTCTTGATTAAAAATCAGGTTATTTAAAATTTTGCAAAATTTTTGCATATTTAAAATAGCATGGTCAAGGGCTTTTCAAAAATGTATAATTTTTATTTTTTGGACAAATTATAACTGGATTTTGGAATAAAAAATTCAATTTTTGCAAATTTGCAAATTTTTTGCAGATTCTAAAAGTAGAGCACAAGAGCTTTCCAATGATGTATCATTTGTGATATTTGGACATCAAACATGGGATTTAGAGGGGGGAGGGGTCAAAATGCCCCCCCAGTATATCGTGGTTTTCAAGTACCCCAGCAGGGATAGGGTTAAGAACTGGTTGATCCAGTGGTGTGTGGTTTAACTTCTTCTCGCTATTCATTAAATCAGGTCTCAGAAGTTTTTTATAATACTCATTTTTTTCAAACTAAATTTGTAATTCATATATCTTTGTAACCTGGCGAAGAAACTTTTATTTTGTCTAGTTTGAAATATCACAAATAAAAGGATTTTAAAACGAGAGTATTAGACCCGTTCCTTTTTTATTTGTTTCAAAATTGACAAAGTTGACCGTAGGTTATGAAGTGTATGATTGTAGACTATGATGTACTCTGCACAACGATTGCACTGCTGACCCTCTGTATAGCTAGCTCAGGTTTAATTTAGTTTCAATAGAATAGTGACATAGTCCACAATAGAAAAGAAAGTGTTTTCTTATAAGATGTGCAGCGTACCCCCTTATTATTATTATTATTATCATTATTATTATTATTATTATTATTATCATAATTTTTATATTATTGTATGTGTGGGTATGTTGGTAGATTACACAATCGTTTGCAATTTTACCCTTAGAGTAAAGTGTAACCAGTTTGAGCTCATAAGCTCGTAATAGGGATAGTTCCATTGATTTAAACCCTTCAGTTCTCATACGGACCCGGAGCTAAGCTCGAATTGCAAGTAGTCTGGCCAATAAACAAGACAACGTATTGGCTCTTTTGTGTTTAGCTGTAGGTTGGACGGAAAGTGGAACGGATGATAAGTCGCCTCATGTATATCGTGTACAGATATGTATCTGTTAAAAGATGCCAGCCCAGAAAACATGCTTTTAACGGATGATTTGAACGCATTGAAGATTTGAACGCGTGGAAAACCAAAACCGTTGGACGGGGAATTCTATTTTAAATTCAAGTCAATAGGCATTAAACATAGCTTGACACAAGGGAGGAGGACATAGGATCAGCCTGGACGAAACCGAAAGTTAATATTCACGAAGGGTCGGAAGAAGTAAGATTAACTCGTCGTACGAGGCAAATGAAAGGCGGAGAGTCTGTCAGAGAGCTCCGGCTTTCCATGATTCATTAATAGTATCTTCTTATTTGTTCTTTTTACTTGTAAATACATTTTTTCCTATACTTAGTAGATTTACTCATTATATCACTTTCAGGCTTTAGATTTCCTTTATTTCATATTAACAATAGGAAAGTGTTTTACATTTCAAAAGTCAGACTTAAAAGGTCTTTTTGAAGAATTTGGGACATCTTACTTCATTTGTTTAGATCATGCTTGGTATTCAAATAAACAAATTTTGGTCTCAATTATTAAATTGAGAAAATTGAAGCCTTTTAAAAAAAATTTAAGTAAGGAAGAAAATGAAGGTGTGGTGGACCCCCTCCCCCTGGTTAGGGTTAAACTATGCCACGAACTACCATGTTTATGTGCATTGTTATTTGTCTTGCAAATGTGGCAGGAAATTTTATTGGATAAAACAAAATAAAAATAAAAATAGAAAACCATATTTCCTTCAAAATTGGTTTATATGTTTATATAATAAAGAACTATAGAACTATATAGAATGTTAAAATAAGTTTAATCTTCTTTTAAACAGAAATAATGGCGGACCATTTGAGCGGAGATTTGATTGGATTATATCAAGATGCATTCGTCAGGTCTGAAGATTATTCAATTTTCGTTCAAAAATTTATTTTCTTTTAACTGTTGAAATATGTTTAATCTTTTTTCATGATCATTTTGTAAATTAATTAAAAAAATTTAGGACATTTTTGTCTTTACTTTCTCCTTGAAATAGAGGATAAGAACTAACATATTATGGCTTCAAAAAGATACTGTTTGAAGGCGGGCAAAAAATGCTGATTTTTTCCATTAATTAAAAAGTTAACTTTTGACCAAATTTAATACACAGCGAAAAGTGGTTGAACTACGTAGACGCAGATCAACCTCTACCCTAGTACATCATGTCGAGCTGAATAAAAGTGGTTTAATTCAGTCTACATATAGTTCAACTACAACTCGGTGTTCATTAATAAATCTAGTCCGTATCTTCTTTAATTTCAAAGCCTATTTGATATCTGCAGTTTATCCCCTTTACCATATTTCTGACATACTCGCACGTGAGTTTACAGCTGCCCCCTAGCTTGTTCTATCCGTAGTGCTCGGATCTAGGTCGCAAGTTGGTTGGTCAGAAGTTTAGAAGAAGCTGGATGTCGCGTAAACACAATGTAAAGTTTTCAAAAAGATGAATCGTTAAAACAAAATACAAACGTTGGCACACTTACATTGAAATAAATTAAACTTTATTTCACTTTGAAATCTTTAATTTTATTAAGCATAACTTCATTTTCTGTAGAGCTTTAAGATAAAATTTAAGTTATAAAAAGAAAAAGTATAAAAATCCTCATTTGGACCAAAATACATTTGCCTTTCTTATACTAGTGCTTAAAACCAAAACTATAAAAGCTATGAGGTCACATGTCGTATCAGAAATGTAGAATACATTGTAACTTTTCCTTCTGTCTGGTGGAGTGTGCTGGGATCAGACAAGTACTTTATTTTATTTTCTTAATTATGTATCCATGGATTAGAATTGTGGCACCCTGGACTTGAAAACTTGAAATCAATTGAGTTTTTGTATATAATTTAGCAAACATTAAACTTACACTTTTTTCTACTATCTTTTCATTTAATTCGCTTTTACTGATCGACGAAAAAATTTCAAAGAGAAGAAACAAAAAATGTTTAGTCAAATTGGGATTGAAAATATACAGGTTACTTGGAGGAAGAGTTAAATCAGTGTGCACACTCACTATAAGCTCAACCCACCTCACTCTGCTGCACAACACTTGTTTTTTTTCAACCAAATACTGGGTACACTAGACGGGCCGGTATAGTAAAGACTAGACCGATATCTTTGTACTAGTTATGATCATGCAATTTCTAACTTATATGCACTAAGTCTGACTATTTAGGTATGATTTAGATGCAGACGGAGTAGTAACCAGTGTAGAGGTTGGACAAATAATGAGAGCAATTGGTAATTAGCCGAACACGCACCCTGAGGCCGAAATCAAAGAATTTAAGCCGCGTCTCAAACGTGGTTCAACCATGGTTGGTACCACTTGAAATTGTATCCAGTGTTTCGATTTTCGAGCCGGCGCGGCGATCAATTGGAATCGGTTTTTGACGGATCAACGACTCGGATTAAATTCTTTTAATCGGACTAACCAATGTTAAATGCGTTCGTTTTTTCAGCCTCAATTCCTTTGCGTTCAGTTTATTATAATTCAACTAGTTGTCTATTTTTGCTTTTTTCATTTAAAACGTGTACACCGACAAAAAAAAGAGAAAAAGCGACAAATTTATCTTTAATTGGTCAAATTGGGATCAAAACTCACAGCTTGCCAGGAAATTATATTTTTAAATGGATTTTGAATAACAGATATAATTTAACTGATTTTTCTCCTTGTCTGTGCTGTACAAAAACAGTCAAAACAGTCCTAATTCAACCCTTCCCACAAACTAAAATTTTCTAATCTCTATTTCTTTGCAAGCCGATATAGTGTTCACTGTTTGAATTTTCAAACTTTGACTTTTTGATCTAACACAATTCATGGTTTGAAATATTTGAGGTCTACGAGAATGAGCAGCAAAGATATAGTGATTAGAAAAGTTCTATATTTCCCAATTAAGGCATTATTAACTAATCTTTAATACATGACTTTCACTTTTTGCAGAACATGTTAATGATCATTTTCATATAGTTATGTGTATCGATAAATGATCCACATATCTCATTCCTTTATCTTATGAATTTATGGTCGAAATAATAACAATCAATTCAAATATAAAAAAAATTCAAATTCAGAACATTTTTTTTACCGCCTTTTGACCAACATTAACAACCTTTGATTCCCCCAACAGAGGGACGTTAAGTTACCTGACGTCCCTTGAGACAATTAAGTAAAACAATTCGTGTAACAATTCGCCCAATTTTATTAAAAAATACAACTACTTAAAAGTTTTACTAAACCACGGATTCGCTTGACCAATTTTGCCTGCAAAAGTGAAATTCCCTTAATTTTCCTATAAAATATATTTCAGGGCAGAACCCAAGTGAAGCTGAAATACAGGATATGGTGAATACTGTAGATAAGGTAAGATAGTACAAATGAAAAAATTGATAATATAATGATAAGAAACTTAATAATGAATAATTCAATAATAAAAATAATATTTTTGTCATTATTATTATTACAAAACAAATAAAAATAACAATTTGTATGGTATATGTACCTAAATAGTCTTATAACCATAAATGACATCCTCGTTTTCTGTATTGATATACACGTCTACCGTATCTTATAGTATTTATACACAGGACATTGTAAAGATTTTTCGTATTTGCTGTTTAATACTTTTCCGGCTGGCTTTGTATTAAGAATATGTTCGTATATGAGGTTTCTGACGCAATTTTGACGAATTTTGAATGAAAGGTGAAAATATTCCGATACTGACTGATGAACTTCGTTGTAGTTAGTTTAAACGACAACGACCCTCCATGCCCGCTTTACAACTGTACGCTTAAAAGTTTTAGCTGATCAAGTATGAATTATATATCCAAGTTTTTGTTTCTATAAACTGTATGTACTCATTCATGGTTTCGTTGCGCATTTCTTGCTTATAAGAAAAACTTGAGAAATTCACAGAAATGAACACTTTTGAGTCAGAAAACGACGTTATCTTCCACATCTTAAATCTGGCATTGCTATCTTTGCATGGAGGGTCACTTAAACTTACGCTTACAGTCCCTTTAACTAGTCGCCTGTTTGTTTAGGACGGAACAGGGAATATAGATTTCCCCGAGTTCCTGTTGATGATGACGATGAAGCACATTAACGAGAACGCCGAGGACGAGATCAGGGAGGCCTTCAAGGTCTTTGACGGGGTCAGTTCCAATTAACATTAAAGGGACTGTAAGCGTAATTTCAGGTGACACTCCAGGCAAAGATACCAATGCCTGATACCCTTAAAGATACCCTTAAAAGCTTTGTCTGATCAAGTATGAAATAAATATCAATGTTTATAAATTATAATCTGGAAACTAATTATTTTCAATTGTGGGTTCTGTACAAAAGTGAGTGTCGGATTCTTAGTGCAGGAAACATCTAGGAATTATCAGAATTAAACATAATGTTAAACCTAGTAACACACAACATCTTCTACATCATTAATCAGATCAAGGTTTTTTAAGGGTATAATCGTGCAGTACTGAAATTACGTTTAAAGTCCCTTAAAAACTAAAGTTAAATTCTCGGCTGAAATGAGTATTTTTTTTATGAAAAGCTAATGATAAATAGATATAGCGTTAAAATCCATGTACATTGTACATAATGATTGTTTGATGATGATGATGTTTATGTGTATGGTAAACGGAATAAAATGAATAAACAGCATTGTAGTATGTGTACTGTACAGAATTTCAATTAATGTACCGTATATTATGTATATACACTGTACAACATACAAGTTTGTACATAAACTATGAATAATTTATGCACATTATAATTTATGTAAATATCGCACACACAACTGTCTATAATGTATAATATATGCAAATTGTACAGAATGATTATGGCCGTACATGCACTGTTTATGATGTATGTATACTGTAGATGATGGTAATGGGTACATGAACTGTATGATTAATGTACAGGGTGGTAATGGGTACATGTATGTACATTTTACAGGATGGTAATGGGTACATGTATGTATTCTACACTGTACAGGATGGTAATTGGCACAGGTATATACACTGTACAGGATGGGAATGGGTTCATGTAGGTTCATTGTAAAGGATGGTAATTGGTCCATGGATATACACTGTACAGGATGGGAATTGGTACATTTATGTGCATTGTACAGGATGGTAATTGATTCATGTATATACACTGTACAGGTTGGGAATGGGTACATTTATGTACATTGTACAGAATGGTAATTGGTTAATGTATGTACACTGTACAGGATGGGAATGGGTACATTTATGTACATTGTACAGAATGGTAATTGGTTCATGTATGTACACTGTACAGGATGGGAATGGGTACATAAACAGGCAAGAGCTAGCCTGTGTTATGATGAATATAGGAGAGAAGTTAACAATGGAGGAAATTCAGGTGACATTACTATTACCTACGTTAAGACCTATTTAGTATTATATACTCCCATATATGTATTTATGTATACTAGTAAATCGCGTATTTGGTAGCAAAAGGTGGATAACTGTCAAATAAGCGAAAAAAATCGCGTATATTCATTAAACTTTTGCTGACAAATAAAATTTTTTTATTTCGAAATTTAAAGTATTTAAAGTACTTAGAAAGCTCTGGAATAGGAGGACAAAATGAAGCTTTCGTTTAAGTGCATTTGATGTATCTATAAAGCAAATAGTTTTAACTGTAGCACGAAAGAAAATAAACTTTCAAAGTGACGTACATGGATCGGTGTACACTGTACACTGTACACTGTACATTGCACAATTGGGGTATTTCATGTTCAGAGAACTATAAGAAATTATAACCTTGGTCTAACCAAGGTTATAATGCAATGAAAGTTTTTGTACTGCAGTGTACTGTCTCTGGGCGGTAATGTAAACACAAGACGGATGTTGAAGCCCGACAAGGGATCCATCATTCACATAAAAAATTAATGAAATATTCTGGTCATAGATAACTATTATGTGAATTATCAAAATTATCAAAATTTAATGCTTTTAACCTCCTCGGAGACTAAACGAACACTGATGCATCTATTCTTGTTTACAAATTCCGCCCAGAGAGAACTGGTTTCAATATGTACGCAGAGTATTTGCAACTGCAATTAACTTTCCTTGCATTATAACCTTGGGTCTAAAAGCCCTTCTTATATTCCATTTTGAAATCACCCCCATTTTTCCATCAAAATGTTAATACTCTGTAATTGTGGTTCTCTATAAAAGTGACTTGCTGATTTGTGTTTTGGAAGAGAATTATGTCTTTTCAATTGACATCCGACATCTTTCCATCTATATAATAAAACAAGACATTCGTATATGTTTTCTACAGCCGACCAAACGGCTGGACAGAATGGGCTGACATTTTTTGTGGATACTCATTGGCAGACTGGGAGTGACATTGTCTTTACAAAAATTCGATTTTTATTTTCTCAAATATTTTATTTAAAATCTGTTGATAAAGATGTCGGACTTACAGCTGTTTTATATTCTATAAATATTATATTTACTTTCTAGAACTCACAGAAATTAAATATCTACTTTATAATTTATAAACATAAAAACGGCGTAAAAGATTCTGTATTTATGTACACAAGTACGTAACATCAGCTGCAGTTGAGTTCACATTGTACACTCCGGCAATTTAAACACTTTTTAAGAGATATACACACAGAGCTATCTGTCCTCGATTAACAGTCAAAAGTTTACAGGGTTAAGTTGTAAATCGGACATTGCCCTATTTGTAGGAAGGGTCACTTTAAATTACGCTCAAAACCCCTTTTAAGGGTTTCATTTCATACTTTGCGAATAACCCTGTATTTTTAGGAGATGATAGATGAAGCAGATATAGACGGAGACGGTCAGATAAACTATGAAGAATTCTATGTAATGATGACGGGGGCGCACGGCTAGGCTCAAACATCATGTTGAAACCAATTGTAAAACTATCATTAAAAGTCGTCTTTATTCTTCGCGTTTCTGTAAATTCTTGAATTTGTTGAGTGAGACCCATAACACTGTGGAATAAGAAGACGCTATTAAACTCTATTAATGATTTTTAGTCCAATAAACACGAAACACGGAGATTCTGCAATGTGCAGTGTAAACAGACCCATTTCAATTAATAAGGTGATTTTCATGCATAAAACAATTGGTTTAATAACATTATTTTACTTGAATATCGTCTTCACATTCCACAGGTTGATAAGGTCCAAGTTTATCAGAAAAAAGTTAAGCTGCTGTCGTTTTAAAGATTCATATTTTCATGTTCATTGTTAATTTTATATATTTATATAATTATTTCACCAATTATAGTGTTTTCGATAAAGATAAAAAGAAAAAGCAATATGTCGAAATTTGTATGTTAGAGATTTAAATGTATAGTTTCATATATAGCATATGTTAAATTAAAGTAAATTGAAATTTTGTATGTTCACAATTATTCCTCTTTTTATTAAAGAGCATATTGAGAAGAACATATATGTTTTGAATTTCAACAAAAAATGCAAAAATTCCGCGAAAAACAAAACAAAAAGCGTCTAATGCTGAGCTCGCCGCGCAGAGATTTTCACGTTAAACAAAGTTTTTTTTGCGCGCCATTAATTGTTGCAACTGCAACACTATAATTTTGCTCGACATTATTTTTGCAAAATTTCGCTTTCTTTCAAAAAATTCATTTTCGAGAAAAATTTACAAAATACGAATGAAAATTTTCTTCGTTTTCTTCAGCTGGAAACCTTAATCCAAAGGTTGCAAACTCTTCAGAAAAAATCTTCGATAATTTGGCTAATTACTTCTTTAAACTTCTTAAAAAGGTAAAAACAAGTACTTTATTTCTAAAATGACAACGTCTCATGCTACAAAAAAGTATAAGTGAGTTGGATAGATCAAATTTAAGGCCAAGGCGAGGCGACACTTCTGAGTTAACCCTGTCTTGAAAATTGATACAACTTTTCATAGAAGTCTGGATATACTTGATAAAAAGATAACCTTTTTCCCAAAAAGTTCTTCAGATTTAAGACCAAATTAAAGATTTTATTTATTGTAAAAGTTTAGAAATAAGAAAAGTACAGTATTCAAAATATTAAATTACATCATTCAAACATTACATTATTCATATATTATGGCAGATCTTATACATTATTATTTAAACTACAGATTTTATTTTATGAAACAAAAACTGGAAAAGTGGCAGTTGCTGCAAAACAAGTCAAAATAAAGCAGTTTTAGCATACACAAACAAAGTGTAATGGAAAAGGGACTTCCTGCAGAAAGGGGGAGGGGGACAGGTAAATTTTTTTTTGGCTATTGGAAAGAGTTTTATGAACATTGAAAGGAGTAAAAAAAATGACACACAAGAAAAAAATGAAAAAAATGTAATTTTAGTGCTCCAGACAATGTACAGCGGGACCCACAACACTGTGGGATAGGAAGACGACATCTAAATAAACCCGTGAATTGTGATAATCAAATGCTGCTAAAAAACAATTTCTTTCCCCGGTTAAAGTGAACTGGGGCTGTGTATACTGAACACAGCATCAATGCTGTGTTTCATGTTCCTTGGACTAATTATAATAATATCTTGAGTCTAACAGTCGTCTTTCTATTCCACAGTTTTCTGGGTCTCATTGTATTAGAGAAGAGATATTTTAGCACTCTAAACAGGGTCTATTGGAGGAAGGACATGACTCTGGAAGAATAGAAGAGATACTTTTCACATTTTCCAGTTCAGATTCCAGGAGTTCTATTTCAACCTCTACACTCCGGTTCAGAACATACTAAATAAAAACACATATTATTGTAATCATCAAAACCCCCAAAAAATGATTAATTAAGAATTTAATGGTTAGATGGTTGCGTACAAATACCAGCATGCAAAGCATNAGCCTAATCATATCTGGTTTGAAGCCACATTTTTTCATTCGAACACACTCTTCTTTTTTGGACATTTTCGAATTTTCCATCAAAATCATTGGAATTACAGAGTTAAGAGGTTTGCGACAATTATTGTATTTTATATAGAGAAATAAATAAATTATGACAGCATACTATGAAGCTAACATACAGGTCGAGGCTTATTTTATGCTTGTAATAAATAAATGAATCTCATTAATATCTTCGTAATCTGTTAATATGTTTCTTTAGTTCATTGAACCTAGTCAATTTATTTACCTATACCTTTTTACATAAATATAGACACAGACTCTTGTTATTTACGGATTGTATATATCTGGATAGATAGAGGGAGGACAGAGTTTGTGACAGATTAAGGGTAAGTATGCCTAAACGTTTTCAGATTTTAAAAGATTTAAAAACGAAAAACTCCAGACGCACAAGGCGCATATGGAGTTGGCTCAGATGAGAAAAACGATGGCAATGCGGCTCGGATCTACGTATGATCGATGATGGTCTTCCTCCCCTCGGTGAATTGATTTGTATTAAACATGATAAAACAAGAGTGTAACATGTGGATAAATAAAGTATTGAAATACAAATAATTTGTAAACAGAAACTAGAAAGTTTATGTATCTAATGTCAGATGAACATGATTCTATGATTAAAATGTAAAAGATTTCTCAAATCTGAAATTTTTAAGAAGTCTCAACAAGTTAGATATAAGCCCGGCCCCTTGGGTTTAATATTTTTTGCAACAACATTTTGAAATATAGCTTTATCCACATATGCCTATATTTTCATATATTTTCATATATTTTCATATATTTTCCCAAATGTATTTTTTCATTTTGTGACTGTTCAGCCCCGAATAAAAAATGACTGAACACTTGACTTGAAATCCAATTTTCAAATATGTACATCTTTGCAACCTGATGGTCAAACTTTTAATATTTCAAACTTTGACTGCGTCATTTAGAAAATATTTAAGTTTAAAATATAAAGCAGGTTTATTCCATTGGGTTGCAAAGATAGAAAAATACTTTCATTAAGAATTAAAAAGGTTATATTTGCAGGTAAAATACTAAAATTGGATAAAACATTAGACAAGTCTATTTAATAAAAACTCATTTAGAAACTTTTCAGTTAAGAAAATAATACATCGGGAGGTATCAGGGGTTAAAATAAAAGAAACAAAATATCAAAGTATAGAGAACTATAAAGAACAAAGCAAATTTAGTGTTTCACGTAAAAAAGCATTGAGAGTGCACAAACTACACAAAATAAAACAAGCTAAGCAAATAGAGAAATAGCGAAGCAAAATAAAATGAAGCAAAGCAAATATATAAAAATCAATACATGGTATGTAGAATGTAGATAAATAGTAAATACTGCAGCACATCAAAAAACCTAAGCATGTAAAAATAGCAATGCAAAACATACGGCCGTTTAAGCATACAAATACAATAACAAAGCAAGTACAAAAAATTAGATAGTCTATCTACACTGTACAGTGTACAGTATACACAAGCTAGCAAACTGAACAAGTACGTAATTAGCGAAGCATAACAAACCAGCTATAATTAGAACAAGAAAGCGATTGCAAAGATAGATGCATAGGACAAAAATGAAAGGGCAAAGTAGCTGAAATGAAGCAGTAAGCAGTAAGCACAGGTGCCTGAATACCTAACACTTGTCCTCTAGGCAATTATTGTAAGGTTTAGGACACAAGGACGGTAGGGAGGACATGATGTCCTCTATTGTCTGAACCTCGTCAGTCACCAACTTGTTTTCCGCGGTCAGAACATTTAACCGGTCTATCTAAAGAATTTAACCGGTCTATATAAAGAATTTAACCGGTCTATATAAAGAATTTAACCGGTCTATCTAAAAAATTTAACCAGTCTATATAAAGAATTTAACCGGTCTATATAAAGAATTTAATCGGTCTATTTAAAGAATTTAACCGGTCTATATACAGAATTTAACCCGTCTATATAAATAATTTAACTGGTCTATTTAAAGAATTTAACCGGTCTATCTAAAGAATTTAACCGGTCTATATAAAGAATTTAACCGGTCCATATAAAGAATTTAACTGGTCTATTTAAAGAATTTAACCGGTCTATCTAAAGAATTTAAACGGTCTATCTAAAGAATTTAACCGGTCTATCTAAAGAATTTAAACGGTCTATCTAAAGAATTTCCCCGGGCTACCGTAATCTAATGTGTCAAATGTTTAACAATAATATATTACAAGAATTACAAAAGTTCCATTACCAATGAACGTTCCTGAATAAATGCATATTATAAGGATTACAAAATTTCCATCATCATTACATTTTGCTTGATCCAAGGAACGTTTCTTTGCTAAATATATATCGCAGTTCCATCACCATTATTTTTAATGCATGTTCCCAATACTGTTCCTTCACCAATAAATATATATATATATATTCTACAAGAATTATAAGAACTACAAAGATTCCATCACCTAGAAACATAAATTAAACAACGTTCCCATCACCGGGAACTGACCTATCAAAAACTAAATTTAGGGTTCCAATCTAATCTTGTTCCAGCACTGGTGGGGTAACGAGTTCCTTATTTCCTCAATACTGTTCGAAAGATAATATTCAAGCGTTCCAGAGATAATAATTAAACAGTTCCAGAGATAATATTCAAGAGTTTCAGAGATACTATTCAAGAGTTCCAGAGATAGTATTCAAGAGTTCCAGAGATAATATTCAAGAGTCACAGAGATAATATTCAAGAGTTACAGAGATAATATTCAAGAGTTACAGAGATAATATTCAAGAGTTACAGAGATAATACTCAAGAGTTACAGAGATAATATTCAAAGGTTACAGAGATAATATTCAAGAGTTACAGAGATAATATTCAAAGGTTACAGAGATAATATTCAAGAGCTTCATGAATAATATTAAATCGTTCCAGAGATTTACCAGTTCCAGAATAAGTAGATATTCATGAATACTCAATACATATAGAGATAATATTCAAAAGTTCAAGAGATAATATTTCACACAAAAAGAGAAAGGTATCCATTAGTTTTTGACCGAAAAATAAAATAAAATGATGTTTTGAATATATTTCCTTCTGAATTCTGTAGAAAGGAATGTTATTTCCTCCATATACTCGTGTAAAAGAGTTCTCTGAAATTGAATAAATAAAAATCCATTGATACAAATTCAATATTCAATGTTCATGAATTCGGATTGTCATGCCTACATCTTCTCATTGCTAGACACAACCTATAAAAGTTCTGAAAATATATGATTAGTACCCCCCCCCCCTTCCCAACATACTATATATTAATTGTACAGACTAAGTAAATGAAAAACTAGTAAAATTGTTGTTACATGGATGAAATAAAATCTTAATTTGAAACAGGGTGAGCTAGCTTATTTTACGGAAAAAGGGTTATTTTCAAACATTCAACAATTTTAATTGACATTTCTTCAATAAAATGCGCGACTGATTCACAATGGTGACGTTTAAACCTTTGTCTATCAAGCATGAATGAGATATCCTTATTATTCTAGCTAAAATAGATATTTTTGATTTGCGGATTTATGCTGCAGATACAATACAGGTAATGTCAGAATTTAACAATTTTGAAAAAGACTCCATTTTCCTCAGTGATACCCAGCTAGAGGTTAAAAGGGTACCATATAGTGAATAAAAAATGCTCCTCTTTATAACAAGGCTCAAATAAAATTACGCATATAGTTCTGTAAAAACTGTAATCCCTGCCAATTACCTGCTTTTGTTTAGCCTGCTCTAGTTCCTCCAGTCTCAGTTCAAGATCTGCCTCAAGAAACTTAGATTCAGCAGCAGATACTCGTCTTTCTAGATCCGCTAGCAGTCCAGGCTCTTCATAGATAAATATATAGATTTTTAGATACATAGATGGACAGATAGATAGATAAAAAAATCTAGGAATTTAGATCTTCAAAGAATTTTTTGAAGATAGCCGAAAGACATGAAACATTTCATGTTTAGAATATTTTTTTTTGAATAAAATGCGAAGCTAAAAACTCAAAAAGATAGATATATAGATGGATGGTTAGATAGTTATAAATAGACAGAGAAATAGATGGGGTATATAGGTTGATAGATAGATAAATAGATAGATATATAGATGGATGGTTAGATAGTTATAAATAGACAGAGAAATAGATGGGTTATATAGGTTGATAGATAAATAAATAGATAGATATATAGATGGATGGTTAGATAGTTATAAATAGACAGAGAAATAGATGGGGTAAATAGGTTGATAGATAGATAAATAGATAGAAGGAAAATCATATGCTGATAGTGCTTTTGGTTTCCTCAATGTATTCTCAGAATAATTATCTTCAGGTTTACCTGGTTCTTCAACAGTTTGAAGAATTGCAGATATCTCCTCCAACTCCTTCTTTGCCTGAGCAACCTTGGTGGAAGCATCCTGGGCCTGAGTCTGGGCCTGGTTTGCCTCCTTCAATGCTCCCTGGGCTAGTTCAGAATCCTTGATTGCCGTAGCGTTCTTAAGCTGAACTGTGACTGTTGTTTCCTCCAGCTTATCCCGAAGGTTTTCAGCATCAGATTTAAGTTTTGAAGCAGCACTTCGGGTTTCAGTCGACTCAGCCACAATACCCTTAGCGGTTGCAGAGGCTTTCTCAGCGATTTCTTTTGATGTTGTGGCAACATCAAAAGCAAGGTTTGAATTATTCTCTGCATCACTAAGCTGTTTGCTTGCTTGTTCAGTTTTTTCATTAGCATTTCTTATAGTAGCCTCAATATCCTGGATTCTGGTCAGAGCTTGCTCAGCAGCGTCTTTATTACTGCTGACACGGTTTTCAAAATCCTTCAGGGTTTCCAAAGTGTTCTGGGCGTCCTCAAGGACGTTATTTCCAAGCTGTACAGCTTCAGTGGCTCTTGATCTGTGTCTCTCCATATCCTCCAGTCTGTTGTCCACCTCCTGCTGTTGCATGTTAGCCCTGTTCAGAAGATCCTGCAGGTTCATTCTCTTCTCCATTGTATTCCGGACCAGAGGACTATACTCATCCATCAGCCTCTGAGCATCCTCTTTAATTCTCTTAGAATCCTCTGATATTTGACGAGCCTGACTCTCCAAGTTGGCAGAGTTAATGACTGGAACCTCCAGATTAAACACCTGCTGATAAATATTTAAAGCGTCATCATAAGCATCTGTTGCTTTTAGTAGAGTGTTAGATGAGAGTTTCTCAACAGTGATTAGCTTGTTCTCAACCTCTGCCAGTTTATACTTGAGAGTGTCAATCTTGTTAGCGTTGTGAACCTGCTCCTGCATAGCAGAATATGCAAGCTGATATGCGTCATTGGACATCTCATACGCTTGTTCAGCAATACTTGTGATTTCATTAGCATCCTCTTCTTGTTGTTCCATCAACTGCCTGGCCTCTGCAGCAATCTGAGTCATCTTTTCACTTCCTTCTCCAAATTTCTTAGCTCTCTCTTGGGCTTTTCTCAAGGCTTCACGACCTTTTACATCCATCTGGTTCTTAGCTGATTTCAGTGCTTCCCTAGCTCTGTTGATAACCATCTCTGCCTTCTTAACATTATCCTTAGCTTGGTTTCCATGATTGTTTGCTACATCCAACTGCTTGTCTGCATTACTCACTAGCTGGACAACTTCATCTAACTTATCTGACAAGTTATTGAGTCGATCCTTTAGGGTTCCTCCTTCCTCATTCTGTGAGGAAATCTTGGCATCTGCTACCATGGTTTTAACACGAACTTGAAGTTTCTTCAATTGGATTTCAAAATCATCCCCAACAGGTTCAGGGTTCTCTGCTATCTGCTGGAGCAACTTGTCTAAAGATTCAAGGTTTCTCCTATGCTGATTAGCAGACTCTTGAACTAAATTGTAACAATCATCACAAGGTTCACAAATCTTTTCTCCATAACCTCCATTATCCCTACTCCGGGTATTTTCCATGCATCTGTCACACATTCTTCCTTCCACCTTGTTCCTACAGGGACATTGACCAGTTAGCTCATTACACTGAAGATCTGTTGATCCAGTTGGGTCACATTCACAAGCTTGGCATCCATTCACAGAGAAACCATAATGATAGGCCTCACATACATCACACCGCAGACCGGTTACTCCAGGCCTACAGTAACACTGACCTGAGTAGACATTACAAGTACCATTGATAGATCCTATGGGATCACAGTTACAAGGATCACAGCCCATGCTGCTATCAATCCTGAAGTATCCATCCTTACACTTGTCACAGTCATGACCCACAACATTAGGTTTACAAGAACATTTCCCTGTGTAGCTGTCACAGACGGGTAGTAATTGGTTAGTATCTAGATGAGTTCCAGGAGGATAACATTGACAAGGTTGACAATTCTGGGGTTCTCCTCTCTTCCTGACTGCTGTTGCATTTCCAAAGAATCCTGATTTACATCTTTCACAAGTAAAGCCAGCAGTATCATCTATGCACCTCAAACACTCTCCAGTTACCCTGTCACAGTTACCTAGAGCATTTGCATCCACATTTCCATTACAGTTACATTTCCGACAGGATCTAACCTCTCCGTTTCTTCCGTCTGGATCACCAAAAAATCCGTCAGCACACTGCTCACATCGTGTTCCATCCCGTCCCTCTGGGCACTCAGTACAGATAGGACTGTTTGGATCACCCTGAATCTCAAAGCAAGCTCCAATCCTAGTTTCACCTTGCTCACCTACAACCTGAGGACAAGGACAGGCCTGACAGTCATCAGGAGTTCCAAGAATGGCATCTCCAAAGAATCCCACTAAACAGGTCTCACAATTATGTCCATCAGTATTGTGATTACACTCACACTTCCCGGACTCTATGTCACAGTAATCAGAATGGCCATTGCAGTTGCATGGAACACAGCGGGCAAAAGGTCCACCATTGTTTTCATGATAGTAACCACGTTGGCATCTCTCACAAAACTGACCTTCATAGCCGTTTGGACACTCACACTTCTCAACAAAAATGGCGGGTGGTCCACTGCCACGAAGTTCAGCTGAATCCATCTGAACATCATCAAGGAATCCCATCCCAGAAGTGACATATGTACCTCTGATCTTGATGGACTTGATGTTGGATAAGACAGCCATGAAATCTGCCGCACTGAGGGACGGAGTCCAACCATACTCCGGGCTCTCATGTAGTGTAAATGTATAATCCTGAAGCTGATAGGACGGCATTGGATTGTTCTGCTCTGTGATCGAAAGTGAGATCTTTAGTGGAATTTTTCCACTTCCTTCAATGATGATGTCCTCTACCGAAGGCCGCGCACCTGCATCTTCAGCTCCTATTCTCAGCTTAAACCTGAGCTGATGATTGTAAACGGCTCGCTGATCTCCCAAGAACTTCTGTGGGGCCAGGAAGAAGGCTGTTTCCTGCAGGGACTGAACTCCGATCAGTTTGGCAAATCCATCGAACTTGAGTGGAGTTATTTGATCTCCTTCAATACTCTTCCATTCTCCGTCACTTCTGGAGAAATCGTTTCCAATGACCACTAAAAAAAAGATATTTAGAATCTAAAAATAAAGTAGGAATATGTAACCTAAGTGCAAGATTTTTTTATATTTGAAATTTGAAAGATATATGTTCTCATTTTAGTAATTTGTTATGCTTCCACAGGAATTGTGGAAAAGATTTGTAAAACGTTTTTTAAAAGTTTATGGATTAGAGTACGACTGGTTCAACTTACTCTTCTGAGACTTAATTTGTTAAAACACAGTTTTAATCTGATTTTATTAAGCAGAGTTCAAAAACCTATTAAGAGTTTCTTCGCTTGGACCAGTGGTTTAACTATCTTCATAAACTTCCAACTCAGAAGATGATTAAGTATATTACTTAAAGAACTTACTCTTGGTAAAGCCTCGAGCTTTATCACACTGTGAGGTATGCCCGTAGCAGAAGCATGGAGTACAACCAAACTTATTATCAGACGAGATCTAACAATTATATAAATAGTCACAATACGATAATAATAATAACATCAATAGTTTAATTAACTTTTCCTCAAAATTTGCAAACTAAAATGAAAGTTGTGTTCTAGTGAATTCATTAATAGAATTTCAAGACTGAACATTTTATTTCTTGAGAAAAAACTTGTCTATGAAATGTCAGTATATATGAAAAAGTGCTCCGTGTTAAAAAAATGAGAAAACCAAGTGCTGATAACAGAAAGCATGACTGTAGATGTGTATAATTTATTTAGAAAAAAATGATTTTTTCAGATGATTTTAAAATTTGCAAAAAAAAGATTTTTGCAAATATCAATATCACAAAAATCTGGCGAAAAGGAGATGATTCATCTGGTTTTACAATTTGCTCCAGCTGTGCTTAAAGTCCTGTACATTCCTTGAGTTCCAGTGAAATACTCTAGAATGATCGAATTACCTCAAAATGTCCAGGCTTACATCTGTCACAGCGTTGACCTTCAATATTCTGTTTACAATTACATTTACCAGTGTCTACAGCACACTTAGGTCTAGAACAATAATAATAATAATAATAATAATAATAAGAATAATAATAATAGTACTCACGAGTTATCTAAACTGCCTTCAACTAGACAATTACATGCTTTGCATCCTTGATCTGCCGCAGTTGGGAAGCTCCAGTAATTTGCCTAAAAATTGTAATTTTCATTTGATTATTCAAAATGAATTATCCCGATTTAGATTGTTCCAATACTTTTTATTTGCTAAAATGGGACCAAAAAAATTTGTTAGACTCATACACAGACCCATTTTGTAATACCTTTTCTCTGGAACCCAATGTCGTAGACTTTAGATATTTTAAACTATGAAATCTGTTAGATCAATTAGCCTAAGTAGAAATATTAAAGGTTTACATCATTAGGTTGCAAAAATATAAAAATTACAAAATTTTGAGTTTGTGGCAAAAACTCAATTCCTTTTTAAGCTTCAAGTAAAATTAGTTGCTTTTTGATTTATACAGCATTGTATGTACTTAAGGTTCATTGAATGTCGTTTACCACACGCACCTATGACTCTTTAGTAAAAGTAAATTCAACCTTAAGTCCGACCGCGTCAACCTTGTTGCACCGGCTCTAGTCCTATTGATCCTATTGAGTGTCTGCTTTATTTACCCAATGTCCGTGCGATACAGTACAAACTGGGACCGGAAAGGTTGACTCAGCTCGGAAATTCAAATGTACTACTTCTGCCCGTGACCATTTTAATAATTTAATAGGTCCCAGTGTATAAGCATAGAAATAATATTATCAACCTATAGTTTGGGAGTTGGGAGTTTGGGATTCCCCAATAAAAAATTTAAAGAAATTTGGATCTTATGCTTTTTTTCAAACAGGGCACCAATCCCTTTAAAGGGACTGTCAACGTAGTTCATTCCAATTTAAAGCCAAAATGGGAAATTAAAATTTTTAGATAGAAAAACAAGAATTTCTTCTTCAATGGAGGACACTGTTGTGAATCGGGTTTGCAACTTTTTACCTGGAGGGTCACTTGAAAATAAGGAGACAGTCCCTTTAAGTTTAAAAGAATGGTTTACCGCACACTGATCACACTTATCTCCAATAACTCCAGGTTTGCAGGAACATTTACCGTCTATTGAACACTGCAGATCAACGGAACCTTAAAACATATTATTATAAAGATTTATTCACACACAAAGATATAAATACATATATAAATGGTGTAGTTAAAATTTGTTTAAATAAATTTTTTTGAAAATACAGGTTTCCAAAAGAAAAGAGAAAAAATATGCAAAATTATGCACAAATAGAAAACATTGATTTTTACTCACTACATAACATATTTATCATTTCAGTTATTACGTAATCATCGAATCCTTCAACATATAAATTATTCATTCTTGTACTTAAAAGTTCTTGTAAAACCGGAACTTTCCATTCATGTTCCAATGGGGCATCAAAATATTTCATTTGTTTCTTAACTAACATTTTACTAAGATCGGAAGGATTTACAGAACAATCATTTGCAATACAAAATAAATTTCTGCCAATAAATTTCTGTTGAGGTCATTTTTACATAAATTAGAAAGAAATCTAATGCAAAGCTTAGAACTTGCTTCAATAGTCTCATAGAAAGACACACATCTGCTAGCTAACATAGTTTTTACATGTAAACATTGTGAAATACTTTCAATCAAGTACCTATACGTATCTCTAGGTACATTAAAAAGAATTCTAATAGCAGTATTCCATGCTGTATACAATTTTGAAACACATTGGGAACTCAAGTCCCAAATACTAGATCCATAAAAACTACAACAGTAAATATTATACAGTTTCAAAATAACATCAGGACTGTTAAAATAAAATTCTTGGTTAAGGAAATGAATTTTTGAAATGAAAATTGCTCGTTTTTTATTGCAATCTATGGTCATTGAATTATCACTTTGCAGAACATTTCCTAAATGTTTTAAGTCGTTAACAAATGGTAAAGGTAATTCATTCAATAAAATTGGGGTTATTTCATTATAATTAATCCTTTCTTTAGAAAAAATAAGGCATTTAGTTTTACATTTTTCGATTCGAATATTTGTACTAAATTTCAGCTTAGTAGCTTTGGCAAAATTTTCACAAATTTTCACCATTTCCTGAAGACCTGTTCTGCTAGGAGAAAGCAGGATAATATCATCTGCATATACCCAGATGCCCATATAGACACCCTGGATTTGGCATCCAAAAGTTGAACATCGTAATAACTTGATAATTTTGTCAATGTAAATACAGAATAGCACAGGGGAAGAAACTGCTCCTTGTCTGACTCCATTTTGTACATTGAAGGCATTTGAGAACGCATTACCCCATCTAACATTACATTTTTGATTTGAGTAAATGAACATTAAACACCTTAATGCTAGAGGTGAAACACCCCTCTCCAATAACTCTGTGAAGAGCACTTCCCAGAGATCAAAACTATTTCAACGAATCCTTGTTATTATTTTCTGTTGGTGGATTTATACAGATAGATAGATAGATAGATAGATAGATAGATATAAGGATAGATAGATAGATAGATAGATAGATAGATAGATAGATGGATAGATAGATAACCAAAAGAGTTCTGAAAATTCAGAAAAAAACTGAAAAATCATTTGATAACATTGACAAAATATTCTCATAAGAAAAAAGTAGAGCTGGGAACTTTAGAATTGGAAACCTTTAATCCCGCTTGCTTAATTTGAATATCCAATGTGGACACTTTTAATGTCTTGCTTAATCCACTCATTTTGGATATAGTAGAAAATCAAAAACCGGTTTTTCAAAATTATAGAGTTCCTACCGTCTCGTCTTAACTAAAGGAGAGAACGCTCATTAAATGCCGCGCAAAATTTCAAATTTCTCGGCTTCTGATACGCCACTCTGATTGGTGAAACTTTATACACTTTTCAGGATACAAACACAAGATTAGATTAGCCTCGAGATAAAAAAGAGAGGATCAAGCATTGATCTCGATATCCAGCTCAGGATGTCCTATAATGATTAAAGATGGAAATTAAAGGATTGTTTTCATATTCTCCTTTATTCACGTGAATTTTGTTCGTAGAACCAGTATATAGTTAATAATGAAAATTCAAAGTCAAAATGTTGTTTACATCTTTATACAAGAATTGACGGAGATTTGGGGAAATTTTATTTTCCACATTCTGGTTTGTTCAATAAAATTAAAATTGTCTTTACACTGGGACCGTTCACTTATTTGGGTAATTTAAGGGTAAACTAAAGAGCCTATTAGCTTTTAATTGATATTAGTTTTACTTTTCAGGACAACTGTGGCCGGAGAAAAAGCCGATTTATCATTCAGAATTAATTCCAGAGCAAAGGTATGATAACTTTGCTTTTACACTATTTGATGCTTTTTGTCATAGTCATAGATTTTAAAAATTTTCAAATATCAAATTGAATTGTAGTATCTAGTAGTTAGTTGTAGATATCTATGATTTTTTAAGTTGATTTAAAATTGTCTATTTTTAAAATATTTTAAACATTTAACAGTTTGATACGTTTTCTTACTTCCCCGGGAATCCCCGTGATTTATTGAAGAGTTGGAATCTAGGAACCGGTTTGTCTGAGAGAGAAAGTCATCTTTGTATAAACGTGTTAATTTTTTAAATCATGTTTGATCACGAAAAAAGTTAATTTCTTGCTAATACTAAAATCAAAAGTTTTTATATTTTATCATACAATGGCTGACACATGATGTCATTGAAGTATGATAATTTTAGATTTCATTGGGCAGTTGTTTCTGAATAAACGTATCTATGCAAAGGTATCATACCTATGCGCTGAAATTCTAAGCAATAAATCGGTTTTTTCTCCGGTCATAGATATCTATGAAATGTAAGACTAATACCAATGAATAACTAATTAGTTAACCATGAAATTATCCAAATGAGGAACGGTCCCTTTAAAGATGCAATAAAATTTGGCCAAATTTTGTAATTTACGACCTTTTTTCTTACTTCAAAAATCAGAGATCAAAGAATATTTACCATGAGACTATGTATAATTCTATATATTTACTGGAGCACTCCTCATAATTTCCATGTTTACTAGGACACCCTGTATAAATACCTTCTGGGTTGCAATCACAGGATTCACAGGGTTGACGGCCTTGGACATCTTTTACAGGAGATATATAGTGATAGGGTAGACATCTCTCACAGTGTGGCCCATCCCTTCACATCGAATTATAACAGGGGTCCATATAATTCCCAAAATAGCTGATTTTCTCGATCCCAAAATAATTTTTTGCCCCCGACTTAAAAAAAATGGGAATTGTAAAAAAAATGCCCCCAGTTAAAAAAACATTTTCAAATTCCACTAACACGTTTGCCCCCATATGCATTGCCCCCAATTTGAAAAAAATGCCCCCAATTAAAAAAAAACATTTTAAATTCCACTAACACATTTGCCCAAAAAAAATTTGCCCCCATTTCTTTTATATTTGTCAATCCCAAATGGGATTGAAAAAGGAATTATATGGACCCCTGAATTATAATAATAATTGTTTACCATCCCTTTATATAGAAATATTAATTAATATTAGTGACCTGTTTCCAGAGCACTCCATGCACTCCCCTCCACTCCCAGTCTGAGTATAGAGTTGCTCATTAAACCTGCATCTAGTACTCCACCCATTACAGTCACAAGCTAAACAAACATGTATGTATATGTAAATGTATATTTATATGTATATTAAAATGTATATGTATATTTATATGTATATTAAAATGCATATGTATATTTATATGTATATTAAAATGTATATGTATATTTATATGTATATTAAAATGCATATGAATATTTATATGTATATTAAAATGCATATGTATATTTATATGTATATTAAAATGTATATGTATATTTATATGTATATTAAAACGTATATGTATATTTATATTTATATTAAAATGTACATGTATATTTAAATTTTTAGGTGAAGTGCCCGGCGTTGCCAGTGAAATTTTTAAGAATTTTTTTTAAAATTAGAAAAAAATTCTATTCTTGAAAAATTAATTGATTTTTTTTACTATGTTACTCCCGAGATACACCTGGGTTCCCTAAAAAAAATCAGCCGATTTGGTCCAGCATTTTGGCCAGCTATAGCTTACATATTTATATTCTGTTTGTTTGTCTGTTTATCTATTAGTATCCAATAAACGTCAAAACGGCTGTACCGAACGGGCCCAAATTTTTTGTCGGACCTCACGTGACCCCAAGATAGTTTTATGGATGATTGAATTTTCAAATTTTTCCCTCTAACAAAATTCGACTTTTGAAGATTGTGAAAATCCACGATTTTCCCGCAAACTTTTGTTTTGTTTTTATTTTAAAATGCATAAAAAGAGAAAATAATCACAATTGAAATAGAAGATGTATAAAAAGCACCCTGAAAGCCTTGTAAATATATATACACATGTATGAGCAAAGATCTTTATTATATGATATAAAAATCCTACAGGAGCCAGTAAACCAAGGAGTTTTCCCATCCCAGTCTCCCTCTGTTAGCTGGAGATACTGCTTACCAGCGCCCTGGCCAGATACTACAACTTTACAATAATATAATCAAATAGGGCAGATCATACAGCGGGATTCAGAAAACTGTGGAATGGATGGACGACCACTATTAAATAGATTTTCAATATTCCATTTTAAAACAAAATGCCATTTTAGTTGATTTTCAAGCTACTGGTTGTAAAAACTTTTGTTGTTGTTGTAAAAACTGTATAGCATTAAACTATAAACGATATTAAACTATAACTAATTAAATATCTGCCAATCTGATTTATCCCTGAGTATTGTATAATGGCCAGAACTATTATGGTCTTTCCTCTGATCATCCTCATTTTATTCAGTTTATTTATCCATACATTCTTTCTTTAGATTATCTTGTTGAACTTGGATTTATAGAAGATTCAGGAGTTATGATGATTTCAATTCAATTTGTAATCTGGGTTCATTTTGACATTTCTTGGTGGTTGGATGATTGTTTTGTCGCTTGACTGACTGGTTGGATGGTTAGTTTGTCTCTTGGATGACTGATTGGTTTGTTGGTTGGATGGTTAGTTTGTCTCTTGGATTGCTGATTGGTTGGATGGATTGGGTTCTTGCTGAATGATTGGATATCTCAGTTGGTTAAATATTTGTTAGAATTTGATTAATGGATAACTGAATGTTGGATGAAATGAGTTCTTTGTTTATTTGGCTGAATAATTTTATGGTTCATTAAATAATTTGTAGTTGTGAGATTTTATGGCTGCAAACTTGGTTGGTTGGTTGTATGGTTGGTTGGTTGTATGGTTTTATGGTTGGATGGTTGTATCGTTGTTTGGTTAAATGGTTAGATGGTTGGAGGGTTGAATGGTTGGAGGGTTGTATGGTTGGACGGTTGGATGGTTGGAGGGTTGGATGGTTGGATGGTTGGATAGTTGGAGGGATGGATGGTTAAATGGTTGTATGGTTGGTTGGTTTGATTATCTGAAGCTGGTTTTACAATGTTTTCTCTTGGAAAAGTTTAGCTGCAAAGTCTAGATAAAGATCTAGGAATGGGATTAGTTAAGAAGATGAAGGATGAGAGAGATGTTTACATTTTCATCTTGAAAAATAATCTAAAATTAAACCAAAAACTAAACTTTTTTCTTCAAAATGATTCAAAAAAACTTTCAACAAAATTCTAAGTGACCCTAAATGGAAAAAAATCTATTTTCTAAGAATTTTGATATCTCATTTATTCTTGAACAAGTAAAGGGTATCGGACGCACCTCTGCCCCTTCAGTAAAAGTAAATTGAACCTATATAAAGCATAAAGTCTGACCGCGTCAACCTTGTTTCACCGGCTAGTCCTGTCCATAGAGCTAGGTACAGTACAAACTGGTACCGGAAAGGTTGACCCGGCTCGGAAATTCAAATGTACTACGGCTGCCCGTGATGTTTATCTTTTCTCACTTTTTCCTTCCTTAGCCCTTACACATATATTCATCCCATTATTATTCCCTTCAATAACTCCCCCCCCCCTCCTCCCCTAGCATATTTCCCTGCATTGCGGTGTCTCCATTATTACGAGAAAATTATCATATTTTCACAAAACTTCAAACTTCGAAACATTTTAAAGATTAGAAAATTGAAATATTCCACTTATAATTTGTTTATTGTTTTCTTCATGTTTTTCCTTTTTAGTCTTTTTTTTCTTTTTCCCTACTTTTCCCCATTCCCGAAAACTTGGTGAAAATATTGCAAACTTGTGAAAGTTTAATCTAAAAATTCCAAAATTTTAAAACATTTAGTTTCCAATGAACTCAATGAAAAATCTATAATTAAATTAAGGAACTGTGCCCAATTCACAAAGGTACCCTTTAAACATACAATGATAAACAGAAAACTCTGAAATAGGAAGACGAATTTTTTACTCAAGTTATAACTTTAAAACATGAGACACAGCAATAGTACAATGTATACAGACCCATTTTACTAGGTTAATGATTTAATAAGTGTCTAGTAATAAGATTTGTAACAACATTAATTACAATAAATTATTGCTGTCGTTTTCTATTCCATTTTTTTCTGTTTATCGCTGTAAATCTACAGAAAAGTGTTAAATTCTACCAATTTCCTTTTTCCCTCTGCTTCATAAATCTGCAATGTTACTCAAGAGAAACTACATTGTGAACCAGACATATATCTCACTTGAAACTAGGTAGTCCCTTGAAGCAAATGTTATAAAGACTTTAACGCGCGGATAAAAAGGGAGATTTGAATGCCGAATATAGAACAATTAATATAAATGTACTCTATGTTCTTCGGCCTTTAATGACGAAACACAACTCCACAACTGAGTTTCACGTAAGGGGTTAAATAAAAAATGAGTGAAATTGAAAGTGAACAGAAATCTCTTTAAAAAATTTACACTTTCATGAACCTTTATTCTTTTTGTTTTAGTTAGAAAAAAAACTATATTGTGAAGTCTTAAAATTGTTTAATCTACAGAATGGATTCACCCCTCCCCTGGTTTTGTTATTGCCCAAGTCCAAATACCCAACTTTTACCTGCCCAGTGGGCCCTGAAACTCAGTGCTCACTAGTGGGCCCTGAAACTCAGTACTCACTAGTGGGCCCTGAAACTCAGTGCTCACTAGTGGGCCCTGAAACTCAGTGCTCACTAGTGGGCCCTGAAACTAACTTCAATCAGAAAGACTATTATGGCTTATAGACAGACGAAATATATATAGTCAAATACTGCCAGGAATACTTAGGACTGCATGGACCTACGAATAAGGAACATATACATAGTATAGTATAGTGTAAAGTGGACAAATATGACTAGTGGATGAATTACACAAAAATTGCTGTAGACTGTAAAAGTGAATATATAGTGAATATGACTAAGCCAGTGACTAACAGACACTAATAAATACATGAAAGACATTAGAAGAACCGAATTTTAGCGCTTCGTGCACATGTTTAATTTAATAGTATCTTTATTTTTTAAGCTGTTGGAAGAAAATTTGTTTAAACACAAAAACAAGTCATGGATATTTTAAGAATTTGGTATATTATTGAGCACAGAGCCAACCATTCAGCAATTAAAAAATGATGTTTTTTTTGTTTTTTTTTTACTTCAAATCCTGAAATTGCAGCGGTTTTTTGTACACCCTACCCCAGCCCTTCAAAATTTTATTTTACCCCCCCCCCTTTCACGAAAGTGCTAGTTGCGCTACTGGAGATATATATTTACATTGTTTGTATGTCTGTCAGGATATTTGTGTCCAATAAACGTCAAAACGGGTGAACCGATCGGTCCTTAATTTTGTGTGGGACCTCACATGACCCCAAAAAAGGTTTATGAATGATCAAAATTTCAAAACTTTGCCTCTAACAAAATTCGATTTTTTATTAAATTTAAAAATCCACGAATTTTTTAGTTTTGTTTTACAATGTATGCAAAGAGAAAATGTTCACAATTTAAATAGTAAATGATATTTTACTTTATTGAGGCTTCATAAACAAGGTGAAAGAAGGAACACATTAATTAGAAGAATCCGAAGGAACACATTAATTAGAAGAATCCGAAGGAACATAATAATTAAGAAATATATAAGAAAACGAAAAACACTAGACTGGGACCAAGAGACTCCATTTCTGAAAACCACCTCTGAATAACTAAACTATACTCATGCTTAAAGTTAAGGGTGGATACATGGAGGGGGCGGCAGGATCTTCGCACCCCATTCACAGATTCAGGGGGGGCATAGCCCCCTTGAGATTTCAGAATAGCTTCTCAATAGCACTTAAGGGAAAGAAAACCTAGTGCAAAACAAGAAAGTCAAAAAAAAATTTTTGTTCCGAAATAAATCTAGCACCCCCCTAACTTAAATCCTGTATCCACCCCTGTTTAAGGTCTTGTATGGCACATATTTTTCGCAAACCCTGTCAATCATAATAGCGATATATCCAGAGAAAAGAGTATTAGTATTAAATTGTAAACTTCTGTATTGTTTAATGTAATTTTGCTTTAGACAATATAAATGATGAATATATACTACAAGAACAATACATATATACAAATCATCTTCTATATAATAAAGCTCTTCGATCATCCATATAATAATTCTCTTTGCTCATATATCGGTGTTTGTATATACGATAGCTATAGCTGGCAAAACAGCTGGACCGAATGGGATGACATTTTTTGAGATAATCCATGGGGGCCCGCGGCTAAAAAAACTCGAAAATCTAGTTTTTTTTTCTTTCAAAATTCAATTTTTTTCTACACGGGCAACGCCGAGCCGGCAATTTAGCTAGTTACATATACATGTAAATATTTATGATTTTTTTATGAAACCCATGGGTACCCGAGGGGTATCATAGGCTAAAAAATCTATTTATTTTCTTCTTCATTTTTTTAATTCCAAGGGCAACGCCGGGCACTACAACTTGTGTAATAATAAAATAGAAAAATGGATATTTATTAAAATCCAAAAGTCAAATGCCTATTTGAAATAAACGTTAACAAAATATATGGAAAACGAACTTATGCGTATAACTATATATAAAATATGAATGTATATAACAATTATATAGAAAAATGTACATTTTATAAGATCCAAAAATTAAAGGCTAATTATAATGTTATCAACATTTATTTATTAGACAATTAAGTGTATAATAATAAATGATATTAAAGAGTTTTGAAAAATTGGAAAATAGACATAATAGAGATTATACGGTGGATAATGATACTTAATACATTTTTTAGAAAATAATTTAATTGGGGATAACGCTGATAATAATAATAATTATTTAGAAAAAGATTCTTACGTTTGCATTCCCATGCATTTTCAGCAGTTGCTCTTCTCCAGGGTCTATCCCAGTGATCTGGCAAACAGGAGTCACAGTTCTTACCATCCGTCCCATGCTGGCATAGGCACATCATACCTCCATCCTATACAGTACATAGCGTACATTATACCACTATCCTATTCAGTTCATAGAGTACATTACAACCCCATCCTATACAGTACATTACATAGAGGATCATCCCACAGACTACACAGACTGCTTATCTCCTTTCACAGGGTGGGCTAGGTACTGTAGGCCTAAGTTGACCCGGCACGACATGCTACGTTTTTACGAAAGGTTTTTAGAGTGCCATCTCACGGCCACTTGTTAAACATAATACCCATTCAGATGTTAAGTTTTACAACTTTTAAAGAAATACTCCAATTTTAAACATGAAACATAACATTTATGAATTGTTTTTTTGAAGATTTTGTGTTCCATATCCAAAGGATCCTTAAATATCCCTGAATGCAGATGTTTGCTGATCGGTCGTGTACAGTACTTGTACACAATAGAACATGCTATGGAAAATATCTCAAAAATATTTCAAAAATGTATTTTTCACCTCTGGGTCTGGTATGCAGACGTTACTGTGCCCGTTACACTGACACCTTCCGCCCACGGTGAAATGTGTAATACCGTAGTAATAGGACTGCAACACCTTAGAGTCTGCAAACACCTCGTCTCCGAAAGTGTTCAAGCGTCGAAGGGAAATTCTAAAAATTTAAATTTTATTTTCGTGAAGGGTTAGTAGAAATAATTTCAAGTAGCTAATCCGATAGCCAACGATACTCTTTAAACCTTGACTGATTAAGAATGACAGAGTTATCTTTAATCTATTCACAGAACCGGTTGTCATTTTGTTTGGAAGCTGTTTTTAAATTAAATAAATATTGTTATTTACTTTCTGGCTATCACAGAAAATAATAAATCTTTTACGATTTTTAAAAGATAAATTTTTTCATCCTTGATGAAAGTATACTTTTTAAAATCCACTTTCAGTTCTATCTCACATGGAGTACTTTTGAATGAATTAGAAGCTAACGATGGAAATTTATAATAGAGCAAGGTCACGTGGATTTACCGCGCGGTTCTGTCAATATTCCAGAAAGCTGTGACTTTCGATCACAATTTGACCCATTAAACACAATTTGTTAGCCTTTCTTCTTAAATACTTTTTTGTTGGCATATGCATTTTGAATAAAAATGTATAAAAGAAACAAATCCGTGAAGTAAATGATTATTGAATTAAAGACCAAAACACGTTTGATTTCAAATAGAAGAAACCGAATGCTGCTCACTCTGGTTAGTCCGGTGTGAGTTAGTTAACTGATAAAGAAGGTAGGACTGATGAACCTACTTCTTTTGTAATCTAATTTAGTGATCTCATTGGTTGGTGCTGCTTTAAGTCAAACTTTTTCTAACCTCCATTTTGGATCTTGAAACTTTAATTTCCTCTTTCATGATCTTCTGAACATGAACTTTATTTGAACTTGATCTGGTTCAATTTGAACCGCATTTATAAGTTTCCAACGCTGTTCTGTATTTTCAAATAATTTTCCCATTTCCTAGGAAAGTCCCAACAAGTTTATTAAGAGTAGAAAGGAAAGAATTTCTACAATTTACTAAAATTGGTTGTGATTTGGATCGTGTAATGAGCAATGAAATTGTTTTTAAGTTTTTTTAAAAATCATATTTAAAGGAAACCAACCCTCTCTCTGACAGGCAGGAGCTTCGAAGTTTCGAAATCTAATTTTGTAAAACTTTTCAAATTAAATTTTTGTTTAAAACATTGTCTGTAATTATAAATATCTATTCTTAAATATATAATTTATGGCTAAATTTATAAGTTTATTGGATTTAATATTTAGAAATATACCTGATATCTAGAAATATACCTGATATCTAGAAATATACCTGATATCTAGAAATCTACCTGATATCTAGAAATATACCTGATATCTAGAAATATACCTGATATCTGTGGCTGAAACCCACTGTTGAAGCTCTGGTGTGATATCAAAATAAAAAGCTGAAGGTCGTCCTTCCAGCGTAGAGAAGGCAACATTTCCTGAAAATAATCTGAAATTAACATTTCATTTCTTACATACAGTGGTCCAATAATAAAGGAATTGAGTCTTTGCCACAAACTCTGATTTTCCAACTCCTGTATCTTTGCCATTCAAGGTCGTAGAGCTTAGATATTTCAAACCATGAATTCTGTTGGATTTAATATTCTTAGAACGACCTATTAAAGGTATTCACCACCAGGTTGCAAAGATATAGGGACTTAAAAATCAGAGTTTGTGGCAACGAAAATAAAGACGATATTAAACGGAAGATCAATAGATTAATAAAGAAAAGCAATAAAACTGTGGAATAGGAAGACGACATTTAAGCAATCTAATGTAATGAGGTTTTATATAAGCAAATAGTTTTACCAACACTTTGGAAATTAAATTATTAATTGAAATTGGTCTGTGTACACTGCACTCTTCTTGTTCCTCTTCTACAGTTTTAAGGGGTTCACTTTACGTTTACACATTTAAGTGATAACCAGTAAATATCGAAATTAATGCCGTCTTGACGATTTCTTTTAATTACAAGTACCGCCGCGAATTTTTATAATTTTAGGTGGAAAAAAAAGAAAATTGTTAACAGACAAGTAAAAATAAATATATAAATCTGTGAAGAACTTTCAAAATATCCTAAATTTTTGTTAAAACTTTAGTATTTTTAAAATTTTAAATAATTTTTTAATGGTTTATTTACCTCCAGTTAGAGGAGAGATATCTGAGTACTCACTTGTACACAGAGCTCGGTCTTCCATAACCTTAAACATTTTACGTAAAACCAGAGTAAATAAACATCAAAGTGAATAGTATCTATTCACTTTGACGTACAACCAGAGTAAATAAACATCAAAGTTAATAGTATCTATTCACTTTGACGTATAAAACCAAAGTAAATAAACATCAAAGCGAATAGGATCTATTCACTTTGACTTACAACCAGAGTAAATAAACATCAAAGTTAATAGTATCTATTCACTTTGACGTATAAAACCAAAGTAAATAAACATCAAAGTTAATAGTATCCATTCACTTTGACGTATAAAACCAAAGTAAATAAACATCAAAGTACATTGCCCCCAATTTTTTTTAAATTATCATTTAATAAAATTTGCCCCCAATTAAAGAATTTGCCCCCATTTCTTCCAAATTTGTCAATCCCAAATGGGATTGAAAAAGGAATTATATTGACCCCTGATCCCACTAGCTTAGCTTAGTGTACAAATAAAACTATATTTCATGAATCATACAATTGAACTATTTTATTTCTAACTACTCTACAAGGTCACAAAATCATAATGTAAAATTGTAAAGATTATAAATTCATAGTTTGCGAATTATGAAATTGTCAGATCTTCATATTCTAAAGTTATATAAAGTTTTCAAGACTATTTCTTTTTCGGGATAAATAAAGTCCTTTCTGGGGCCGAATTTAAAGAATTTTAACGACGCCACTGAACCACTAAACACCGCTTACAATTTAGGGTCGACTCAGGCTCAAATCTCGAAAAAATGAATAAAATTTCAAGTGGAACCAACCATGTTTGAGCCGCGTCTCAAATCTGAGACGCGGCTCAAATTCTTTAAATTCGGCCTCTAAACAAATTGTGAACACTTTCGATAGTTATAATTTTAATTTTTAAAATTAACTTTACGTTTATTCCAGTGTGACTCCATTTATTTAGTGAAGAACGGTAACCCCGAAATCTTAATTTGAGTAATTATAAGGAAGTTAATTTATCTTGGTTCTACTGCAGTGCAAAAATCCTCAAGTTACTTTTATAGAGAAACAGATAGAAAACAAGGATATCTCCATCATTTTTGCCCAGAGTAAGGTTTTGAGGTTACTGTTGTGAATGAGGCATGTAACTATGATGTAACTATGTATGATGTAATACATAAACACATACATAATAATAAAATACATTAGAAGGTAATTGTTTGAACTTTAAAAATGTTCTAAACCTGTACCTTTGTTTTTCCATCTCTAGGCTGTATAATAGAAAGAGATTCTGGCACCCTAAATATGCACAAATATATTTTAAGAGGAAAATTAATGAATTGATGAAGAAGTAAATTAATGAATTAATAAAGAAGTAAAATTAATGAATAGATGAAAAAGTTAAATTAATGAATAGATGAGAAAGTTAAATTAATGTATAGATGAAGAAGTAACTTAATGAAAAAATAAAGAAGTAAATTAATGAATAAATGAAGAAGTAAATTATTGAATAGATGAGAAAGTAAATTAATGAATAAATGAAAAAGTAAATTATTGAATTGATGAAGAAGTGAATTAATGAAAGGAATGGTAATGGAATCAATAATAAGATTATATTCATTACTCATATTCAAAGGAATACAAAACTAAATTCATGAGTACAGAATGACTAGCTGAATATTGACATTTACATACAGCAAAAACACGAGCTATATATAAAGACGACTTTAAAGAAATTTTTATTGATTTGATGTTGTAGTTCTACTGGATAATGAATATATTACCCGTATGTATCTCTACATGTTGTACTATAGTACTAGATAATAAATATATTACCCGTATGTAGCTCTACATGTTGTACTATAGTCTAGATAATAAATATACTACCCGTATGTATCTCTACATGTTGTACTATAGTACTAGATAATAAATATATTACCCGTATGTATCTCTACATGTTGTACTATAGTACTAGATAATAAATATATTACCCGTATGTATCTCTAAATGGTGTACTATAGTACTAGATAATAAATATATTACCCGTATGTATCTCTACATGGTGTACTATAGTAATAGATAATAAATATATTACCCGTATGTAGCTCTACATGTTGTACTATAGTACTAGATGATAAATATATTACCCGTATGTATCTCTACATGTTGTACTATAGTACTGCCAAGGAATCCAGTCTTCGTTATGGTATGGATCATCTTTGTAAGGTTCTCTCCTGTAACAAAGTATTTTTAAACTGAAGGTTAAAAGACTTTTTTTATTAATCTGGCTTAAATCAAAACAATTTCAGTTTTACAGAAGAAATACATTTAAACAATTATAGTATAATTAGATCAGTAACATTTTGCCTAGTGCATTTTCACCTAGTACACATTCGCCTAGTACACATTCACCTGTATAACATCATTCCTATGTATAACATTTTGCCTGTATAACAGTTTGCCTGTATAACAATGTCTATGTAACAGTTTGCCTTTATAACATTTGAGTGTGTTTTTCGACTAAACCACACATTTCTTAAAACACGTACAAACATTAAAACATAAAAACCCGCGAAACTGATTTGAAAAATATGCAAATTAAGCCATATTTTTTTTCTCTTGAAAAGGTAGAACGTTCAAAAGGTATAATTTTCCAATTTCAATTTTACATTAAGTTGAGTTAGGATGGGATAAGACAATCTATGGGCCTAGCGCTGCAGGTCGGATGGCCTAGGGGGGAGCCGAGCGCTGAGGCCTGTTAAATTTTGAATAATATGATATCTCTCATCTTCTTTCGGGCTAGGTTAGGTAAAGACAATTTCTAGGCCGGGCGCCGGAGCTTAAAGTAGGAAAAAACAACAGTTACATTATCAAAATGATATATTTGGCAAATTATTCACCATTGTTCACCATTGTAAAATGTTATGTCGGCAAAAATTTTTGTAGGCAACATGTTACTAAGGAAAGGCAAAATGTTATACAGGCGAATAAGTACTAGGCGAATGTGTACTAGGTGAATGTGTACTAGGTGAATGAGTACTAGGTGAATGTGTACTAGGTGAATGTGAACTAGGTAAATGAGTACTAGGTGAATGAGTACTAGGTGAATGTGTACTAGGTGAATGAGTACTAGGTGAATGAGTACAAGGTGAATGAGTACTAGGCGAATGTGTACTAGGTGAATGTGTACTAGGTAAATGAGAGCTAGGTAAATGATTACTATGTGAATGTGTACTAGGTGAATGTGTACTAGGTGAATGAGTACTAGGTGAATGAGTACTAGGTGAATGAGTACTAGGTGAATGAGTACTAGGTGAATGAGTACTAGGTGAATAATTACTAGGTGAATAAGTACTAGGTGAATAAGTACTAGGTGAATGTGTACTAGGTGAATGAGTACTAGGTGAATGAGTACTAAGTGAATGAGTACTAGGTGAATGAGCACTAGGTAAATGAGTACTGGGTGAATATGTTATACTATGTGAATGTGTACTAGGTGAATGTGTACTATGTGAATGTGACTAGGTGAATGTGTACTAGGCTAAAGAGTACTAGGAAAATGTTACTGATCCCAGGGCATTTTGTATTATGTGATATTACCTATTTTTCTTATAGATTGCAAAACTCTCAGGTCTTGGCGAATGGAACTTCAGTCGGACATAGACAATATCATACGCTTTCTCTAGAATATAGACAATGTCATACGCTTTCTCTATAATATAGACAATATCATACGTTTTCTCTAGAATACAGACAATATCATACGCTTTCTCTAGAATATAGACTTTATAATACGCTTTCTCTAGAATATAGACAACATCATACGCTTTCTCTGGAATACAGACAATATCATACGCTTTCTTTAGAATGCATACAATATCATACGTTTTCTCTAGAATACACACAATATCTTACGCTTTCTTTAGAATACATACAATATCATATGCTTTCTTTAGAATACATACAATATCATACGTTTTCTCTAGAATACAGAAAATATCATACACTTTCTCTAGAATATAGACAATATTATACGCTTTCTCTAGAATATAGACAATATCATACGTTTTCTCTAGAATATAGACAATATCATACGCTTTCTCTAGAATATAGACAATATCATACGCTTTCTCTAAAATATAGACAATATCATACGTTTTCTCTAGAATATAGACAATATCATACGCTTTCTCTAGAAAAATATTTAACCTCACGGTTAAAGTTCAGGTTTAAATTAAGTCAGAAGTGGCATTTAACCATGAACTTAAAATTTGAGTCAAAACTTTTCGTTCTTTAGTTTTAGACTCTGGTGGTGTAAACTTTTGACATTTCAAACTTAGATTAGTATATCTAACAGAATGTATAGTATGAAATATCTAAAGTCTATGACATTGGGTTGCAAAGATAAAGGGATTAGAAAATTAGATTGTGGCAAAAACTCAATTCCTTTCTCAAATGAAATTATGAGTTTATAAAATAAGATTGAATAAATTTCGTACAGTTGTCTCATTCTTTCTGGGTGGTCACGGTATATTATGGATTTTAGATAGAACGAATTATTATTATTTGTTTTTAACAAATTTTTCGCATTTTATTTATTTTGCTACACTTTTAAATGTTTCCGAAAAACGAATCTCTGGTTGAAGATTTATTTAAAAAAATTTCAGAATTTTAAAATGAAAACATTTCAGAAAGTTTCTGAATATGTAATTTAAAAGTTTGTAAAGTATATTATATATCTGCAAACTTTTAGCATACACACGTCAACTCCAGAATTCGAAATTCTTCTCAGTCTTTTAAAAAGACATTTTTCGTATTTGTAAATATTCAAACTTGAAACACAAAGTTCCAGAAAAAAGGAAAATTGGAAATATCTAAAAACAACTTTAGTTTTAGATAAAATAATTAGAAATGGGACAAAAATAGAATTTTTCTTATTAATTTAAAACAAAAAAGAGAACACTGAACCCTGTTATAACTAATCATTAAATGAAAGGATGAATACAAGAAAAGATCAAATGATGCAAGGATGAATGCAAGAATGAATGAAAGGAAATACTAATGAAAGGATGAATCAAAGAACAGAGAGAAAGAAAAGACGAAAGGCTGCAAGGATGAATGAAAGGAATGGCTAATGAAAGGGTTACTTAAAGAATGGATTAGTGAAATGAAAGAAATGAATGCAAGGATAAATGAAAGGAAATATTAATGAAAGAATGAATGAAAGAAAGGACTAAAGGAAAGGATGAATGAAAGGATTATACATGAAAGGAAGCAAGGATGAATAAAAGAAAATAACGATGAAATGAAATAATAATGAAAGAAAGGATGAATGAATGAATGAATGAATTATACCTGGTTTACATCAGCGTGAGTATCCGTGAGATAAGTAGCATTATGATTCTATCCACAATACAAATATCAAAGGAAAGACAAAAATGTGAAAGCGTAAAAAGCCGTAAAGCTATGAGGGGGGGGGAAGAGTTGGACAAGGGGAGGGGGGAAATTCAATTCAAAGTTTATTATATTCAAAGTTTTATTTGAAGAATGGCATGTCCGAATCGCAATGGTACCCTTAAACGTTCATATGATTAACAATTAGGAAGATATCGTCGTTTTTTCTGCCTGAAACCGTTTTCAATTCTGAAAATTTTCTTGCACAAATACTTAAGACACTTTCCTATGGAAACTTCAATTGAAAAAGCTATGAAAACAAAACTCTTTCATTTATTTATATTAGACCAATGGTTAAAGGGAACCAAATTGTGAATCAAATATGCCACTCCATAAATTGAGGAACACTTGTTATAACGTGTTCGGTCCCTTTAAAGTCTTATATTTTGTGATAAACCCTGTACATTTGTTTCATGATTTCCTCTAATATTGATAAACCCTGTACATGTGTTTCATGATTTCCTCTAATATTAATAAACCCTGTACATGTGTTTCATGATTTCCTCTAATATTAATAAACCCTGTACATTTGTTTCATGATTTCCTCTAATATTGATAAACGAATTTCTGAACTAATTTCCTGCTAATCCATTTCAACTTTCTTTTAAATCATAAGGGGAAAACACAGGGAAAACAGATGAGGAAAAACACAGACAAGCGGAAACTGAGAAGTGAAAACTTATTGGGGAAACAGACAGGGGAAAACCCCTCTGGAAAAAACAGACAAGGGAGAAAAAACAGGGGAAAACTGAAACAGGAAAACAGACAAGAAAGAACAGACAGGGGAAAACTGACAGGGTGAACAGATACTGGAAAACAGACAGGGGAAAACTGACAGGGTGGAACAGATAGTGGAAAACTGACAGGGTAAAACAAAAAGGGGAAAAAAGACAGGGGAGAAAATATGTTATAATTTGATTTTAAAATGTGAAGAATTATTTCGTTGTGTTTTCAAACTGTTTGATTCTGATGATTTTGATATTTGTTTCCTTTTCTGGTATATAGGCATTACACTCGTCACATTCTCGGTAGAAACCTCCAGTTTGTAGGCAAAATCTTGTAGGGGCCCCTAGACAAATAGATTAGTGTAGCATCATGTAGGGGCCCATAGACAAATATATTAGCATAGCATCTTGTAAGGACCCATAGACAAATATATTAGTATAGCATCCAGTAGGGACCCATAGACAAATATATTAGTATATCATCTTGTAGGGGTCCCAAGACAAATATATTAGTATAGTATCTTGTAGGGGCCCATTGACGAATATATTAGTATAGCATCTTGTAGGGGCCCATAGACAAATATATTAGTATAGCATCTTGTAGGGGCCCATAGAAAAATATATTAGTAAAGCATCTTGTAGGGGCCCATACACAAATATATTAGTAGAGCATCTTGTAGGGGCCCATAGACAAATATATTAGTATAGCATCTTGCAGGGGCCCATAGACAAATATATTAGTATAGCATATTGTAGGGACCCAGAGACAAATATATTAACATAGATATTGGTAGGGGTCCCTAGAGAAATATATTACAATAAAACATGGTACATTCCATTCTAAAACTAGAGCCATATAGACATTAAACATTATTTATATAAAATATACCTTGCATTACACCACAGGTCATCTGAGGAGGGTCAACCCGTACTCTACAATATTCGTATATTAAATAAGTGTTTAAACGATACCTTGCATGATATAACAAAATGGACTTTTATTTAAAGACTGTCAAACTTTTTGGAGAAAGCTGTAATAGATGTTTTTTCTTTCTAGCGCTAAACTAGGAAAAGTGTTTTTTGGGCCTCATTATCTCCAAAAAACGTTTCCACTGTAAACCCCCCCCCCCCCTCTCCCTTAAAAATTCTTTTTTGTTCGAACAAAACTTACTCTGCTTCTGAGACAACATTTTGGAAAGGTGGAGAACATCTGATAGGTTTACTTAGATCCTCAGATCCATCCTACACAAATATACATAGGTTAGAACATCTGATAGGTTTACTTAAATCCATCCTACACTAATATACATAGGTTAGAACATCTGATAGGTTTACTTAGATCCATCCTACACTAATAAACATAGGTTAGAACATCTGATATGTTTACTTAGATCCATCCTACACATATATACATAGGTTAGAACATCTGATAGGTTTACTTAGATCCATCCTACACATAATAAACATAGGTTAGAACATCTGATATGTTTACTTAGATCCATCCTACACATATATACATAGGTTAGAACATCTGATAGGTTTACTTAGATCCATCCTACACAAATATACATAGGTTAGAACATCTGATAGGTTTACTTAGATCCATCCTACACATATATACATAGATTAGAACATCTGATAGGTTTACTTAGATCCATCCTACACAAATATACATAGGTTAGAACATCTGATAGGTTTACTTAGATCCATCCTACACATATATACATAGATTAGAACATCTGATAGATTTACTTAGATACATCCTACACAAATATAAATATAGGTTCGCCGCCACCCAGTAAACATATTTTTGTAAGAATATTGATTATAGAATACAAAAGTCGTGTTTTAGAGAAAATAAGAAATATTACAATGGAGTTAGGAAACGAAAATATTACAATGGAGTAAGGAAACGAAAATATTACAATGGAGTTAGGAAACGAAAATATTACAACGGAGTTAGGAAACGAAAATATTACAATGGAGTTAGGAAACGAAAATATTACAATAGAGATAGGAAACGAATATATTACAATGGAGTTAGGAAACGAAAATATTACAATGGAGTTAGGAAACGAAAATATTACATTGGAGTTAAGAAACGAAAATATTACAATGGAGTTAGGAAATGAAAATACAATTGAGCATTAAAGTTAAAGGGATCAAAGTGTACAGTCCCTTTAAGAACAATATATATGAGTGGATTACCTCAAGAGTAGCATAGCAGGGGCTTCCTTCATTTCGTTCATTTTCAAATATTTGGCTTTGAGCCCAGACTGTACTCACCAAACTTGCAGATACGAGTAGAAACCACATCCTAGAATAGAATTAAGGTTTTGTCACAAACTAAGACTTTCTGGAAGAGAACCCCTGTAAGCGTGGTTGCTAAAGGAGACCCTAGAAAGAATTTATCCCCGTGTTCCATCTGATGAAAGTGACTAAAACCTATGTAATATCAAAAAATGCTAGACACCCACCCTGGCAATTCTATAAGTAAAACTATGAGTTCTACTAGATCAAATAGTCTAAGTTTAAAATAGCAACAGTTTACACCATCAGGTTAAAAAAATATAAGGATTTGAAAATTTGAGTTTGTGGCAAAGACTCGATTCCTTTTATGATTTTATAAATTAGTAGATAGAAGTAGAAACCACATTCTATAAATATGGTTAAGTAAACTAGTAGATAGAAGTAGAAACCACATCCTAGAAATATGGTTTAATAAACTAGTAGATAGAATTAGAAACCATATTATAGAAATATGATTTATTTAGCTAGTAGATAGAAGTAGAAACCACATCCTAAAAATATGGTTTAATAAACTAGTAGATAGAAGTAGAAACCACATCCTAAAAATATGGTTTAAGTAAACTAGTAGATAGAAGTAAAAACCACATCCTAGAAATATGGTTTAATAAACTAGTAGAACTAGTAGAACAACACAGAAACCACATCCTAGAAATATGGTTTAATGAACCAGTAAAAAGAACATAGAAACCACATCTTAGAAATATGGTTTAATGAACTAGTAGAAAGAACAAAGAAACCACATACTAGAAATATGGTTTAATAAACTAGTAGAAAGAACATAAACACTAAATCCTAGAAATATGGTTTAATAAACTAGTAGAAAGAAGTAGAAACCGCATCCTAGAAATATGGTTTATTAAACTAGTTGATAGAAGTAGAAACCACATCCTAGAAATATGGTTTAATAAACAAGTAGATAGAACATGGAAAGCACATCCTAGAAATATGGTTTATTAAACTAGTAGATAGAACATAGAAACCACATCCTAGAAATATGGTTTATTAAACTAGTAGAAAGAAAATAGAAACCACATCCTAGTGAAAAGTAGATTGGATTAGAGTGTATACAATCTGTTAATAAAACTTAAGAGAAGACACAAGATTAAAAACATTATCCAAGTTTTCAGTGAACTTTTATTAAAACTTATAATTTGCGTCAAAAATTTGAGAAATTACAATTTTCTGCTTTCAAGTAGAGTTGGGCAAATTTGACTTTTTCTATTTTGTTCGTTCATCATTCGGTAATACCCTTAAACGTTTGTATGATTTGCGATCAATTGGAATACCAAAAAAATATTTTAAAATTTAAAAAAATATTGAAAAAACACCATGCAGGAGAGTTGCACAAAAAAGATACAATTTTGCACTCGGCGCCGCTAATCACACTTTTTTTTTGACTCACCCTGTACAATTACATGCAGAGGAAGTGTAAACTGAACTTTTAGAATCTGTGTCACACGTGTATGATGTTTATAAAGTTTAATTTTAGGGTTTGCTTAATCGTTTTAAATTAAAAGTTTCTATACTGTGAGTGTTCAGTCTTACTTCTGAGAATAAATCAAATGTAACAACTTTTATTGATTGATTACAATGTATATTTTTAACCCTAGATCGACTCTACTTATTTGTATAGCTCCCCGTCACTCAATTTTCACGAAGAAAATTATAAATATCTACGTCATTTTGATGCCAAAGGGTACCTTAGTGGTACTCTACAAGGGAGGGTCACTTGAAATTATGTCTACAGTGAATTTCAAGATCATGAGTGATGAGTCAACTAAAGGGCAAGGATCATAATTTATGGAGTTCAATAAAACTGGTTTTTATTTTACGTTTATTTTCCTTCATTTTTAATTTCTCAAAAAAATATATTTAATGGAACTTAAAACAGATTTTTTTTTGGAAAATTTAAAATATAATCAAATAAATCAAATATAAAAAAATTATCAACATTATTTAAATGGTTTTAGTATTTAAAAAAATATTGTATAAGATAACGTTTATTTCTTGAAGCAGACATTTTTTATATAAGGAGCGCCCGCGATTTAAAAACTTCGACTAGAGCCGTCATTCCTTAAACCCGACATTAAGACCCAATCCTCGTCCCAATTCTAACGACAGCTTGTCTCACGTGATTGACAGCTGCACGATCTTCGGCTCGACTTAATGAGTTAGGCCCAATGGAAATAAAACCGACCTTGGTTGGCTTTAGTGAGAATAAGGCTCAATGTTGAGTCTTATTCTCATAAAAACCCGGAATGCACCAATTCCTACAATAAAAATTCACCAAATAGAATATTAAACCGGTTTTTTAAACTCAACTCTGTGAAAAATAAGATGCAGCTTGTATCCGAAAACTCAAGCCGTAAATAAGGCCCAACGACAGCTTAGACCCGAACCGTATTTCCCCTAATTTTTTAAATCGCGGGCTCTGGTTTAGTTAACTTTCGAATAATAACTTTAATTCTAATGAAATGCAAAACCCTCCAAATCATTTTCACAATATACAAAATTCAACAGATTTATTTATAATCTTAATCAAAGGTTTTTTGTGAGAAAAAAAGCGACAGCAAATTTTTCAAGGCGAACTAAGGATTAATGATTTAGATAAGATAAGATAAGATAAAGTTTATTGCTAAATGTATCTGTATACAAATAGAGTTTACAATCACATAATGGATGATAATATTAACAGCACAAGTATAAAGCAATTAGGTGGAAAATAGCTCTTGGCTGTTTTGATTATTTTTTCCACCTAATTTTAGTAATAATAACAAAATATTTCAATTAAATAGATTTAAAGAGAACGATTAGAGATCAGGGTGCAAATTGTATCATATGCAAAATAGTTTATACATTAATCTCTAATTTATAGGATGTGGTTTTAAAAAAAGACTGTATTGTTATAAAGGAATTGAGTCTTTGTCACAAACTCTGATTTTCTAATCACTATATCTTTGGAACCAAATGTTGTAGACCTTAGATATTTCAAACTATGAATTCTGTTAAATCAAATAATCAGAGTTTGAAATATCAAAGGTTTACAACATCGAGTTCTAAAGATATTAGGGTTTCCTTTGTTTAAAAGATACAGAGTGCTACGAATATCAAGCTAAGTTTAACACAAATATACAAAACTGTTTTATAAGAAGAAAAATGGAAAAAAGTGACAAAAAAAAACATTTACCTGATTAGTGCATTATTTCTGGTCCAGTTTATCAGTAGACAAGAGAACTATAGAGAAACTTACATTTTTTACATTATCTTAAAACTATTAAGAAAAAATCAGTAATTTTCTCGTTTTTTTATTTCAAAACAATTTACATTAAAAAAACTTAAACAATTACGTATTGAAAAAGCCGCTGAATAATCAACTTAAAAATTATATTGAATGCTAATAATTTATAAAAATTTTACCGACGTACTTTTTGCAAATTTGGTACCTTTGGAGTTTGAGGCCTAAAAGGTCTAAACGGTCTTGCCATAAATTCTGAATTTGTAACCCCTATATCTTTGCAACCCAAGTTACAAAGTTACCCTTGAAACAAAGTTAATTCTGAAAAGTTCTCCTATATTCTGCCCCATATTTGCGCGCAGGTCCCTTCTGTAGAGCCATATATGCGCGCAGGTCCCTTCTGTAGACCCATATATGCGCGCAGGTCCCTTCTGTAGAGAAAGCAATGCAAAAATTAAGTTTTTAATAGGAAAAAACATGTATATCTAACTTAAAGTTGATCTGCAGATGCAGCTTTCATGGACACCGTTGTTAATTATAAAATAACTGGAGGATTACTTCAAATTACAGATACAGTACTTTTAGTAACAATTTGAAATTTCTGAGAAGTAGTGATTATGTTATTGCAATACTTGTTGTTAGAGGGTTTGTTTTCTTTGTTGCAGTTTCTGGATTGAGTTTAATATTTTTACATCGGAATTATTACATGGGGGGACACATGCAGTGTAGATTTCAAATCCAGGGATACAATAATTCCTAGCTCTATCCCGCAGTGCTTAGGATCCAATACCAATAAAAAACCTGTTCAAAAACCTACTCGAAAACCTGCTCAAAAATAACATTTTGCTCTCAAACACACAAATCTCAACCGTAACACCCCGATCTTTAAATGGTTTATGAAGTTTAACTAAATAAAAAGCGAAAAAAAGAAATTGAAAAAATAAAGAAATTGTAAAAATCATAAGATCAGGATGCGCTCAAAATTGAAATGAATCCTTTTAGTCCTGGTCAGGCGCGGATACAGGGGGGGGGGGCAAGAATATCTTTTGACCCTTCCTTTTCTAGAGGCTTACTTAAAAGTTTTCGAGCAGATCCTTTAAGATGATTTAACAAAACATTTCCTAATTCATTGATAAATCGAGACAGTTTTACTTTTCATCAATTCGATAGATTTTAAGTTTTAACCGACGCTGAATTAATTGAATATGATTGTTTCCTATACTTAATACTTAAGTTTATTATGATTTCAGCATTAAAACACATTATAGTTTTTAATAACATTACAGCGACACTAAAGCAATATTAGGGACTGGAGTGTGAAATTTTGTGACATTTTTAAGAAATCATTTTACAGAAGAAAATCTAATTCACAGACATTTCACTAGAAGGGGATCATTCATGTGACGTACTGTCCTGCCTTATATAGTCAGTATTTGTACTGGTACAGCTAGCTCTGGCTAGTTGAAAGTTAGCTCGGCACATGAAATGAACTGGAGCAAACATGGAGAATTTGCAAGTTAAAAAAATGCCATTTTTACAAAACTCAGGAATCGCTCCCTGAAATGGGGTTTTATAATAAAAAATGTAAAAAAAATATAAACGGAAATGAAAATTTTAAAAAGATATTCAATACATGGGTATTTTTGAAACTTGGTTGTTCAAATAACAGATTATAAAAATATTGAAAATTGACAGATATTTGAGAAATACATAATTTGGATAAAGAAAAGACCAATTTTTTATATCTTGAACTCCAGTTTTCACGAAAGTTTTATTGATACCCGTATCAAAACGCTTTAAACAATTTATTTTCACATTTCTTTATTTTTGATAAAAATGCATTTTAAAAGTTATGCCAACAAATTCCAAGCAGAATACAATTTTGCTTCTGTAAAATGATTTCAGAATTATTTCACTTGATTAAAAGTTTTCTTTTCTAAAATGAGATATTCTTGACCTAATTTACTTGCTATCCTTTTATATGTTAATATTTTTCTTGTCTGAGATGCCTGAGTGAAAGTACAGTTGTAAGGTGGCAATAAATTATTACATATTTTAAAAGAATATTTTGAAATTTTAAGCACTGAAAATACTCCCTCTAAATGCTAATTCCTTAAAAAATATTGCTATCGATCGTTCCACCCCCCCCCCCCCTATCACAGTTTTTTTGGGACTTGGGATCCGCCCCTGGCCATGGTTACGCCTATATCCAATATGCAACATTTAGAAAACGTGAACTTATATTCGAATTTGAGAGAAATATATTTATATAGTCGTCATTGGATTACCAAAAAGGGGGTCTCCGACAGAGGCGTAGTCAGGGGGGTTGGGTGGGGGTATGGGGCTCAGACCCCCCTGAACCAGTAAAATATATGGATTTCAGGCCCAAACAGTTGCCAAAAAAACATTTAAAGATCACATTCAAGGCAGTAGACTTAATTTAATGTTAAATTCAACAAACTTCAGCCTTCAAGTCGTCTTTAAACAGTATTATCCTTTGTGTGTAACCCTGTACTTTACAATTAACAATTATACAGCAAAAAAGGGGGTGGGTGATTTGGGGGGGAATGTTCTGTCTTCACATCTCCCCATTTTCCCAGTCTCCGATTTACTCCGACCCTGTCCTAAACTCTGATTGGTTCCTGGAGTCACATGATCATAATCTTGAACTCTGATTGGTTGAGAGGCTACAAGGAGACTGCATGTGTTCACTTCAACTCATCTAACTTCAAGATTGTCGGGGAGAAATATATTATTATATATTCGCTTCATTTTCGTAAATACATTTATTTTCGAAGAGAATATTATGCACAACTGCTTTGAGTTCCGAACTTCCGAACCTATGAATGAAATACAATTTTTTATAATACTAAGATGAACCGAACACTCTAGAAAACTCAAATTTTCTAATCCTCATATCTTTATAACCTCATTTTATAGACGTTTATTACTTAATTCAATTTATAGAATTTGCTTTTCCTTACAATCATAGTTTGAATTTATGAAGGTTTACAGCCTTGACACCTTGTCCATTAGGTTGCAAAGATGTGAAGATTAGAAAATATTAGAATTTGTTGCAAGATGTTTATAGTTTCTTTACCGTTAACATTATATAAAGTTGTAATTATTGCTTTTAAAAACATGGTGTCCCAATAAACATGGGAATTATCGTTCATTACCTAATTTCAATGGTCAAAATAAAGTTACGTCTGCTAGAGTATATTTTATGTAAACGGTAAAAGACTGTTTTGTTATCATGCAAAACGTTATGATGTTCTGTAACAGTTCTGCAAGATAAACAGTGAAGAGAAACAACTGTACTGTATTTGTATACACGAATTTCTGTAATTGTTATGTACAAAGTATGCAATAAAAACATAAACAAACAAATTCTTAACTCTAGCTGACGGATTATAGTTTTCCTATAAGGCATCACCATACTAAATCAAAAAATTATTTACAGATGATATCAAAATCGTCTCTGAATTCCCATCTTTATTGGGACACCCTGAGCTGAAAACTTTAGAATGAGATATCCTTCATCCCAATTACTTAATCTGAGTATCTTTTGATTTTCTTCTTAAACCGTCCTTTCTTGGAAATAGTAGAGAAAAATCAAAAACCGGTGTTTCTAAATTATAGAGTTCCTCCCATTTCTGTATATAATCTTAAATGGCGCGCAAAATTTCAAATTTGTCGGCTTCATATATGCGACTCTGATTGGTTTGATTTTATACACTTTTCAGGATATAAGTACAAGATTAGGTTAGTCTTGATATTAAGAAAAAGAGAGGATCGAGCATTAATCTCAATATCCACCATTCTAAAGTTTTCATATTTTTAAACTAATCTGAATTCCACACGATTAAAAAGATTTGTGTAGATGTATGCTAATCATTGCAGGGCATATCTTCTGCAAATATGTAATTCGAAACTTGAGGAAAGTAAAATTAAAAACGTACAGGGTGGGTTAAAAACCGGGATTATCGAAGTCGATTGTTGGGAAAATATTTATTCTATTGTTTTCCAAAATTTCATTAAAATGCATGAAAAATTTACTGAGATATTACAAAAAATGTAAACTAATTAATTGGATTTTTAAAGTCACAGCAGTTCAAGTTCATTTTTTCTAAAAACAAACTTGGATTTAACATTTTTTTCACAACTTATTTTTCTATAGCCTAAAATACGAAGCAAACAAAAATGTTTAAAATTTTACCAATACATCAATAATCCCAGTTTTTTTACTCACTCTGTATCTTTCATGCAGTTCCCGACCACCTGCCTGTATACAGTGTTGCTTCGCGCACTTTTAAAAACCGGTAAAATGAACATCTCTCTATATTGTACATTCTGAAATATAGATAGATATGTAATAAATGCAGTTTGAACATAGCAATATAAACTACGTTGTACATTGTCTAAGGATCCAACTGCGTTAATCCTTAAAACTATGTAATGCAACTAGACTAGCTACATATTGTGATTAGATCATATACCTGCGTAATATTGTGAATAAAAAATTGGAACTTATCATGTAACATATAGATTTTGTAAATAAGATAACTTAGAATCGGAACTCCGCTTTGATTACAGTGTAGAGTAATTTGGTTTCGTTGAAACATACGAATTGAGATCGTGCCTTGAGCATTGGCATTTATCAATATATCGCTATTGTCCGTATTGACACGGATAGCAAACGAGATATAGTTGATAGTTTACGGGATTGTAGCTGCGGACCTGTTTGAGACATTGATCAATTGATTGTTATTGTCCGTATTGACACGGATAGCTAACGAGATAGCGCCTAGTTTAGTGGCGTTAAACGGGATTGTAGCAGTGTGGATCGTGTCCTATTTGATATTCATACCGGACGGATTGTACCTGGACTGATTCATATTTTAAAAGTATGGCATTTACTACAGATTAGTTTTTATTGATATTAATTATTAATATACTAGCTTGGGGACCCCAGCTTTTCCTAGGAACCTTCTTTACATAAATTAATTTACAAAACTTTAGAAGTTTTTTAACCCATGCTCAGAACATTCCCGTGCTTCTACTAAAGATATGTCAAACTATGAACTCTGTTAAATCAAATATTCTAAGATTGAAATATAAATTGTTAACACCATTCAAAGGATATTGGTGAAACTATTTAATTTTGTGGCAAGTGTTCCATTAGTTCGATAGCTGGGCGTTTCACATTTATTGTCTTGATTTTACAGTTCTGGTAACTTGCTGAAACTAACATATTTTCCTTCACATGAGATGTTTGTTATTATTATTAAGGGTAAAGATTATTTTTCTTTCCTTTATCATGATAGTAATTTCTGTGAAAGAAGTTAGCGGAGAGCGTGTGTGTGAGAGAGTTAGTGTGTTGAGAGGAAGGGGGCTAATAAAAGTCATTTATGGAGCGATAACTCAGTAGTTATATTCAGTATACAGTCCATTCTTATGGCAGGGGTCTGCTAGGAGAACAAAACAGGAACAGAGCTCTTTATTCTGCAGCCTCAGTGCAGGGTTTTATTTTGGCGGATTTGCAGTCTTAATCTCTAGAGTTTTCTTTTGGAAGATTTACACTTTTACACCAGGTTTCATTTTGGAAGATTTATACTCCTTAAAATTATGCAGGGGTATATTTTGGGAGATTTTTAGAGCCGCGCTAAAGGGTAGGGTTTCATTTGGGGAGGATTTGCCGTCATACATCATGCAGGGGTTTATTTTGGGATATTTAGAGACACATATGCTTGGGTTTCATCTTGGGAGATCCTAATTCTAACACAAAAAAATTTATTTTGGAAGATTTCCACTTTCCAGCTTACACCAGGGTTTCATTTTGGAAGATTACACCTTTATAACAAAGGTTTATTTTGGGAAATTTATAACCTAATGTAATAGGGTCTCATTTTGGGATATTTCTACATTTTATAATTTATCTGATTTGTTAATTATTCTTTCTTAGACATTTAATATATGCATTAACTGACTTATATGGTTTCTCATCTGAACTTTGAAAATGAAAATGAGATGTTTTTATTTGTCCTTTGTAAAGTGCACTATTAGAATCCCTAACATTGACATACTAAAATTCAAGACAGAAAAACATCGATATCTTCCACATTATTGATCAGAAAAAGATGTGATGGTTACCGTACCGTTTATATACTTTGCTTGTCTGGGTGACTGGCGGGACCAAGTTTTTTCTCGAAATTGCTTTTTTAAATTTGAAATTTGTTTTAAAGTGTATTAAAATTCCACGGACAACGCCGTGCACTTTTGCGAGTTATATACATATTTTTATACGGATTCCTTGATGTAGAATAATAAAGAACTAGATATTTTGTCATCCATGACTAAGCTTTGATTACCTTATTGTCTCCTGCACTATAGAATAGGGATGAGCACGTCAAACAAAAGTAAATTCCACGTTAGATTTAAAAATCCTATGTTTTCAATCATAACCCATTTAATTGAGAAGTTATTAATAAACACATATGTTTTGAATTCCTAATAGGTATGTTCTTCTCATACAATTGAAACTGGAGATCACAACGACGTACTATTAAAATTGCATAACTTTGACCTTCTTCTTCTGTTTAGTTTACAGTGATGGGTGTATTAGCACTTTATTCGTTTGTTAAAGGGACAGTAGACGTAATATCAAGTTAAAGGGACAGTGGACGTAATTTCAAGTTAAAGGGATAGTAGACGTAATTTCAAGTTAAAACGTAATATCAAGTTAAAGGGACAGAAGACGTAACATCAAGTTAAAGGGACAGTAGTCTTAATTTCAAGGTAAAGAGACAGAAGGCGTAATTTCAAGTTCAAGGGACAGTAGACGTAATATCAAGTTGAAGGGATAATAGATGTAATTTCAAGTTAAAGGGACAGTAGATGTAATTTCAAGTTAAAGGGACAGTAGACGTAATATCAAGTTAATCGAACTGTAGACGTAATTACAAGTAAAAGGACAGTAGACGTTATATCAAGTTAAAGGGACAGTAGACGTAATTTCAAGTTAAAGGGACAGTAGACGTAATATCAAGTTAAAGGGACAGTAGACGTAATATCAAGTTAAAGGGACAGTAGACGTAGTATCAAGTTAAAGGGACAGTAGACGTAATTTCAAGTTAAAGGGATAATAGACGTTATATCAGGTTAAAGGGACTTTACACGTAATATCAAGTTAAAGGGACAGTATATGTAATTTCAAGTTAAAGGGACAGTAGATGTAATATCAAGTTAAAGGGACAGCAGACGTAATTTTAATTTAAAGGGACAGTAGACGTAATATCAAGTTAAAAGGACAGTAGACGTAATTTCAAGTTAAAGGGACAGTAGACGTAATTTCAAGTTAAAGGGACAGTAGACGTAATTTCAAGTTAAAGAGACAGTAGACGTAATAGCAAGTTAAAGGGACAGTAGACGTAATATCAAGTTAAAGGGACAGTAGACGTAATTTCAAGTTCAAGGGACAGTAGATGTAATATCAAGTTAAAAGGACAGTAGACCTATTATTAAGTAAAAGGGACAGTAGACGTAATATCAAGTTAAAGGGACAGTAGACGTACTTTCAAGTAAAAGGGACAGTAGACGTAATATCAAGTTAAAGGGACAGTAGACGTAATTTCAAGTTAAAGAGACAGTAGACGTAATAGCAAGTTAAAGGGACAGTAGACGTAATAGCAAGTTAAAGGGACAGTAGACGTAATATCAAGTTAAAGGGACAGTAGACGTAATTTCAAGTTAAAGGGACAGTAGATGTAATATCAAGTTATAAGGACAGTAGACCTAATATCAAGTTAAAGGGACAGTAGACGTAATATCAAGTTAAAGGGACAGTAAACGTAATATCAAGTTAAAGGGACAGTAGATGTAATATCACGTAGACAAAAATTAAAGTGACTAATTTATTTTACAAGCAATCCATGAATTATTGTAAACAATACATTAGTATAAATATATCTAGTTGGGTTTAAAAACTAGGCATGGTTAATACACAATTTATAAGAATTTATCAGAGCAAAATGCTGGAGTTATCATCTCCTTTTTACTTTATATAAGCGACTTGCAGGTTTCTAACTACCGAAACAATGGTGGAATCGTGAGAAGTAAACACTTGGCAAGCGAAGAACACGACGATATCTTCCTCATTATTGATCAGATATCGGTTTGAAAGATATGTTGTAAATCGGGCAAAAAAATTCTCCAAGAGGGAGGTTAACTAGAAATTTAAATAAAAAGTTATTTAGAGATGGAGAAGCGCTAAAAATTTAAATAATAGTGAATCAAATCATCGTGTTTAGATAATAAGTAAATCTTAAAATTTTTAAAAACTTCCGTTTCTAAGGGGACGTCGGTGCAATACCAAAAACATCGAAACATACCTGATTTACAACGATACTAACAACGGATTAAAATGAGGAAGATATTGTTGTTTTTATTCCTTGAAAAGTTTTGATTTCCTTTGATTTCCATTGTGAATGGGAAAGACCCTTGTAATGTATATGCAATTGTACTACTTCCGTATTAAGAAAGGGGTTAGGTCATACTTTCCAATTTATTAAGTATCATGACAGATTTTCGAATATTTGAGTTCGACATCATTGTATTAGTGTATAATTAAACAACCTCTTTCTAAAATCTTAACATTAAAGTATAAGCATGTTTTAAAGTCGTTTTAAGAGAACTTTTAGAGCGTCAAACCCCAAACCCAGTTCTTTTGGGGGATTTCAGACCCTGTAAATATTTTAGTTTACATATGTCGGACGTGGTCGGACTAGTCATGACAATTAATGAATTTGTTCATCAGTATCTTCTTTATTAATATTTTCTATTTGTTTTAAACAAAAGAAAAGATTTTTTCGTTAACTTTAATTTGATTAAATAGAGCCTGAGACCGAATCCTGATTAAGGTTTCTCTTATGGTTACTATGTGCAGACTAATATCATCAAAACATACAAGATTTGCAATAAACGTCAATTTGAAGAATATTTTACGTCAGACTGAAATATTTTATGTCTTCAAAACTTCACTTATTGAAGTGCTTTTGAGAAGAAAAAAAATATTTTGAATATCTTAAGTAACAAAATAGATTACTTTCTTACACTTGTACTGCGTGAAATCAAAACTACATAAGCTACAAAGTCACAAAGTCATAAAGTCATAAATTTGAAACTCGAGAAATAACAAATAATATTATTGATACAATATATACTATACACTTTCATACTTTCTGCGACAAAAACAATTTTGTGAATAGAGGGTTATAATTTTCAGCTTTCTTTATAATTCTATATTTTCATAAAAACAGTAAATTTTGAACAAAACCATTTGTTTTAGCTTAATCCAGGCCTAGAGCTCGCCCTGACAATACACAATTAATCTCAGTTTAGTTTAAAGGGAAAGTTATTCGAAAATGCAAATATTACACTTTATTTTGTAATGTGTAATGCAACTTTTCTATTTACAGTTTGCTTTAATAAACTTCAAGTCAAGAATAAGTCTAAATGAAGATTATAAGTTTTTAGGTCCGGGGGGGGGGGGTCTACAAAACCTAAAATATCAATTAAACAAATATAATGTCAATTAATAAAACATATAAATTAAAGTTCTTTTTTGTCATATAACAATTATATTTACGAATTATTCAAAACTAATATTAGAACTTTTAAGATTTAAATCTTGTACTTATAACTTTTTTTCCTAAAGAGAGATTACAGCCAAACCAAAATTAAATATAAATTTAATTTAGGATTGTCTGTCAGATTTTTCAGAAAAAGGATTTAAATCTTAAAAATTTGGTTTCAAAGATAATCCGCAAATTTTTTTTTATAACCAGGAAGTTATATTTTTGAGATGGTCCTGCCGTACATATAAATCATAGTCTCCTAATTTTAGGGTTTGGGACATCTTTAAACAATTGCGGAATTACTTTAAGCTATTCCTTTTTTACCACTCACTTCAGCCGAGAAGGGAAAGGCAGAATATTCTGATTAATTGTTCAAAAACAATTCTTGAATAGTCGGGGCACAGGGATCTTATCGGCCATTCAGCCGACGATTCTTCAGATTCCTGATTTCAGCAGACAGAGTTGAAAACTAGATAAGGACTATCTTGCTTCTTAATAATCTATGACAGATCAGGGACAAAACTGCCGACATAATTCAAAGTACCCTTTATTTTAGAGGGGCGTGGGTCTAATTCACAACAGTACCCAATTTAAACCTTTGACTGATCATTTTTAAAATTGTTTTTTTGTTCTCTTAGATTCAAAGAAAACAAAAAGTTGATAAAATCTCCGTCGTGATTTAGGCCAAACCTCTTTAAATGGAGGCCATAACAAATTACGAAGAATGCAGTCCCTTTAACATAAATTCATAGTAAAGAAATGGCACGGGCAAAAAAAAATTTGCAATGAGTACATTCCATATGAATCCAACAGTTTGTTTCTTTTAGAGGGACTTTACAAGTAATTTCAAGAACAGGGTGTCCCAAAACATGGGAATTGAGAGACGACTTAAATATCGTCTTTGATTTCCGATAATGGTTAAATGATATAAAGTGCCTCAAAAAGAGATTGAAAGCCTAATGAGCTTTCCAAAATGTGGTGTACCTTCGGTGTAAATTAAAATTGACGGAGATATTAAACATTTGAACAGTTTTGTTGATTTTCAATAAACTGGAATCTGGGCAAATATTCTAATATCTCCGTCAATTTTAAAGGTTAAACAATGGTAGACCACATTTTTGAAATCCCGAGACTAGCGTCGTTTTTCGGTGTTAAATGTCTTATAGCTGTGAAACTACAAAATTATGTTTACGAAATAATCCCGCTTGGAACAAAGACCATATAGAAGTTGTCATTTAATTCCCATGTTTATTGGAACACCATGTACCTTCAATTTAAAGTGTGAACTATGATTTTTTTTCTAAATACCGTTAATACACAATACAACTCCATTCCTGCTGTTCTCCAGCTTCCAGGTCATGGTGAACATCGTGTTCAGCGTACAGAAGATCCAGTTCTTCAACAGATTTGTCGTCTTCCAGTTCAAGATACGATCTGTTCAGTTTACCAGCCTTACTCAAGGTATGCTTCTAAACACAGAAATTTTACTGATTTCAGAAATTTATGGGGAGGCTAGACCGCCCTGAGCCCCAGACAATAACCCCCCGAGCCTCATAATGTTAAAAATGAACTCCGAGTTTAGTGAAAAATCCTCAGATGAAAGATTCTAAAGGATGCATGGTATATTTTTTTGAATTATTTGTATTATACAGTTTTCTCACTTAAACTAATCTGCAAATTATCAGGTTCTAAGGCTTTTTTTTTGTGGGGCGTATGGTGGCAAAGTATCCCTCCCTCGAAATTTATATATTAAATGTTTGTCTTTCGAGAGTTTGTCTTTCGAGAGTTTGTCTTTCGTGAGTTTGTCTTTCGGGAGTTTGTCTTCTGGAGTTTGTCTTTCGGGAGTTTGTCTTTCGGGAGTGTGTTTTTCAGGTGTTTGTTTTTTAGGAGTTGTCTTTAATTCAGGAGATTGTGTTTCAGAAGATTGTGTTTCAGGAGTTTATCTTCCAAGAGTTTGATGTTTTGGATATCCTGACTCCTGAGTCCATTTATTTTCTCAAAATAGTTTTTTTCTTCTCTAATTTTATGAATAAATCATTCGACAGATAAGCCCCTATATATGTTTGATTTATCTTTTAGATCTAAAGTTTGAGTTTGAATGTGCAAGATTCTTGTTGGATGGTTAGTATAGTTCACAGAGGTCTAGACTGCAAGAGAAGTTGCATCAAATTTCTCCCATACTACTGAAAACTATAAGGAATTTGCTTCGCAAATTCTCTTTTATAGTTTTCCTAGACTAGGTCGAATAGGCAATGCCTTGGCTTGATTTTACCTCAATATCTCACTTTTATTTATTTTTAGACCTAGACATTTTATAACCATGCATTTTCGTGCCTCTAGCTTTAGATTGAAAAGAGTAATTGGCAAAATTCTGATAGGTTTTTACGTGAGAGCTGGCAACCATTGGATCACTGTGAGTTACCTGATTATCTAGAACCTTCCTTACACTTCCTTTCTTCATCAAGGTTTCACAACTGCTACAGTGCTCCCTGATAAAGATTATTGTGTGTAAAAACTTAAAATCTGAATACATATTTATGACGAGTTATATTTGCCATTTATTATGTCATACTATTTGCTATTTCAAACATTTGCGAAGATATGAAGAATTTTGTCTCAATTGTATTTAGATTAGAACGGAACTAATAATTTTGTAGTCCTTTTATCTTTGCATCCGGTTGGGTATTATTGAAAACCATGAACTGCCTCCATGCTTAGGTGATGAAAATAGAAGGAATGCTAATTAGTGTATTTATAGGTCTGCGGAGTGTGGACGGAGTGTTCAAGGTACCATCCACTTATAGTGTGGCGAGTCCGATTCCCTTTATTTACCCATTTTCTGATCAAGGATGATGTAAATATCCTTATTTTTCTTTCTAAAAATTGGAATAAAATTGGAATGAAAACTAGCTCTCGTGGAATGTTCACCGCGAAACTTTGAGTTTCGAGGCATTTAACTTTGAGCTAAAAAAACAAGGTTATCTACATCATCCTTGATTGGACAAAGATGGAGGTTCACTTGAAATCACGTCACAGTCCCTTTAAATGTTTACTTTGAAAAAGTTGAAAATGAGTCCTCTGATCTTGTAGGAGAGGGAGGTGGAGAACCTCTGGAAGGGGAGGAGGGTAGAGAGGTTCTAGAGTGTTCGCCTGAAATCAGAGTTTGTCAAAGATAACTGAACTTTTAAGGTTCTTTATCTTTCGTTCATAAACGGTTAATTTTGTTACGTTCTGGCTCAAATCTTCTGTTTGAGTCAGTATTTTGCAGTAGAGAAATAAACTTTGAATTAATTAGACCTTTCCCAGATTTTTATGATTCTCAGTCCTGATAATAGAATAAAAATGGATTACAAACTTAGAAATTCCAAATTTTAGACAACCTTGACTTGAAATACTCTCGTTGGTTTCAACTCACCAACTCTTTTATATTTTTATGTAGCCCTAGACATATCCAGTCTTAAACTGCAATGCCCTTGTGTCTAGCTTGAGGTTAAAAGGCGTAATTGGCAAAATACTGCTCGATTTTTGTGTTAGAGAGTGAAAATCTAGGTTTGCAGTGAAACTAAGCCAAACTTTACCTGGACCCCAGTGTCGAGAAGAAGTATATTAAACTTTACCTGGAGTCCAGTGTCGAGAGGATGTATATCAAACTTTACCTGGAGTCCAGTGTCGAGAAGATGTATATCAAACTTTACCTGGAGTCCAGTGTCGAGAGGAAGCATATCAAACTTTACCTGGAGTCCAGTGTCGAGAGGAAGCATATCAAACTTTACCTGGAGTCCAGTTTCGAGAAGAAGTATATCAAACTTTACCTGGAGTCCAGTGTCGAGAGGAAGCATATCAAACTTTACCTGGAGTCCAGTGTCGAGAGGATGTATATCAAGCTTTACCTGGAGTCCAGTGTCGAGAGGAAGCATATCAAACTATACCTGGAGTCCAGTGTCGAGAGGAAGCATATCAAACTATACCTGGAGTCCAGTGTCGAGAGGAAGCATATCAAACTTTACCTGGAGTCCAGTGTCGAGAGGAAGTATATTTTTGATCTGATTCTTCCCCTGTAATATTGCAGGAGGAACCCAGAGAGAAATCAGTTATAGAACCTTGGCAGGAAAAAAGTCCAGGAACCTCGATCCTCATCTTTGTTTACAAATAAAGTGTACAGCAGTTTCTGGGTGGAATGTAAATAAAACGTAGCTTAAGCAACAGTTTACAGTCCTTCAAGAAATGCAAAACATGTTCAGTAAGACCCATAAAACGGTATATTAGAAAGACGACATTTAAGACAATTTTGTGCACATTTTTTGTTATTAATAAGCAAAGCAAACCTATTAAATAAAATGGGACTGTGTTTTTGTGTAAACTTTACAGATGTCGGTTTTCATGTTTTTTAACTATCTGAGAGAATAATTTGATTCTAACAATTGTCTTCTATTCGACAGTTTTATTGGTCCCACTGTACAGGAGTAGAGATGGGCATAATTAACGAACGAAATATTTCAAAACGAACAAAAAACACACAAACGATATTTAATCGTTAAATCGTTGAATTTTTCTGATCACCCAGACGGTTAACTCATGATCTCTAAATGGAAAAAAATGAACGATGATTCATAAGAACGACTGAAAAAAACGAACGAAATGTGTCGTTAACAAACGATTAACGAACAAATTGAAAAAAAGCCAAATGAACCCATCTCTATACAGAGGTTCCTTTAACCTTGGGTCATCATTGAACATGTGGCTGTAGAACCAGGTCCTGTACAACAGTCTGTAGAATACTGGGTCACCATAGACAGCTGGGGGAGAAGGGAACACTCAGTAACAGAACCTGGCGACTTTAAACACACTGTAGACGTAATTGCAAGTAGGCCCTTATTTACTTGCTCTATTCATCAAGTTATCAGAGCAAAAATTGATACTTTTGCATTATTGGTTCTCGTTAAAATCGGAATCATGCAACAGAGTAAGAAGGGGTCTTCTCTGAAACGACGATATCTTATTCATTGTTACTCAGAAAGGGGGGTAAAATCCGTGTGAATTGGGAAAGTCGAACTTTTTAAATTGACTGTCTTTTGAAATTACGTGAACAGTCCCTTTAACGATGACTCTGTACACATTGAACCTCTCCAGTAGCTGTCGGTCACTGAGAGCGGGGAGAACAGACAACGGTTGGGTAAAGGTTGTGTCAGCGTTAACATCTCAGGAGACTTAGATTTCCAAGGAACTAGATCTATTGAGGAGCAGAACAAGGTTCTATCCGAGGATTCCGAACAGGAGGAGGAGGAGGAGGGTCTAAACAAGATTTAGGTTAGAGGAGGAGGAGGAGGAGAAAGAGGAGGGTATGAATAAGATTTATATTAGAGGAGGAGGAGGAGGAGAAAGAGGAGGGTATGAATAAGATTTATATTAGAGGAGGAGGAAGAGGAGGAGGCTCTAAACAAGATTTATATTAGAGGAGGAGGAGGCCGAGGGGGAGGTGGGTCTAAACAAGATTTAGAGTAGAGGAGGAGGAGGAGGAGGAGGAGGAGAAGGAGGGAGCCTAAACAAGATGTAAATTAGACATAGATGAAATATTATAGAGACGGAGCAATTAAGATCTAGTTTAATGTTTATTGTTTATAAAACATACAGCGGATTCCAACGGTACCTGTACGGGCTGTAACCCTTAGTATGATTAAGAATTACGGAGAAATCGTTGCTTTTTTTAACCGAAATTTTGTTAATTTAAATTTTGGTTGGTCTATCAAAGTAATGAACGGACAATGGGGGCAGGAAATCTGTCTGTATTTTCTTTGGTCTTTTTCCCAAAGCATCGCTAATCAACTAATTCAGTTAGACGGAACCAATTATCTTGAGAGGGGTAAAAATAACAAAGAGTACACCTTCACAGAGAACCAGCTTGGGAACCCACTTTTCCCTGGAAATTTAAACTTTTTCTCTAAAAGTCGACTAACTCAACTTAGAGCTTTTAAACCTAGCTAAGGACATACATTCCTATAGTCTCTATACATTCCTATAGTCTCCATACATTCCTATAGTCTCTATACATTCCTATAGTCTCTATACAAGTTTGTTAGACAACTAAGTCTAGGGGGTTACTGAGTTATGAATATAGATGCAATGAAATGTTCAAAATTAATTTTGAAATAGCATTGATTTTTATCTACGAACATCAATAAGAAGGGAAAAATATATTTGAAGGTATATATTAACGTTATTTTAACCATGATACTTCATATTCACAATATTGATCTTTTAACCTTTGTATGATTAAAAAAATATGGAGATACCCTTCTATCTGGAGGTTCACTTGAAATTACTTAGCTAGTTCCTTTAACGGGACTGTAAGTTCATTTAACCCTCCATGGAAAGATGGCAATGTCCGATTCACAACGGTTCCGTTGAACTTTTATCGGATGTGGAATGTGGAAGTAACTGTCGTTTTTCTGTGAGTTTCCCTGTTGCTTTGTATAAAAAAAACAATGCGCAAGTCTATTTCATCGAGAAATGAACAGTTAAGGAAACAAAACATTAATATCTAATTGATACTTGATCAGACATAGCCGTCAAGTGTACCGTTGTTTATTAGGCATTGCCTTCTTTGCATGAAGTATCACTTAATATTACAAGTATTCTGTATAGTTCCAACTTGACCTGGAAAGGGATAATGTTGAGCATGTTCTATTTATTCTCTTGATGTTTGTTAATCCTAGAATTCCACCAGCAAATTATCATCAGAAGATAAACGAAGAAAATCAATATACAGGGTTACCCACAGAGAATGAAACTATGAAGAAAATCTTGAAGCTTTATTTTTTGTTTCTACATCCAATTAAGTATTTTGATGGTTTACCAAATGGTCTACAACGAATCCTAAATGCAAGAAAACGGACAAAAATAAATTCCGTACAATCGTCTTTGAAGTCTAATGCTTTGTGAGTAACCCTGTATATGTATGTAATGTTCGTGATCAATTCTGGATTTAATTATATTGAGACCCACAAAACTGTGAAATAGGAAGACGACTTTTAGACTTCAAGTTTTACATTTGCATAGTTTAACAATCACGAAACACAGCAATTGTGCAGTGTACACAGGTCCATAAACATTCCCTGGGATCATGTGAGGACCCGCACAAAATTATATACAGGGTGTCCCACGAAACATGACAATAGGAAGACGACTTGAAAGTCGTCTTTGGTATTTGAATTAATTTGTGACATTTAGTCTTCTATCTACTTTAACATGTATGATTCTTGAAACAATTATCACAAAATTCTCCTAGCCCTGGTATTTCCAAAAAGTGGTCTGCGTTTTTTGTGCTTTCAATATTACCGGAGATATAAAGAGTTTGGTTCAGATTTCAATTTTGTTAAATAAAAGCAAAATTGTCGAAATCTGATCGAAATTCTTCATGTCTCGGGCAATATTGAAAGCACAAAAAAGGCAGACCACATTTTGGAAATGGCAGGACAAGGGAAATTTTGTGATTATTATCTCTAGCAATTTACTTCTAAAATTAGATTGACAAATAAACGCAGCAAATTATATAAAAAATCAAGACGACATTCAAGCCGTCCTGCATACTGTCATGTTTCGTGGGACACCCTGTATCTATATAGCTGAGCGAAGAGCTTTAATATCTAAATATATACATATATATATATCCCGCGCCGAAAAAAAAATAGTTGAGAGCATAGATATATATAAATATATATATATTTATATATGGATTTAAAAGAAATAAAGTTTATTTGCTGTAAGGAATATTTTCTGTTCACAAACATTTCTAAAGAACAGATCCGTTCAATATATTCTACAAGAAACTTTTAGTTCTAAATCATAAAAGTTTTTCTGCAAAAACTTGAACATTTTTCTCAAGTTTGATATTTCATTTCAGAAAATATAAAATGTCTCCCCGAGTTAAAGTTGTTGCAAGTTATAAAAATAAATAAGAATAAAAATAAAATATGTATTTTCCCTTTTCATGATGGATTGGATTTTGTTTATTTTAATCTATTTCAAGTCAACACTCAACATCAATTGGTTTAATTTTTGATCACGTGTTTAAACCCACTTACGTGACCCATTTGATATAATCAGAGGTCGAATCTTTTAAGTGAAATAGTGTTAATCTAAAAAACTCGATATTTGAATTTTTTCTCTTTTTTGCGGTAATTAGAAGCCTAGGTTTGAAAATATCGTAATGGGGTTTTCTGAAAAAGTTAATTCTGGTTTTATTAAGATATAAATTTATATCTATATATTTAATTTGCTTGTCTGTCTGTTCGTTTGTGTCCAATAAGCTTTAAAACGGCTGAACCAATCGGGCCCAAATTTAGTGTGGCAACCCTATGACCCCAGGGAAGTGTCATGATAAACATGTTTGCCCGAAAAAATGTCGACATTCATCTTTTGTAATTAAGCCTCAATTTCAAAAAAGAAAAATCTTCAAAAACTTAAGAATGATTAAATAGGCCACTTTTAGAGCAGCAGATAAAAGCTAAAATTGCTTACAGGAATAGGATACGAATATATGAAAATATAGTCATACACTTACAGTTATACTTACAGTTATACACTGATAATATAATTTTGTTTACTGCTTTAATATGTATGCAGATCTGTTCGTGGCATATGAAATTATTAGTTTACACTAATATATCGATGTTTACACTACAGCTGCCGAAGGTTTACTATTTAAACAAATAACTGAATAAATTCGGTGCATTCTTTGTGATAAACCAGCTCTACCTAAATAAACTTAATTTGTTGTAATCTCTAAATTAGTACGATGTGCTAACAGTAAAGCTTATTCAAATTAGAGTCTACTGTGCGAATGAAGAATGTAATGGGTATACAAACCTACTTATTATAATTGCTAATGGAATTGCCTAGAAACCGAACTTCAGTTCGACTAAATCTGCAAAACCCATTTTCCTCATCCTTCTCCTCCTCTTCCTCCTCCTCTCTCCCCTCTTCTCTCATCTTCTCCTTCATGATCCTGTTTTCCTTTTCCCCCACCTTCTTAAGTCTATACGTTTTCTAAAAAGAAAAAATATAAAACATAATGGAAAGAATTTCAAATCCTAGAACATCAATGAGGTCAAATGCCTGGCGATATTCAAAAGTCAACCCGGTCTGAAAAATGTGCTAGCTGCTGTATTTTCTAGAAGCTGCGTATCATGTTGTATTTTTCTAGAAGCTGCATTTCATGTTGTATTTTTCTAGAAGCTGCATATCATGCTCTATTTTTCTAGAAGCTGCGTATCATGCTTTATTTTTTTCTAGAAGCTGAGCACCTTGCTGTATATTTTCTAGAAGCTGCATATAATGCTGTATTTTCTAGAAGCTGCGTATCATGCTTTATTTTTTCTAGAAGCTGCGTATCAAATTGTATTTTTTGAAAAGCTGCATATCATGTTGTATTATCTAGAAGTTGCATATCATGCTGTATTTTTCTCGAAGCTGCGTATCATGCTGTATTTTTCTAGAAACTGTGTATCATGCCATATTTTCTAGAAGCTACATATCATGCTGTATTTTTCTATTAGCTGCGTATCATGTTGTATTTTTCGAGAAGCTGCGTATCATGCTGTATTTTAAAGAAGCTGCATATCATGCTGTATTTTTCTAGAAGCTGTGTAGCATGCTATATTTTTCTAGAAGCTGCATATCCTGCTGTATTTTCTAGAAGCTGCGTATCATGCTGTATTTTCTAGAAGCTACGTATCATGCTGTATTTTCTAGAAGCTGCATATCATGCTGTATTTTTCTAGAAGCTATGTATCATGCTGTATTTTTCTAGAAGCTGCATATCATGCTGTATTTTTTGAGAAGCTGTGTATCATGCTGTGTTTTCTAGAAGCTGCATATCATGCTGTATTTTTCTGCAAGCTGTGTATCATGCTGTATTTTTCTAGAAGCTGCATATCATGCTGTATTTTTCGAGAAGCTGTGTATCATGCTGTATTTTTCTAGAAGCTGCATATCATGCTGTATTTTCTAGAAGCTGCATATCATGTTGTATTTTTCTAGAAGCTGCATATCATGCTGTATTTTCTAGAAGCTGCGTATAATGCTGTATTTTCTAGAAGCTGCGTGTCATGCTGTATTTTCTAGAAGCAGCGTATCATGCTGTATTTTTCTAGAAGCTTCGTATCATGTTGTATTTTTCTAGAAGCTGCGTATAATGCTGTATTTTCTAGAAGCTGAGTATCATGCTGTATTTTCTAGAAGCTGCGTATCATGCTGTATTTTTCGAGAAGCTGCATATCATGCTGTATTTTTCGAGAAGCTGCGTATCATGCTGTATTTTCTAGAAGCTGCATATCATGCTGTATTTTTCTAGAAGCTGTGTATCATGCTGTATTTTTCTAGAAGCTGCATATCATGCTGTATTTTTCGAGAAGCTGCGTATCATGCTGTATTTTCTAGAAGCTGCATATCATGCTGTATTTTTCTAGAAGCTATCATGCTGTATTTTTCTAGGAGCTGCATATCATGCTGTATTTTCCAGAAGCTGTGTATCATGCTGTATTTTCTAGAAGCTGCGTATCATGCTGTATTTTTCTAGAAGCTTCGTGTCATCCTGTATTTTTCTAGAAGCTGCATATCATGCTGTATTTTCTAGAATGCTGTGTATCATGCTGTATTTTCTAGAAGCTGCGTATCACGCTGTATTTTCTAGAAAATGCGTATCATGCTGTATTTTACTTGAAGCTGCATATCATGATGTATTTTTCGCGAAGCTGCGTATCATGTTGTATTTTATAGAAGTAGCATATCATGCTGTATTTTTCGAGAAGTTGCGTATCATGCTGTACTTTTCTAAAAGCTGCACATCATGCTGTATTTTCTAGAAGCTGCGTATCATGCTGTATTTTCTAGAAGCTGCGTGTCATGCTGTATTTTCTAGAAGCTGTGTATCATGCTGTATTTTTCCAGAAGCTGCGTATCATGCTGTATTTTTCTAGAAGCTGCATATTACGCTGTAATTTCCAGAAGCTGTGTATCATGCTGTAATTTCTAGAAGCTATGTATCATGCGGTATTTTTCTTGAAGCTGCGTATCATGCTGTATTTTCTAGAAGCTGTGTATCATGCTGTATTTTCCAGAAGCTGCGTATCATGCTGTATTTTTCTAGAAGATGCGTATCATACTGTATTTTCTAGAAGCTGCGTATCAAGCTGTTTTTTTGTGCAATCGTGTCTGTAGAAAAAAATATTATTGCTGTCTATTTGTCTATTTGTCTATTTGTCTATTTGTCTAGTAGTCTAGTTGTCCATTTATTTAGTTGTCTACTAATCTAGACGTCCAGTTGTCTAGCCGTCTATTTGTGTAATTGTCTAATTGTCTATTTGTCTAGTTCTGTAGTTGTCTAGTTGTCTAGTTGTCTTGTTGTTTAGTTGTTTAGTTTTATATTTGTATAGTTCTATACTTGTCGAGTTGTCTGGTTGTCTAGTTGTCAAATTTTCGAGTTGTTTAGTATTTGAGTTGTAGAGTTGTCAAGATATGTTGTTTTATATGTGTTTATGTTATAAAATCAGACGTTAAATTTGGTTGTCAATGTCCATACTTTCTTGCCCTACTCTTAAATTCTGAGCATTATTTACAATTTTTTTTATTGTTTTCAAGAAAGCTAGATGTTGAGATGGCCTAGTATAAATACAAGACAGTTAGATGTAAACAAAGTATATTTCTCCGTTCTCCTCAGTTCTATACTGTGTCAACTCACTGGAGGATATTTCTATACTGAATTGAGAGATATGGACTGAAGATACAAGAGAGGACGGAGAAGGAAGAGGAGGGAGGAGAGAGGACAGATAAGGAAGATGAGTGAGGAAAGAAAAGTGAGAGGAGGTAGGAGGGAGAAGAAAGAGGGGATAAGGAAGAAGGGAGATAAAAAATGGGAGAATGGAGAAGAGAGAAGGAAGAAGGGAGAAGGAAGAAAGGAGATAAAAAATGGGAGAAGGGAGAAGGAAGAAGGGAAAAGGAAGAAGGGAGAAGGAAGAAGGGAGAAGGAAGAAGGGAGAAAAAAAGGGAGAAGGGAGATAAAAAGGGAGAAGGGAGAAAATCAAATTATATTCTTTGCATGAAAATTTGGCTTATAGTGGTGACTTAAATATGTAAATAATATATTACATGCATATTAAACTTATTTTTAAGTAAATAATTAACAATAAACAAATGTACTCTCCTAGACTGTACAAATACCGAGATTCATACGTACTCTATAAACCTACAGTTCACACCTTTGGTACAGTAAGCTGACACACAATCTTTTGGTACAGACACACCCACATAACGTTTCCGCCCCCTGAGTAAAATGGAATGTTGCGTGGGATTTTTCGATAATGTATTTGCATAAAACGTTTGTAGCTAAATGTTTTAATGAATTAAAAGCACAATACGATATATATTGCTCACATAGTAACATATCTTGTATGTACAGTATGTTCATGATAATTCATATATATATAATATTGAATGGTTCACTGAGTTAATGTAATGGATACTGTATATATCCAGTAAACGAACAATAGTTATGAATAAAGAAAGATGTACAGGGTGTACAGGGTGTGCCAGCAACATGGGAATTAAGGGGCTATAAGCTAATCATGGTGAAAATATCAATGCCAGATTTACAATGATAACTTATAACTATTTATAACACTGTTATTTTGGTTTGCAGTGTTAGAAAGGTTTTTGGACAGAAATTTTCTCTTTATTGAGAAAGTGGCTTTTTAGATTTAATTTTGTCCCAAGCTTTAGTGAGGTACAAAATATAATCTAAATATTGATATTATTTTGTTTCTTACAGCAAAGAAATAATTTAGCAGTTAAGTCTTCATAAGATCATTTTTACATTCAGTGATTTATTTTGTAAGTTATGAAAGTGAGTTTTGTCATGAAAAGCGGATTATACTCAAAAACGGGAAAGTGGGTTTTGTCTCGAAAACGCGACAATGTTTCAAATTCAGAATATGTACGAAAATGGAAAACCTAACATTGTCTTGAAAACGGTAAAGAGCTTTAATATAAAAGGACTCCTGTTATAATTTTGATTTAAAAAAAGTTTTGTTGTCCTCGTCATGTTTAATAAAATGTTGGTTATAGTTTTTATTATCGACTGTTACTCTCGATATAGGCCGGGATCCTAAAAACCCAGTCTTTCAATTTGTGCACAATTCTAAAAAGATACATGATAACCAAAGCAGAACATAGGAAAGCAAGCTAAGAACTTGAAGACAAATCTGAAAATTCTTTAAACCCGGCCTTGGATCTTTTTCTGTTTTGTCTATATGTATCAACAATATCTTGAAAACGTGTTTAATCTTTAAAAATTCAAAAACTTTTCTACTCACATCAAACATTCTAAGGATAAAAATGCAAAATACAAGATATTATTTGTTTATTATAAAACAATGATTAAGAAACTAAGGATGCTCACAAATGGTTGATTATATAAACAATGATACACGATATTTATAGATTTACAGAGGTTTGATAGAAATCTTGATTTTATCCTTGGGCACTCCGATCATCTTGGTTGCATACTCAGCCTTCTCAGCTGAAATCTGGAAGTTCTGAACCATATTAGAAACCAGGATGAGTAAACTGTTCTCTGCAACTCTGCGTCCTACGCACATCCTTACTCCGTGACCAAAAGGTCGAACTGAGGCGGCCATATCATTCTTCAGATCCTTGGGCATGTCATTATCTCTGATCCATCGTTCAGGTTTATTGACGCTTGGATTAGGGAAGTTGGTACTGTTGAATGCCATGGCAGAATTGGAAACCATAACATTAGTTCCTGGTGGTAGAATATGTTCACCAACCTTGACATTCTTAGAAATAATTCTGCTAAGAAAAGGAACTGCAGGATACAGTCTAGAGGTTTCTCTGAACAATCCTTTCATCAGAGGAATACTTTCTAGGATATCACCTGAACATGGTTTGTCTCCACATACAGTCTTCAGCTCAGCTCTGATACGTTCTTGAACATCTGGGTTCTGACCGAGCTCGTGAAGAACCCACATTATACTGGTGGTTGTTGTATCTACTCCGCCCAGCAAGAAATCACACACAATCTTCTCAACATCTTCAAGACTTGTTCCAAGCTTGAATAACTCTGCAGCAACTCCGTGTTCTAGTTTCTCTTTGTACGATGCTCTGATACCTTGTTTCAAGGTCGCAAGGATTCCATCAACATGGCCAATAAACATCATCCACTCAGGGGACTTGCGCTCAAAGTGCTCTTGAGGATTAAACATAAGCTGGGTTGTGCCTCTAAATAATCCACTATTATCTATGATGACTCTTTCAATAGCCTGGTCCAGGGGGAAATCCTTGGATGTTCCAATAAACAGCTCCAACAAGATCTTTGTAACGCTTCTGTAAACATCTTTCTGAATTTGAGATGAATCTCCATTCAAACGTTTCAGCAGCTCAGAAGCTTCTTTCTCAATTGAAGGATTCATCTTGGCGATAGCAGCACTCTTCAACATCAAGGGGTTTAGCCTAGATCTCTGCTCCCACCATTCTTCTCCTGCTAGGAAAATAAGTCCACGCTTTACTCCGTATTCCCTAGCATGGATTTCCCAAGATTCAGGTATAAAGGTCTTGGGATACCTCTCTCCGCTTGTACCAAGTAGATCTGAGGACATGCTTGGATCAGCAATGAACACCAAGTTCATGATCGGCAGCTTGAAGATTGGACCAAGTTCTTTATGCGCCTCTCTAGTGAATACATGAAGACAGTTATTCATCATCGCATGCTGAAACTTCTTTAGTTCGTCATACATAGGAACATTCGAGATAAATCGAGCAGAATAATAGCTCTTCTCAGCCAATCCTGGGATATTAAGTCTAGAAATCCGGAACATTTTGACTCAGAGAGATGCGTGCTTCTTGCTGCAAGAACTGAATGAAACTGACAGACTTGGGGAGTTTCTGACCAAGTTTCGCGGATTTTAACAAATTTTTTCGAGCATTCTTCTTTAATGTCGTCTTCAGATTTGAATTGTTATATCTTCAAAATGTAGACACAAATCTTAAATTGTTTTTACACAACGTTTCATTATTAAAATAAAGACTTCTTTAAAATTTAAACCGATTTGGCTTTAGATTTAACAGAAAGCTTTCAGTAATTTATTATAAATTGCACGTCTGGATACATTTAGTTAAATCAACTAAAGATAAAAAATATTGCATAATTTTATGTTTATAATAGATAAATAAATACGTAAAAGAAGATGGCTTGCTTAACATAATATAAAAAGTAAAAACTGTGATATAACAGCAATTTCTTTAAATTAAAATCGGGATAATCATAATAATAAATAAAAAAATATACATTTTCACGAAGTTTCTTCAATTAACCCAGTCTGGAGATTTTAAAGCATCATCAATGTTTAGCTTTACAGAAAAGCTATCAAAGAGGCTTGGAAACTGAGAATTAGGAACGGTTAAAGAGGATCTGGTGGGTCCCAGAATTTCTTCAAATTCGCCCCTTTCTGCAGAAGAAAAAGGTTGAAGGTTCTCAGGACGGGGATGCTGATTAGAACCATGATTAGGTATTTTTGGAACAGATATTTTCGGAGCAGGTTCTGAAGTTTTTAAGAGATCACTCCGATCTCTGAGAGCAGTGTTTCCAAGAGCCTTTTCAGGTTCCTAAAATCAATGAATCATTTAGAATGGTATATATTAAATTTTAAACGATACCAAAAATGAACAAAATCTTTAAAGGTTAAAAAAGATCCCGCATTTCTTATTTTTGTCGTCTTCCTTCTCTCTTATAAAAAAATTCAATTAAAAATGAAACTGATTTAGTCAATTAAAAGCTAATAATATTTTTAACAACAATATACGGGAGTAGGCGATAATATCAATATAATGAAGACGACATTTGTATTTAAGTTTTAATTGTTAACAAACATTTTTTGGAATTGCAAGTAATTAAAAAGCTGTTTTGACTGACAACTTCTCTTTGTTTCCATTTTTTGTGTACCCATGCTGTTGAAAAGCTTGATATAAATCAAAATCGAAATGAAAAAAGCGCCTTCATTGTATTGATAAATTCGTATGATGTAAAATATTTAGAATAAACCTTAATTCTGGATGGTCCCAGTAAGTTCTCTAAACCCGATCCGTTGATCTTAACCTGGAGAAGGTTTAGAGTATTTAGCTCAGACCAGGGAAGGTTAGGTTTCAAGGTATTAGAATCTTGTCCAAATATATCTTCAGAGGAAGTTTTATTTATCTCTAGGGGGGTTAAAAAAGAAGGTTGATTTGATAAAAAGGAGGAGGAGGAGAAGGAGGAGAAGGGTTGATAGGAAAGGGAAGGTTGAGAGGAAATAGAAGGTTGAGAAGAAAGGGAAGGTTGAGAAGAAAGGGAAGGTAGTGAGGAAATAAAAGGTTGAGAAGAAAGGGAAGGTTGAGAAGAAAGGGAAGGTTGAGAAGAAAGGGAAGGTTGTGAGGAAGGGGAAGGAAGAGTTTCAGTTTTCTGTGATTTCTTTCTTCCCCAGCTCTTATCATAAAACCTAAAAGTAATTTATTCTTAGCAATTTATCATTCCATTTTAACTTTATTCAATACATTTCATTTCAATTCAATTCATTTCAATCAACCAAACTACACGATGTGTTTAGAGAAAAACGTAAATTATGCATTATGAATGCATATGAAAATTTCAAAATGGACACGGCTGAACCGTTTCAAATCTAATTCAAAATACTTTGAACTTTTTTACTTTTTGATTAAAATAAAAACCTTGTCAACCATTCTTCAGGAGACAAAATAGAGGAAGGGTTTTTCGTTGAATTCTTTTCTTTGTTATCATTTTTATTCTTCTCGTGTTCGCTGTTCTTTTCATTTAAAACTTCTTCTTCGGTGTTTTTAGCTTTATTTTCTTCTTTTTCATCTTTTCTGTCGTCTTCTTCTTTATGACTAGTTTCCGTTTTCTTTGTATCAATATACAAAACCCACTGATTTCCATCTTCTTTTTTCTTTGTTAATATCTCTATTCAGAGGACGATTTCGTTTGATCTGTGGACGTTTTTTGACAGGTTTCGAGTGAATTGTATGTGCCTGTGGTTTGCCAGTATTTTCTAGCATCTCCGGTTTCATAGTGTTTTGAGTTCCAATTCCAAATCCAGATTCTAAATAAGATTATAGAAAATAAAATTTTCTTTTTTTTAGAAAAGGAATTAAGTCTTTGCCACAAACTTAAACTTTCTAATCATTATACCTTAATTTAGTAAACCTTTAATATTTCAAACTTTTCATAATTTGAAATATCAAATTGCAAAGATATAGGAATTTAAAATTAGAGTAAGTGAAAAAAATAACTCTTTAATTGTATGCTAGAGAGTTTAGAGAAATCCCCTGAAAGAACGAGTAAAAGTGTAAATACTATGTATATTTTATAACAAATGTTGCAATATGCATTTTATTGTATGTGGTAAAAGAAATCTTTTATTTTTAGTTTAAATTGATGCATTTCTAAGAAAAATTTCTCCACAAAAAGTAATATCTACGGCTATGCAATGTACGAAACTTCCTCTAACATTCTTGAACGTTTAGAAAACGAAACTAAGTCTTTTCCACTAACTCTGATTTTCTAATCCCTAATCTTTGCAATGCATTGTCGCAGGTCTTAGATATTTGATGAATTCTGTTAGGTCATAATATTCAAAGTTTAAAATATCAAAGGTTTACATTATTGTGTCTTTATTATAAAGGTGCCTTGTAATATACGGTAATAGCTTCAGGAATCAGCTGAATGATTGTCGTCTCTGTTCTTTTGTTTACTAGAATTTTAACGGAGTCTACCCTCCTTTAAACCTTTGTCTGATCATTGACAACAGATAAATCCGTGTGTTTATCTCTAAAATTGTGTTTAAATTACCGGAAAACTGCTCAGCTGGCTTAAAAACTTTTTAAGATTCCCGAACATTCTTTGTTCAACACGATTTTAAAAAATTTCAATGAAAATTTAGTTCGAAATTTTCTGTGACTTCTAGAAATCAAATATTAATATTTCTTGCAAACAAAGTTATCAAAAATTACAAACGTTATTTTAGATAAATATGAATAAATCCTTGATCATTTAAAGGTTTAAAAGGTACTGTTGATAATTGTACACGCCAATTTACAAAATAAAGGTTACTTAAAATTACACCATCAGTCCCTTTGATAAATAAACTGACCTAGATTATTTCGAAGAATATTTTCTAAATCTTCATCTACAAATTTGGTTAAAGATTTCCCAACCTCCTCTTCTAGAACCTTTTCCATACTTTGCTCTAAACAGTTCATACTCATTTCTAACAGGGATACAATCAGAAAACTTTAAAATAGGAAGACGACTTTAGGAATCAAATTATAACTTTACGTCCAATGATAATGAGACACAGCATTGTGCAGTTTAAATTAGTGATTTAAGAAGTGATGGTAAAACGACTGTTAAACTCAAGTCATAATTCCAATAAGCATGAAACACAACAATTGTGCAGTGTACACGGATCAACTTGATGAGCTAATTTTCAAAATACCAGTTTAACAATTTTCAATATTACATTAAATAAATTTGCAATATTACATTAAATAAATAAAAGGTTCCCAAATGTCGTCTTCTTAAATCACAGTTTCATGAATCCAAGACTGTTTACTTTGAAGAGTCAGTCGTCCTTGTATCATGAAGATGCGAAATCGAAGAAGACTTTATTATTCCGCTTTTCATCAGATGACATTCGAATAATTTTCTTTTAAAAACTTGGTTTAGAATATTTATTTTATAGAACATAATAAATGCTACAATCCAAGGTTAGACTTGAATAAAGAATACCTAATGAATATTTAAATATTTTTTCTTCCATTTTTGTGTTGAGATGTCCATCAAATTCTATTTTAAATCCGTTTAATAAATTTAACCCTGTTTCTTTGTTTACAAGCTTTTTTCAATTTTAAGTTTACCAGTAAACAAAGGAAAGCTTTTTTTGACATCTTCTTTTTGTTTCCATATTTATGTGTGACTTGGAAGAAATTAAAAATTAAAAGTCTTCTTTTTGTATACGACGACGACCGTTGTTAAAAAATGCGGGAAGGATATTTGTTTTCAGGATTAAGTTTCCGTTTTCTTTGTATCAATATACAAAACCCACTGGTTTTCATCTTCTTTTTTCTTTGTTGTATTTTCTNTATTATAATACTAGCAAAAGTGCCCGGCGTTGCCCAGGAATTTGTTTAATAAAATCAGGTACCCATAGTTCAGCCCGAACTGACTATGGGCGAGATATATTCGGTTTCTTCTATTTGAATTCAATAACGTGTTGGTCTATAATTTAACAATCTTAAAACTTACATTCTATACATTTTTGTTTAAAACGCATATGCTGACAAAGAAATGAAAACGTAAAAACGAAAATTTTACGTTAAATAAACCAACTTGTGATCGAAAGTCACAGTTCTCTGGGATAAGGACCGAACCCTTAATTCTGCTTGGGGTTCCCTAAAACATGTCAGCCAATTTGGTCCAGCCGTTTGGCCAGCTATAGCTAACAAATAAGCTAACATATATACAAATATATATACAAATATACATGTATATATATATGAGCGAAGAGTTGTGGTCTATTAAATGATTTAATTTTTGTTAAATGGATTCCTGAAGACATAGTTGGAACCCAAACACCAGCAGAGTTCTTCACAAACTTGATCACAGTGGGCCTAAAACCATAAAAACATTAAAATCTATTGGCACAGACTACAGAGGGCCTAAAACATTGTAAATATAGATACAGATCACAGTGGGCCTAAAACATTATAAATCTAGATACAGATCACAGTGGGCCTAAAACATTATAAATCTAGATACAGATCACAGTGGGCCTAAAACATTATAAATCTAGATACAGATCACAGTGGGCCTAAAACATTATAAATCTAGATACAGATCACAGTGGGCCTAAAACATTATAAATCTATAGACACAGACCACAGTGGGCCTAGAAACTTTATTCATTTAGGCTCAGCTTGTGTGAAAATGAATTCTAAGCACAGCGGGCCCAAAAAATTATACTTTTAAGCACACATCTTTGTAAAATCAGGCAAAGCGAGCTTAAAAACACTGAACATCAAGGTAAGAGTGGGATTAAAAATTATATATATAAATGCGGAGTTGGTCCAAAACGTTATTGTATTTTTAAGGAAACACTTCCAGTCGATTCTTTCTAAAATTCTACAACTGTAAAAACGCTTCATTTTTTGTAGGGTTCATGAATTGGGCTAAAATATTACAAAATGTAATTATTAAAGTGCAAAAAAATTGTGTGAATGGAAAAAATACATTTAAAGTTGTAATCTCTGTTTGTCTTTCTGTCTGTTTGTTTGTCCGATCATAACTCAAGAACCCCTGGACCTATTTGTCTCAAATTTTTATTGGGCAAATCGGGAGAGCTTGGCTTTAAGATTCTAAGTTAAGTGGGTCGACTTTAATAGCGAAAATTTAGTTTCCCGGTAAAATCGTTAAATTGCAGGTAAACGGCGGGAGTAACTGTGATTTTGAACAGACTTTTTGTGATTACTCTTCCATTTTCTTTATATTTTAATAGATTTTAATGACATTTTGGAGTTATAAAGTACAAACATTTTCTAATCAATTTCAGAAGAGAATAATTTCGAGGTTTTTTCTTTGTACCGAAAAATATCTTTATAAAAATAATTTCAATTTTAATTTATTTCCACCTAAAACAGAAGCAACTATTTTTTAAGTGCTCTGTAAAACAGCGCTAAAACCATTTTGAAATAATCTGTAGGTTTAGCAATAAAAAAGGAAAACAATACATTTCTGTCTATTCTAGTAGAAAATCAACGGAAAGGGACTCTAAGCGTAATTTAAAGTGACCCTCAATGCCCGATTTACAACGTAACCCAAGCTTTGTCTGATCAAGTATCAAATAGATATCCATGTATTTACTTTCTTTAAACTGTTTAACTTCATTAGAGGTTTCTCCGCGTAAATGACTTGTAAGCAGCAATGGAGAAATTAAACACTTTGGAGTCATAAAAACGACAGTATTTTTCATTTTTTTCAGATTTAAGTTTAATGGGTTCCGGTGTTAATCTTTGCATGGAAGGTAATTTGAAATTATGCTTACAGTCCTTGTAAGATACACAGTTGTCTTACCTTAGTGTGGTAGTGAATGGGTTCCGTTTATATTTCTCTCCTCCGAAACTGTTTCCGGTTTGACGAGTGTACGGTGATTCACCTTTACCCGTCACAAAACTTAATAAAAATCATAAATTTATTAACAATAACAGATAACACTATATGTCGTCTTTTCAAGATTTAAGGTTTTTTCGTTCGCAATATAATCATGAGGCAGAAGCCGGCTCAAAGGAGTTCTTGAGTTACAAGACAGAGAGAAAGAGCATACGCGTAACTCCTTTGGGCCTCTGCCTCAGGATTATTGTGGACGAAAAAACCCTAAATCTTGAAAAGACGACATCTAGTGTTCTATCTGTTTTTGTTAATTAATCTATGATATAAATATATAATCAACACTACAAACTAGACATTATGCTACATTACTGGTACAACTTTGTGACCTCGTAGCTCCTCTAATTTTGATTTTAGGTATGTTTATGAGAAAAGCAAATTTACGAATTTACCTGTGCAATCGATCCAGTTTTCCTAGGGAGTAAGCTTGAACCAGGGATATGGATAGAGAACCCAGGAGAACCCACACCTTCACATTAAATAGTTTATTTTACTAAAAAGCCTCCAAACAAATTTTTGGATACAATAATATAGGAACTAAGAGAGGCTTTCGAGATGAATTTTTATCTAAAATAGTGATGACTGATGCAAACATAAAGAAAAGCTGTAATTAAAAAAACTGTTTCGTCTGAAATATACTGTTGTATTTGCTCATCATCTTGCAGTCGAAATATTATTTCAGACATTTAAAACAGTCTTTTCTTGCTAGAATAAATTTTTAAGACGGAATTATTTTGATATTGTATTTCAATGCCAATTCAAACGAAAGACGACCTATGAGCACCCTGTAGTCCCGTTTCGATCTTCTATATATATAATTGTGTGTTTGTCTGTAGGTCTGTTTATATCCAATAAACCTCAACACGGCTGAACCGATCGGGCCCAAATTTTCTGTGGGACCTTACATGACCCCAGGGAAGGTTTATGGATGATCAAAATTTAAAAAGTAATTGATTTCCATTAAATTCTAAAATTTCACGAAATTTTCTATGAAACCAGTGAACTTTTTTGTTTTGTTTTACAATGTATACAAAGAGAAAATGTTCACAGTTAAAATAGAAAGCCTATTTGTGTAGAACTCAATCAAAGAAATAAGATAAAATTTAAAAACACTCCCCAATAAATTTCATCTTTAGATAAAAATATTGCATTTTATAACGCGTATATCCTAGCCTGGTTTAAGTTTACCTTAGATCCAAACCTTATAGAGGGTAAATAAAGTAGGTGTTGGTTCCACATTTTTTGATAATTTATTTCAATCTGGGTTTGACTCTCTTTTGTTCTAACGATTTTCTAACCCTCAAAATTAATATTAAAGGGAGTCACCGGCTATGTAAGGTAATTGAACTGAGTATGCAGTGTTGTCGAAAACTTCTTTAGGATTCATTTGAGACATATTTCACTTTTTAAAGATCTGTAAACCCTGAGTTTGAGCGCAAATTCGACGTTCAAAGCTCCTGATTTGGGGGTGGATACGCTTTCAGAATTAGTTTTTTTTTAAATTATTAAATAACGACAACGAAAAATAAAGTAAAAATTAAACAGTAATCTAATTAGATGGCTAGAAACATATTTCACAAAAGAAATTTGTCAATAAATCCATGCTAAAATCGATTATTTCGTTTTAATTATTATATTGAATTTCTAATTTTCTTTGAATTTATTCGCAGTTTTCTTCAAATTCTTTAAATGTCGTCTTTTCAATAATGATTATAGAAAATCTGCGAACATCTTTGTGAATAACGAGAAACTAGAATAATGAGATAATAGAAACTAATAATTGAACAAGATTACTTATTTTCGATGATAAGATTAATTTTAATTTTCTCAAAATGTTCCTAAACATGACGTCTGTAGTTTATTGTAGAATATTTTTACATTTTATGTCGTCGTTAATTAATAATTTAAAAAAAAACTAATTTTGAAAGCGTCAAATCAGGAGTTTTGAACGTCGATTTTACGCTCAAACTCAGGATTTACAGACTTTTAACAACACTACGTCCTCAGTCCAACTACCTTACATAGACGGTCACTCCCTTTAAGCAAATAACAAAAACTGTCTTTAGATATAAATAGTTAAACTAAAGTAATTTTTTTTACTTAAAACAATAAAAAATATTAATAACAATGAGAAGTAAATGACGACATTTTTGTAATTTTTTTTTGGGAATACTTAATTCCACAATATCATTCAATAACACTCTGGACTAACCAGGGCGAGATCTTGGGAATACTTTTAGTTTCTTCTATTTGAATTTAATCGTGTTTTGGTTTATAATTCAACAATCTTTAAACGTACAGAGTTTTCTTACTATAATTGTTCATTTTAAAAAGAGAAAAAGCGAAAAATGAATGATTATATAGGTCAAATTGTGTCGAAAAATGAATGATTATATAGGTCAAATTGTGTCGAAAAATGAATGATTATGTAGGTCAAATTGTGTCGAAAAATGAATGATTATATAGGTCAAATTGTGTCGAAAAATGAATGATTATATAGGTCAAATTGTGTCGATTATATAGGTCAAATTGTGTCGAAAAATGAATGATTATACAGGTCAAATTGTGTGGAAAGTTACTAGAAAAATAAATGATTATATAGGTCAAATTGTGTCGAAAAATGAATGATTATATAGGTCAAATTGTGTCGAAAGTTACTAAAACAAGGCCCATGGCCGAATTTGATAATTTAAACCGCGTTGCTGAACCGCCAAAAACCGGTTCCAATTGAGCACCGGCTCAAATTTTTAAGCACTGAATCTCAAGTGGAACCAACCATCTGTTTGAGCCGAGTGTCAAGTTTGAGACGAGGCTTAAATTCTTTAAATTCAGCGTAAATGAAGATATTATTTATTACATACCATGAGAAGTATATATTGAGCCATGTTTACAGTCAACTGTAGAACCTGAGGACTAAAGCTCGTCAAACTCCATATTTATAGAACTTCTGAAACATAATTATGTCACGTCGAATTAAATAATTATGTCTCGCCAAATTAAAATACATTTTTTGTCAGATTACAATCTTTTATGTTTTCAATCTGAACTCCTCTCTTTAAAGAGCTAGTGAGATGGAAAAAATACCATACAGACATAAAACTCTAACTAGAGAAGCTACGAGGTCTCAAATTCGTAGTTTTAAAGAAAAATAAGAAAATTCGTGGGACTGGATTTTGAAAAGGAACAGGAACAGTGTAAGGAATAGTAACAGGAATAGAAAAAGGAACAACAGGAACAGGAACAAAAACAGGAGTATGAACATAAACAGTAACAGGATCAGGAACAGAAAAGAAACTGAAACAAAAACAGAAACAGGAACAGAAACAGGAACAGGAACAGAAACAGAAACAGAAACAGAAACAGGAACAGAAACAGGAACAGAAACAGGAACAGAAACAGGAACAGAAACAAGAACAGAAACAGGAACAGAAAAATGAACAGAAACAGGACCAGAAACAGGAACAGAAACAGGAACAGAAACAGGAAGAGAAACGAAACAAAAACAGGGACAGAAACAGGGCTACAAACCAGGAACAGAAACAGGAATAGAATCAGGAACAAAAACCAGGAACATAAACAGGAACAGAATTAAGGTTATATAAAAGACAAAAAAAAATGAAAAAGGGTTGGGATTTGTTTAAAAACGATCTAAAGAAAAAGAAAAACGCGATATATTACGTAACACAATAAGTTATAGAACAAGTTGACGTTGTATTATTTTAGAATAAAAACCATATTGTTCGCAAAATTTGCAAGAACGACCTTCTAGGCTTCTATCTGTGCATAAACATGTCTGGGTAATTATACCCTTCACCATATATATACGCAATATATATATATATATATATAACACCAGTAAACATATAATAAATATAAAAAAATAATACATATATACATAATATGATATACATTTATATATAAAAGTACAAAGCTTATTTGTTGAATTTTGGGATAAACTACGAAGCCTAATAAAACACACGGTCTAGAATAAGAAAAAAGAGAAACTTTATCCAAGTTTATGAAAAAACATCCTTTTATTGCCATTCGTTGCCATTTTGATAATTTGGAATGCATCATGCAGTAAATGTAAAAACGTACGATTTTCACTTTTTTGGTAGATTTCTTAGGAAACAGAAAACAAAACTATTTCAAAATAAGTTAAATATTATTTATTATTATGCAGATAATATAAATATCTATTGGACAAAAAATGTTTATTTAAAGAATAAAGGAAAATGCATCAACAGAAAGAAATAAAGAAAAGAAAAATTGAAGTGAACATGAAAGAAAAAAAATGCAGTTTAAAAATTAAAATTTAAGTTAAGTTTAAAATTTGAAGAAAGAAAGTAAAAATTATTAAATTATCAATTACAAGAAAAGGAAAGGAAAAACGTTAGAGAAAAAATTTTAAATTAAAAAGTTTTAAAACGGATCTTTTTAGACTGGAAAATATACAGGGTTACACAGAAAGGATGAGACTTTATTAAGGAACTGAAACTGAACAAACTCAACCATATTCAGGTTTCATTTGGTTTTTCCATTAACATAGCCTTTTAAAGGAAGGCTAAGTAAAATACAGGTCTATGTTTGCGGATAACAATGAAAGAAAGTCAAAGTAAAAATGCAGGTCTATGTTTGAAGATAACAATGAAAGGAAAGCTATGAAAAATTGCAGGCGTATGTTTGCAGATAACAATGAAAAGAAAGCTAAGTAAAAATGCAGGTCTATGTTTGAAGATAACAATGAAAGGAAAGCTATGAAAAATTGCAGGTGTATGTTTGCACATAACAATGAAAGGAAAGCTAAGTAAAAATGCAGGTCTATGTTTGAAGATAACAATGAAAGGAAAGCTAAGAAAAAATGCAGGCGTATGTTTAAGAAGATAACAATGACAGGAAAGCTAAGAAAAAATGCAGGTCTAAGTTTGCAGATAACAACGAATTTCTGTTAATTCGTAATCTAAGTATTCTCCTGTCTGGGTAACCTAAAATTGGGTTAACATTAGCTTTATGTATTTACTGTGCGTGCACTATATAACTTCTCAACCCACTAACCATACTATAGGCTTAACAATATAACGTCATGGTTTACAGTGCTTCATTTTCATAGGATTTACAGCGCTTCATTTTAATAGGGGTTACAGCGCTTCATTTTCATAGGGTGTACATTGCTTCATTTTCAGAGGGGTAACAGTGCTTCATTTTAATAAGGGTTACAGCGCTTCTTTTTCATATGGTTTACAGAGCCTCATTTTCTTCAGAGGGGTTACAGGGCTTCATTTTCTTCATAGGGGTTACAGAGCTTCATTTTCTTCGTAGAGGTTACAGGGCTTCATTTGCTTCATAGGGGTTACAGGGCTTCATTTGCTTTATAGGGGTTACAGGGCTTCATTTTCATAGGATTTACAGTGCTTTATTTTCATATGGCTTACAGTCTTTCATTTACATATGGTTTACAGTGCTTCATTTTCTTCATAGCCAACCCGGCTTCATTTTCTTCATAGGGGTTACAGGGCTTCATTTTCTTCATAGGGGTTACAGGGCTTTATTTTCTTCGTAGAGGTTACAGAGCTTCATTTTCATATGGTTTACAGTGCTTCATTTTCATAGGATTTATGAAATATGAAGAAACTAAAAGCACTTAAAATGTTAATGAAACAAAAAGAAGCCCTGTATATGTTAATGGTACATACAGGAAACCCTGAATATTTATTTAGTATATAAAAAAAGCCCCGTAGTATACTTCTGTATATGTGTATTGTGTTAAAGGAAACACTGTATTTATTCATTTTGCTTAAAAGAATCCCTGTACATATATGTATTGTGTATTATGTCTATGATGTGTATAAAAGAACCCCTGATGTATGTCTGTATTTGGGTATGGTATGAGAAAGGAAACCCTGTATTTGTGTATGATCTAAAAAGGGAACCCTCTATTTGTGTATGGTATGTGAAGGAGCCCATGTGTTTGTGTATGGTATGTGAAGGAACCCCTCTACTTGTGTATGGTATGTGAAGGAGCCCATGTGTTTGTGAATGGTATGTGAAGGAACCCCTGTGTTTGTGTTTGATGTAAAAAAGAAATCCCTGTATTCGAATATGATGCAAAAAGGGAACCCTGTATTTGTGTAATGTATGTGAAGGAACCCATGTATTTTTGGAAAGGAAGCCATGTATGTGCATGGTATGTGAAACCCTGTAAATGTGTATATAAAGGAACCCCTGAAAATGTTTATATAAAGGGAACCCTGCATATGTGTCATGGTATGTGAAGGAACCCTGTAAATGTTTATATAAAGGGAACCCTGTAAATGTGTCATGGTATGTGAAGGAACCCCTGTAAATGTGTTTATAAAGGTAACCCTGTTTGTGTGTCATGGTATGTGAAGGAACCCTGTGAATGTTTATATAAAGGGAACCTTGTAAATGTTTATATAAAGGGAACCCTGTAAATGTGTCATGGTATGTGAAGGAACCCCTGTAAATGTGAAAGATGTGAAAAGGGAACCCTGTATTTGTGTATGGTATGTGAAGGAAACCCTGTAAATGTGTATATAAAGGAACCCCTGTAAACATGTATATAAAGGAACCCCTGTAAATGTGTATATAAAGGAACCCCTGTAAATGTGTATATAAGGGGAACCCTGTATATGTCGACCGTGAAAGTAACGCCATCTCATGATAATTTGTATTATTTGTTGATTTAATAAACTTACTTTGTTATATATGTCACGGTTGAAGACAACTAAACTTCAGATCATTCTAGATATCTGATGTCATTGGTTCCATTAACCTCCTATAGTCTATATACTAGCTTGGGAACCCAGCTTTTCCTCAAATATAAGTCGACTAGTCAAAGTTTGAGGCAAATTATCTAAAGGGTTCCTGAGTTGTGATCATACATCGAAACAAACAAACAAAAAGACATACAAATAGAGGTTACTTCTTTATTTATATAGATATTATTGGTTTCAATTACCTGCTATATTTTAGCATTGGAAGAGAATTTAAAAATGATATCCTATTTTATCAATAACGGAAATAATTTTTTACGTTTACTATAAATTATAAATGAGCTGATTGATCACACGGCCTGACTTCTGCATGTCCTGTCCGTATCTTCTGCATTAAATATACTGCTTTTTTATATTTACAATTTATGATTAATACATATGTATTTTTACAATAAAAAAGATTTCCACCATAACATACAGGGTGTCCCACATCATATTAGATCGTTTATAGCTCAAAATTGTGATTTTAGGGACTAATCAGAAAATTTAAAAATTATGAATATTTTAAAAAATGTATGAAGTTTCTATATAAGTTTTCTAGCAGAAAATACTAGGTTTTTCGAGTATTGTGTCCGTATTTTTTCGTTACAGCTTGGAAATAATCTATTATGATATGGGACGCTCTGTAGGACTTTTTTTACAAATCAAGTATATATTCGTCTCTACTGTTACTTCAATCTGATGAATAAGAAGTATATATATCCGTCTCTACTGTTACTTCAATCTGATGAATGAGAAGTATATATGTTACTTCAATCTGATGAATGAAAAGTATATATATCCGTCTCTACTGTAACTTCAATCTGATGAATGAAAAGTATATATAATGATCTGGCAAGTTTAGCCAGAGATTTGAGTTCTATGATTCAGAGATTTCTTTGATTTCAAATGTCCTTCATTAGTTTTTTTTCCCTTTGATATTCATGTGGAGAAGGTTAAACATATGTCACATGCAGGAAGTCCCAATAAACATGCGAATTAAAGGGACTGTCAACGTATTTCATAGTGACCCTTCATGTAAGGAACTAAACAACCGATTTTCAATAATAACTTTTTTTCTTTTTATATTTGAGTTAATATGATGAAAATATATTCGGTTTGATATACTAATAAAGATATAAATGTGTCCTTTTGTCCGCAATTCACTCCAATCGAAGAACCAGGTTTACAAATTAATTTTTTAGATGAATATCTTAAAAATGTGTGCCATGAAAAAAGGTTAAAGTTTACCGACGTGAGAGAATCATCGGTTTACTTCCACATTCCCTTCGAATACAATGTTTAATCTAATTTGGGTTTTAATTAGAAATAGATGAAAATTTTCCTGTTGCCATCATATGCTTTCAAAATTTCCAGAGATGTTAAATTTTTATTTTGAGTTCATTTATTTAATAAAACCAAAATTGTCTAAATCTGATGAAATTATTCATAATAATATCTCCGATAATGATAAAAGTACAAAAAAGGCAGACCACATTTTGGAAATTGCAGGACTGCATTTTGTGATTATTTTTTCATGAACAATATTTCTAAATTAAGGTTTCGAAATGAGTGCCGCAAACTTTTTAAAAGGTCAAAGACGACTTTCAAGTCTTCGATAAATGGTTAAGATACTCCTGTGTATCAAATATTGACACTAGATTTAATAAAAGGTTAGATTATTGCATCAATTCCATTTTTTGTGACAGCAGGGGTTGAGAGAGGATTAAAATTAATGATTAAACATGATTTTATTTCACACAATGTACTCATGTTGATGTTTAATTTTTGCAATTCAGCTGACATCATGGACAGGAAGGACAGGAAGAACAGGAAGGACAGGAAGGGCAGGAAGGACAGGAAGGACAGGAAGGACAGGAAGGACAATAGGACATGAAGGACAGGAAGGACAGGAAGGACAGTAGGACATGAAGGACATGATGGACAGGAAGGACATGAAGGACAGGAAGGACAGGAAGGACAGTAGGACATGAAGGACATGAAGGACAGGAAGGACATGAAGGACAGGAAAAACAGGAAGGACAGGAAGGACTGGAGGACAGCAAGGACAGCAAGGACAGAAAGGACAGCAAGGAAAGAAAGGAAAGCAAGGACAGCAAGGACAGCAAGGACAGCAAGGACAACAAGGACCGCAAGGACAGCAAGGACAGCAAGAATAGCAAGGACAGCAAGGACAGCAAGGACAACAAGGACAGCAAGGACATAGGTTTTAAAGTTAAGACTCTCTGGACTGCATGCAAAGATGGCAATGCCCGATTCACAATGGCACTAAAAGGTTTTACGTAAATTAATCAAACTAAAATGCTTTGAAATGGGATTAATAAACATCTCAGGCTCGTTTCAAGCACTAAAAGTAAGAAACCCTTGTTTAAAAACTCAAAACGATGTTTTTAATTACTGAACGAATCCTTGATCAATCAAAGGTTTAAAGGATAACGTTGTGCATCAAAAATGCCAATCACAGTCCCTTTAAAAGAAATAATATTTGTGCTATAAATGATTAATTACTGATGTGGCTAAGCACATCTTCAAGATATGATCCTCCCCCTTCACAAGGGCGCATTAAGTACACTTACTTTCCTTCCATAGTGTATACACATTTAGCTTACAGTTATTCCTTGATTTTACAAAAGAAAAATATATGGTCTACCTTATTTGTGCTGCTTTGTACTTATTATTATTATGCTTATTGAAATTAATCTTTGTTTAAGTTTTCAGGGATTATTGCTGAGGACATTCAAGAATAGGCTTGATCTGTCTCTGGTAAAAGATATATCTTAAGATACATAGATAAAAAATTCATATGACGTCACACTGATTAAAGAGGCGATAGTGACGTCATATCTATCTTAGGAGACGGCATTTTCCGTACATTGGAGCGCATCGAGAGTAACCTTTTTTATTATTCAACCTTGCCGTAAGCTAATCATAATCAGCATTTATTATTATTTTATTGAGAATAACAAACCTTATCAATAACCTTGGGTAGGAGACAGTATTCCAGACATGAAATTTGAATTTGTTTATCTTCTAGGAGTTTGACATGGTGTCCATAATGCGTTCTTCCGACCTATTTTGTTATTTCGAGCTATTTCGTAAAATTTCGTGAACCAATTTTAGGAAAGGGTTTCTTGCACACAATTTTAAGACAATTTGGTCCAGCCGAAGGTAATAGTTTACAAACAAGAAGACGATATGATATAAAATACATATCTATAGATTAATACAAAGATGTCATCAAGAAGACTAGGACGCACCTTTTTAGTGTTTTCTCATGATAAATTTTATTAATGAAAGTAGCCAAAATTTTAACAGTGTCTAATCTACGAATATGATAAAATTTGAATATTGTTCATGAATAAAATACTGCAGGTATGAAAGGAAGGGGGATGAGGGTGGGGAAGGTGGTGTTTAGAGAATTTATAGTCTTATTCTTTAAGGTAAAGGTTCCACAGAGGTTGTGAAGAAAGAAGATCTCCGACCATCTGTTCTAAGGAAGGAAGGATAAGTTTGCTCCGTGTCCCTCGAAGGACAGGATGACGTGACGGATGCTCCGGGTATAGAACAGTACTGCTGAGGAAACCATGTTGATAGCACGCACAGTAGGATCATTATTAATTAGCCATTGCTATTATTATACAGGGTGTCAGGGGGAATAGGTATTTAAGGTTCTGTACTCGGTAAACAGTCTGAGTGTATAATATAAAGTGTATTTTAAATTTTGTCTGAAATAAAGGAGTGTTCCAGAAATTTGAGCTCACAAGGGGACTGACTTTAACAAAATTGAGTTGTATCGCTGAACTTCATATCAACGGTTCAAATCTTGAATTCAGAGTTAAATATTGATGAGGATTCTAATCAGTGATTCAGAAATTGAACCGGCAGTAAGTAGTTTAGCGACCCCAGTAACCATTAACACTTTGTTCTAATCATAGATAATATATTAATATTAATGACCAGAAAACTGCGGAATATGTGGACGACTTTAAAGGAATATTTAAGTGTATTTGATGTTGTTACAAAGCAAATAGTTTTACTAAACACTTATTACATGACTAATTGAGTCAAATGGGCCTGTGTATACTGCACAATTGCTGTGTTCTATGCTCATTAAACTAACTAAAGGCATAATTTGAGTCTAAAAGTCGTCTTCCTATATCTAATAAGCTGTAGGATATTAGATATTCTTATACTTTCCGAAACCCATTTCCTTATTCCCTAAAGGGACTGTAAACGTAATTCTATATGGTCTTCATATGTTCTAAATATCAATTTAGGACGGGAATTATTGGGGGGTCGTCTTCTGTGGCTAGAATATAAAATCTGGCCGAGCGCTGTGGCTAAGTTAGAATATGGGGCCGAACGCTGTGGCTAGGTTAATATATCTGGCAGACGTTCGGAACCGGGAACAGTGATGTAAAAAAGTTCCGCGCCGGCCTAATTTTCTTGATTCATGGAGAAAACTATAGAGAAACCAAATTATGTTACTTTTTTGTTAAAATTCAATATTTAAAAACTATTTTTAATTGTATTAATTGTTGCAAAGTTTAATATAAACTTATATTATCTGTATATTATATAGGTAGTGTTCCTGTCCGGGTTGCTGATTGTACACTCACAAGGGTTTATTCCCAGGTAAATAGTACAGAGTTGGACACTGGACACTGGACACTGGACACTGGACACTGGACAGCTTATTATGAAATATTAAGAAACTGTTCATGTTGTTTCAAGTGACATTTAATTCAGAGAGTTGAATTATTGATTAAACCCATTTATTTGAGTATCAATGAGAAAGATCTTGTCGCGGTGTTGAATTCTTGGAATTTTCTTCCTTGACGCTTCTGAAAAATACGCGAGCCAGAAAACTAAATTATCGATTTTCAGCTAGAAACCCTGGGTAATCTTCTGATACTAAGTGGGAATTATAGTTCTACAATTGGGGGACACTTCGACACTTTGACTTTAATGAATAAAAAAAAATTCTCGAAAAAAAGCTGCTGAATTTTCCAAAATGTCGCCGAACCAAGGATATATAAAGCTTATTTTTTCCTCAATGCATTTAAATCTTCCATACAATTTTAATACCTAAGTCTAAAGGTAAGCGTTGTAAATCCAAATACAAGGAGTTTCTTTTATGTGAATGATGTGTAAATTAAAGCAAATTAAAAAATTCACTTAATTCCCATTTATTTGCAAAAAGTTGCAAAACATGTATTCTGTGTTCTTTTTTAGCAATACAGAATGATACTGTAATTTACTATAAGTCTGATACAATTTTTCACATAAGAATCTTCACACGTTTGATAATACACATCTGATAGAAATGATCACAATGTTAGGGTTTCTTCTAAAAGTGTAGAGACGAGATAAAAAAAAACATTTTATGATTTGCCGTTCTTAACTTCTCTTGAATTTTTTGTCTTATCTTACTAAATTCTCACAAATATTTTCGGGCTTTACGCTTCCAATAATAAAACGCGTCTCACTGAATTTTACGGACTATGTTGCACCAATCATGTTCAATTTGACGAAACTAAGGATATGTACAGCTGGTGTCCCACGAAACTAAGGATATGTACAGCTGGTGTCCCACGAAGCTAAGGATATGTACAGCTGGTGTCCCACGAAATATGACAGTTACAAGGTTGTCTTCGAAATTTATTTTTTTCGGAATATATTCGTAAACTTAATTGTATAAATATTATTCTAGAGTTAACAATTCACAATTTCACCAATCACGCACCCCTGACCCTTTAGTAAAAGTAAATTCAACCTAAAGTCTGACCGCATCAACCTTGTTGCACCGGCTAGTCCTATTGAGTGTCTGCTTTATTTACCCAATGTCCGGGCGATACAGTACAAACTGGGACCTGAGAGGTTGACCCGGCTCGGAAATTCAAATGTACTACGGCTGAATCAAGTATAAAACTATTTAATGGTGAGTTTCCTTAAAATTACGCTTACAATCCCTTTTAGTGGATAGTTAGGTAGGTTACTCTACACCGTAAGCCAAGGTTGTATAGTAAGGTAGGTTACTCTACACCGTAAGCCAAGGTTGTATAGTAAGGTAGGTTACTCTACACCGTAAGCTAAGGTTGTATAGTAAGGTAGGTTACTCTACACCGTAAGCCACAGTTGTATAGTAAGGTTGAATACTCTCAATTGGCTCCAATGTACGGAAAAATGTCTTCTTCCAAGATATTTAGGTTAAAAACTCATATGACGTCACTCTCGCCTCTATAATCAGTGACGTCATTTGAGGTTTTTATCTATCTATCTTAACATTTTCTGTAGCGCATTGAATGTAAACAACCTTATTATACAACCTTGCCATAAGCTAATAACAATCAGCAATCAACATTATTTTATGAACTTATTTTAATTTTAATTTTTAGGATTGGAACTGCTTGGAGATTAATGCAGAACAATGCTTTAAAGGAAATAAATCATGAAAATAATTTAAATTCATTTTAATTTTTTAAAATATTTATTTAAAGGGGGAGAGAAGGGCTCAAAACAAGTATAAAGAAATTGAGTATTTGCCACAAACTCTTATTTTCCGATCCCTTTATCTTTTCAACCCAATGTCGTGTTTTGACCTTAGATATTTTTTAAACAGAGAATTCTGATGGATCAAATATTCGAATTTTGAACTGCAGATTGCAAAGTTTACGGGGATTAGAAAATTGGAGATGGTGGCAAAGACATCCTTTAAGTTTAATTATATTATTACATGATTAATATAATTTAGAGATTAAATCGACAGACCCCTTTAAATCATCCACTGAGAAGGTTTATTTTATTTTAAGATGATATTTTTATCAATTCTTCGATCTGAGAGTAAAACCTTTTAAATCATAATACTATTGAATTGATGTATACTTTTTTCTGGGGGGGGCGGGGCATCACGCGTCCCCCCCCCCTCTCACCATAATAAAAAAGGTATTTGAGTAAAGTATGAATAAAAATAAAACGGTTTTATATTATCCGGAATTATATCATTTACCCCTTAATCGCTATTATCCCCTTTTTAAATGCGGATTTAAAATTACTTTCTTCGATATCTAAATAATATTAAAAATATTTTTCTAATGAATTAAAACTGCTTACATCCTCACTGACGTCGATCCTTGCTTTTTTAATTAGACCTTTTAGGCCCCGTTTTCTGACGTACTTACATCATGCTTTCTGACCCCATTTGAACATCTTGTTTCCTAGTTTTTGACCAAATATATCTCAAATGTTCAGGAATCCCGATGTTGGATTAAGATATATCAGGCAACCTGCACAATTCAATCAGAATACAGGAAACAGGTAAAACAATATTAGCTTTAGTTTTTTTTACTTTTTCAGGCGAAAAAAGTTCTAAATCGTTCTTGTGTTCCAAACCTGCAGACACACAGGGTCAAGTTTTGGCCAACTTTCTTGAGATATTGAGTCTTTGCCACAAGCTCTGATTTTCTGATCCCTATAGATATTTCAAACTGTGAATTCTGTAAGATCAAATAATATAAGATTGAAATATTTAAGGTTGGAAAGATATAGGAGTGTTAAAATCTGAGTTTGTGCCAAAGACTCAATTTCTTTCCTTTTTTCAGTTTTGGTGGAGACAATTATGCCGCAAGACCGTTTATAAATAATCTTCGACAAAATATGAGACATAAAGAACCCTACATGGCCTCGCTAAAATCAAGGGTTTTTGGAAACTCGGAGAAATACGAAACTGTTCCCGGAGATTCCTCTTACTCCGACCCTACTCAGAACACAGAGGATTCGTCTTACTCCGACCATACTCAGAACACAGAGGATTGGTCTTACTCCAACCCTGCTCAGAACACAGAGGATTCGTCTTACTCCAACCCTGCCCAAAACACAGAAGATTCGTCTTACTCCAATCCTTCTCAGAGTACAGACGATTTTGACAAAAAACCAAAACAATATGTAGAAAAAATCAAAAAACAAATTGATCTAAATGAACTAAACAACATATTATCAGACAACGAGGTACGAGAAATTTAATTTTCTTTCGTTTTTTTTCTTTCATGGTTTTTTTTCAGGGGTATTTTGAGAAAATTAATATTGTTGAGTTCCAAACCACCCGACAAGAGTCAAGTTCACTGCGACCAATAGCACAGGTAAAAATGGGCATTCTTTTGGTTTGAATTTAAAATTTTTATTACTGCATTTGTGCAAACTTTTGGTTCTGTCGTGTGATAAAAGGCAAAAACTAAAACAAAAATTGATTTGGTTTTTTAATTTTAGATGCATCGCTTTGGTTACTTTTTTCAGATTAAAATTAGCATAGGATACTTTCTATTGTGGAGCATCTTAAAAGTCAAACAATTTTAGTTGTTTAAGACGAACGAAAAACAATTCCCCTCCCTAAACTCAGATCTCCTTTAATCTTAAAAAATAATGATTTATACTTGTCAAGGACTAATGTTCATAACAAATCAAGAAATAAATGATTCGTTAAAAATAATACAGAACTGTGATGATTGGTCACATTTATAGAATGATTCTGTCTAAAGAGAACTGGTGGTTTCTATCTGTCAATCCATTTTCTTGTCTCATAGGGTTTGTTTGTCAGTTTAATATTGTTTGATTTTATTAGCAGGATTTGGTTTGGCTTAACTTGGTTTTTTTTGGCTAGGTTTAGTTCAATTTGGATGGGTTTAGTTTAATTTGGCTGGGTTTAGTTTAATTTGGATGGGTTTAGTTTAATTTGGATGGGTTTAGTTTAATTTGGCTGGGTTTAGTTTAATTTGGCTGGCCGGGTTTAGTTTAATTTGGCTAGGTTTAGTTTAATGGGCTAAGTTTGGTAAAATTAAATGGAAGATTAACACAACTGTTTTTGTTTAAATATACTTTTCCAATGTTTATATAACTTTTATCTTTAGTTTGAATAAAACTCTATACATTAATATATATATATATTAGTATATCATCCTTCTTGGGTAACCCTGTATTTATATATATATACTATAGTATATCACCTATATATATATAATTCAAGATTTGGCTAGAACTGATTAATAAATCAATCTCCAAATCAATTTTAAAAATGTATTCTGATAAAATGTTTAAAATTGTTTTATTAGACCGGTGGTTGGACGCCGATCCTTACTCAATCTTCTTCCACTCAACAAGTGATCCCAGCAACCCAAAGTCCCGAGGAGTGGGGACACAAAGACGACATTTACAACTATCCTAGCCTAGCAGAAGAATCAGATATATCAAAGGATGTTATAGAGCACAACTACAAATTGATCGATCAAAAATCCAAAGATGAAGAAAATGCAAAAGCTGTTAATCACAAAGCAGCTTCAGATAGGTTAGCTGCCGCTGCTGAAGTTGCCAAAGGAAGCATCTCAAATTATCCAACTCTATTTGGAGATGTGACTCCGACAAAGATTAAAAACTCTATTTCCGAACTAAGCAGAACGCAGGGAACAGACAGTAAGATTATTTTTAAAATTAATCATTATTGTTCAGTATAATTTCATAAACAGAAATATTATTAACGTGGGAAAATTTACAAAACAGTTCATGGCTGAGACATTGAAAATTAATAAGTACATATACAAGAGTATCTGTTTATCATATTTTCTCAAGATATCAACAAAACGGACTTTTTACTTTGCTTTTGGAAATCATATCTTAATTCAGAGCAAACATTTTGTGAAATGTGATAAAAGCAAACTACCATAGAGAATACCAACGTTATAATGCAAGGAAAGTTATTTCAGAGGTGTACGCATCTTTCGTACTGCAGTGCACTGTCTCTGGGCGGTAATGTAAACGCAAGAAAAAACTTAATGTTCCTCTGGTCATATTTAACTATTATGTGAATTATCAAAATTATCAAAATTAAATGCTTTTATCCTCCTCGGATACAAATCAAACACTGATGCATCTGTTCTTTTTTACAAACTCCGCTCAGAGAGAACTGGTTTCAATATGCACGCAGAGTATACGCAACTGCAATTAACTTTCCTTGCATTATAACCTTGTAAAATACAATTTCAAATTATCATTAAACATTTCAGATTATCTTGGACCCTTCTAAATTGGCCATAGACGTAAATAAAAGTGACTCTCCAGTTCAGGAGTGGCATTTAAGCCTCTCCACCTCCTTTGAAAAAAAAATTTTAAAATATATTTTGCTAGAAAAAAGGATATTTCAGACAATGGTGTAAATTATACAAGTTTAAATCCAACCATGCCATTCTATAAATGAGAGTTATAGAAAAAACCTTAAATGTTATAAAACTGTCCCAAAGAAACACAATTCCCATCTTTGCATTTGACAGGTGTTGGAGATTTGAGTAAGTTCAGTCTCTTCCAGAATTCTATTTATGGAAAAGACAAATTCATCGTCACAGAATCTGAGAACCTTTCTGCTACTGATTTAAATTTAGGTATCAAATGTGTTAATTTGTGTTGGACAGTGTAAAAGAGCGCATAAAGGAATTGAGTCTTTGCCGCAAACTCAAAATTTCTAATTTCTATATCTTTACAACCTTTGATATTTCAAGCTTAGATTATTTGATCTAACAGAATTCATAGTTTCAAATATCTAAGGTCTAAGACTTTGGGTTGCAAAGATAAAGGGATTAAAAATCAGAGTTTGTGGTAAAAACTCAATTCCTTTGCGCCAGAAATCTTTCCAAAGATACAGAGTGGAACCCATGAAACTTTATTGTGAAATGGGTCTAGCAGTTGTACTCTGCACAATTACTGTATTTAAAATCATAACTTGAGTTTAACTGTCGTCTTCATAGCCTGCACAGAGGCGGATACGGCGAAAATCTCTTTTCAACGGTCAACTTTTAATAAAGTATAGAAATATAACCAACCAGAGAGCAAAATTGATCTCAAGGGTTGGGCCGGTACCAATTTTTAAAAGCAGTCCAATCCAATAAAATTCTTATTTCAAGAATCTGAGAATGTTCGAGGAAGAGGAGAAAACAAGTTTACATGGAAACTATTGACTGAGGATCCTAAATATTCAGATCAAGAAAGGATGAAGGATCTAGGTAATCAAGATCAAGGAAGGGTGGAGAATCAAGGAGTATCCGGAAATATAGAGGGTAAAGGTGGAGCCGGAGTTTATTATATAGATGAAGGAAAAGAAAAAGGGAGTGGAGAAGGAATTGATCAGGGGGTTACAGGAGCAAGATATGAAGACCCAGTAAGTCTTGAGGATGAGGATCAGGGACAAACTTATTATCTGGACGAAGGAGAAGTAAAACAGGGAGAAGATGGACCTGGAGTAAACACTTATCAAGGACAGGGAACACCAGTGGAAGGAGGGGCAGAACAAGGAGCATCATACTTTATAAAGACAGAGGTAGAAGAGATACAAGCAGGAGGAAATGCTGACAAAGAAACATATTATGCAGTGAACAATGGAGCACCCGCTGATAATTCTTACTATCTAAATGCTGCTGGGGTAACTGAAACGGAATCAGAACCAACTGTTTTTAAAGATGCCTACAGTTCAAGCGTAGGTATTTCTTCTGGGGTGGTTTTAGATGAAGTATCTGAACTAGAGTCAAGTCACAGTGGAGAATGGGCTGGGATAGTAAAATCAAGTTTGGAAAACGAAGGAGATACAGTTTATGAAACAGATGAAGTGACTGGAGGAGAAAATGGAGTAGAAGAAGATGCTTTAGATGGAGAATACGGACTGGAGGTTAACAGCAATCATATGGCTCTTTTCTCAGGTCATATTTTACTTTAGAATATGAAATGTAAAAGATTATTGATTTGATCAATTCTTATATTTTAGTGAATAATGAGATTTCCAGTAAACCTGAAGTTCAATCATTTCAAATTAATAGCAAGGAAATCATTGATATTAAAGAAATTTTCTATGCTTTCAATAACCTAAAAATAGTTACTTTTTAAATTCTTTAGAAAAAAATCTTTCTAAACATATCAATGATTCTGAAATGAAGCCACTGGACTCTGGAATGACTCCAAAACCCTTACAAGGAATCCTTTACACTAACCTTGAGCAGATTCAAGAACCACTTTATTCCGGAATCAAGCCTCAGGGGTTACAAAACTCTGCTGTAGAGTCCACTGGAGCCCAAAGCCCTGAAATTGATTCCTATGGGATCAGCAACTTTGATTTGGCACCTCAGGTCGAGATGAGTTCTAAACTTGAGTCTCTGGGTGGCCAAATTGAGACGACAGGGGACCTAAACACAGAATTTGACAACTACGGTATCAGTAACTCTGGGGTTGAGCCTAACAAGGATCCAAACTCTGGATTTGAGTCATATGGAATAGAAAACTCTGGTTTCGAAATCCAAAAGATCATAAACTCAGAGGGGTCACAAGCACAACACTCTGAATTCAACAGTGAAATGTCTTTTGGAGCAATTGATGTTATGAATGACTCTGAGGATGAAGATTACCCAAAAGCTTTGACAAATATGATTTATAAAACAATTGGTGGACATAACACTGTGAACCCTTCAACCTACAGTTTCCTGTCTTCATCGTCAAGCCTCCCCAGTACATCTAGTCTATCTACAGGTTCTTACACTCCCTCCAAAACCAGTTCTTATAGTCTTTCCACTTCCTCCGGTTCAACAAGTAGCTTCTCCAGCTCATACAATCCATCCAGTTCCTCCATCCTTTCTAGTTCATCTAACTCAGGTCATTTAGCATTAATTCTTTTTATTACGTATTGAAATTGTTCAATTAAAGTAAACTTTTAAGCGGAAAATTGTCTAATAAAAAATTATTTAGGGTTTAATCATGAAAAAAACATCAATTCCTTCAGCGCACTCAACGATAAAACCTTTCCCAAGGAAGTTTCAAGGTACATTTTATTTCATTAGTTGTTAATGATTTGGTTTACATGAATGATATAAATATGCCTCTTTAGAATCTCCGGAGCTGTGCAGAAATATTTATCTCAACCCCCTAGCTGGCTTGATACAGAAAACTGGTAAATTTATCAGCTAATGATGAAACAGCTACCATAGAAAAGCTGACACATAACACAGCTGATATGAAACGCAGCTGACTATGGATCAGCTAACTATAGAACAGCTGACTAACAGCTGATTATAAATCAACTGACTATATAGAAAAGCTGATTATGGAACATCTGGCTATGCAACAGTTGAACCTAGGACAGCTGACTAATATACTTTAAAACTGTTGACTGATGCATCTGACATTATGAATCAGCTGTTTCAAAATTAGTTGCATGTAATGATCGCGTGCCAATTTTATGTAGTTATTTAAAGGTGCCCCAATAAACATTGGCATAAAGACTTTTAAATTTTCTTCAATATTTAATTTGTAAATCTGATTAACTTAGTAATTAATACACTCAAAATATATAACAGCAATTCTGGATTTAAAAATGTCCTCTCTTTCAATACCTAAAGACATAATTTTATAGCAGTAAAAATTCAATAAATGTTAGTAGCCCACAATATTATTTTTGTATAGCAACCTAAAACTTTCAGATATTCATTGACTAATATTTTTTTAAAAAAAGATTAGGAGAGTCGTACAATCTGTTTATGCAAACTTTTTACTTTACCACAAAGTCATTTTCAAAACTATATGTAAAAGACGATTTTAATGTTATCACTTTATCCCCATGTTTAATCCGACACCATGAAGGAAATTGTTAATTCTAAATTTATCTATTTCTAAATGATATACAGTAAGACCCAGAAAACTGTGGAATAGGAAGACGATATTTTGATAATAATATGCGCTTTTTATCTTGTAATAAACATTTGGTCTTAACCGTAGTTTGAAAATCAACTTATTGAGTTAGAAAAGATCTTTGTACATCGCACTATTAATCGTTCATCCCAGAAATGTTGTGTTGCCTGTTCATCGGACTACCTAAAACCATAACTTGAGTCCAAAAGTCGTCTTCCTGTTCCGCAGTTTTCTTGTTCTCACTATATATATTCCTAAATCTTGTGACATTTATAGAAAACATTTTATTTATTATTGTTAAATATTTAAAGCTGTTAAATTCGAAATCCTTGTATTTGTTTAAATATAAATTTTAAATATAATTTTAAAATTTACTTATTTATTACTAAAATTATCACATTGTTAATGCTCATTAAGTATATGATTTGTACAATAGCCGATGTGGTTTAAAATTAGATTTGTTTTCAAAAAAGGGTTTATGTCACTTTTTTAAAGGTGATGTTAACAACTTCAAGTGAACCTTTATACTGTCCGATTTTGTGAATCAAGAGCCGGCGATTAAAAAAAATTGAATAAAAACAATTAATAAATAAATAAAATTAAATACGACTCAGGTCTAAGCTGTTGTTGGGCCTTACAGCTTAGGCTTTAGGATTCAAGCTGCATCTTATTTTCTACGGAGTTGAGTTCGAAAAACCGGTTTAATATTCTATTTGGCGGATTTTCATGGAAGGAATTGACGCATTCTGGGGTTTTATGAGAACAAGACTCAACATTGGTCTGTTTTATTTTCATTGCGCCTAACTAAAATAATAAATTTATATAAGCGTGAATAGAGTGAACCATTGTGAATTGGACATTGGAGGGTCCCTTAAAACATTTTACTTAACTCAGAAAGTACTTTGAAGCTTTGTAAGGTTTAGTTTTATTACAGACTAGCTTGGGAACCCAGCGTTGCAAAAGGTTGAGGGTACTCATAGTTACTCCCGCAGTTTACCCGCACTTGTACGATTTTATCGGGAAACCAAACTTTCATTAAAGTCGATTCACTCAACTCATAATTTAAAACCGAGCTAAGAACATTTCCGTGGGCCTCCCGACAATCAAAATTTGAGGCAAATCAGTCTAGGGTTTCCTGAGTTATAATCGGACATACAAACAGAGATTGCAACTTTATATTTATAGATACTAATACAGGAATTTATTAGAATTAGAGGAGGAACAAAACTAACTAGCTCCACCCCCTGGAATTAATACCAGGATAGAAAAGTTTTAGCCTTCTAAAGAGAATACTTCATCACACAAGATGTACTATGACGGAGGGCAGACTTAACGGTCTTGCACTTGTAGCCCCATACACCCTATAAGGCTGTCTGAGCTCTCTACTGAAAAAATTATTGAAATGTTTGTGTAAGCAAATCCCAGAAAATTGTAGCATAAGAGTTGGTGAATATATAGATTGAGTAAATTCTATCTAAAAATTTCATAAACAAAGTAGGTTTATGAGTAATTTCTATAATGAGTCAGTGATTGAATAATCATTAGACTTTGTGATATTTCAATATGCAATACTAAGTCAAATTTAACATCCCTCCCATCCAATCCCTCCCATTCCATCCCTTCCTTCCCATCACTCCCTTCCCACCCCATCCTAACCTTTCAATCTTATCCCATCACTCCCTTCCAATCTCATCCTTTCCATTCCTCCCTTCCCATCCCTCCCTTCCAACCCCATGCTACCCTTCCCATCTCATCCCATCAATCCTTTCCAATTCCATCCCTGCCTTCCTATCCATCCCTTCACATCCCTTCCATCCCTCCCTTCCCATCGCATCACACCACTCCCTTCACCCCCCTACCATTCCCATCTTATCTCATCCCTAACTTCCCATTCCATCCCTCCCTCACTATCATGAATCCATTCCATTCCTCCCTCCCTTCTCATTCCTCCCTTCCCATCCCTTCCTTCCCATCCCTTCCTTCCAATCCCTCCTTTCCTATCCAATCCATCCCACCCATCCCTACCTTCTTATCCCGCATTATCAATGAAAATATAGAGAACAATGCAGTTTATATTATTCTGATACTTGGGGAAGCCGTCTATTTTGCCCTACTGTTATGTCCCCCACATGTGCGAAGCGGTCGATAACGACCGCTCAAAAAGCTGCCAAAATTATACTAAAACAATAATTTAAGCCATTAAAATGTGAATTATATAAAGAGTAATTACTTTAGACGCATTTTTTAAACAAAAATCACGAAAATTTATCTTTGTAAAAAAGTGGAGGGTGTCTCATTTTGGTCTAATTTTCGCGTATCCTCTCAATACCTATCAAGATCTTCACTAAATAAAAACAAAAAAAAGCAAAAATATGCTTGAACTTGGTTTCTTGGTTCTCAAGTTACCCAAAACTTAAAAAAAAAAATTAATTTGTAAACCATTAAGTGGGTAATGGGTGACTAAAGTGAGCGGTCGATATCGACCACTTCGTACATAGACGGTTAAACATTAGCATTTTATGAAAAAGTATTTTTAATGCACATGGTAGGCGGCATGTCGGTTGGTTCAAATAAATCTGAAAAATCCTTGAAAAATGGATACAAACAAGCACATTTTATTTTTACTCAATTTTTAGTGGTTACATTTTTTTTATTGAGAAGGCTTTAAGAAATTGGACTTTGAGCATGCATGGCAACTAAGTATCGTCAATAAAAGGCCTTTTTCGAGGGGGTAAGGGAACGTGGAACGCTTAGCAAAGATTGATAACTCAAGGGTTAAGAATGGATGAAAAGCCGACCTGAAATAATCCCCATTCATCCTGAGGTAGAAAACCTGGGTTAGCGTTAGCGATCAGATACTTGTCCAGGAGAGCCAGCACTTCATTGCAGATCTTACGCAGCTCAGTCTCTACCTTCTCACGGTAATGACGAGCCATAGCCTACAGTATCATTATTATCGGGGTCATCATTATTATGATTAAAATCTTTCAAGAATATCATTACCAATAATGAGGACCTCTACAGCACATATCTAGGAAGACAATTGCATGGTTCAAGAATAAAACTCGATTTATTCCCAATCGTTTTCAAGGTTCTGTATTGTATCGAAGTACCAGTTAAATTCTGTTGACAATCTCTTCAAATTTGTATTCAATAGTTAATTCTTTTTGATCAAATCTTAAGCAATATTTAAAGGTGTATCAGTTACTTTAGTCCTTTTTTTCTCTTCTCATATTTTTTACAATTCACAATATACAAAAAATACTAGAAAAACGACAAAATCTTCCATATTATTGATCAAATGAAAGTTTCAAAGGTACTGATGTGAATCAGGCATTGCCATCTTAGAGGGTCACATGAATTCATTCTTGCAGTCCCTTCATTTTAAAATGTCAAGGGTTAATAAGAGTTTGGAGTATAAACTTAATAAATCTCATATTTAACTGATAAGAAGACCATCTATACAGTCCTCCAAATCCCCAACCTGCTTGCTCTTCTCTTCCAACCTTTGTTCCATACTCAGAACCAGCTCAACCAGTTCCTGACATATCATTATCACCATCATAACCATCATAACCATCATAACCATCATAACCATCATAACCATCATAACCATCATAACCATCATAACCATCATAACCATCATAACCATCATAACCATATATACAACCCTCCCATTAGCACCTTAACAATTAAAGTTAACTGCCTAATTTGTACTTAAGCTTGAAAAAATGGGATATGAACTTTAATAAGAACCCTTACCTAAACTATTTTCCCGCTATGGCCGCCTCCACCTTGGCAGCTGCCGCCTCCACCTTGGAAGCTGCCGCCTATTCTTGGCCGCTGCCGCCTCCTCCTAGCACTGCCGCCGCCTCCTTGGCCGTTGCCATCTTCTTGGCCACTGCCATCTCCTTGGCCACTGCCATCTCCTCCTTACAGCCACTGCCATCTTCTCCTTTGCCGCTGCCGCCTCCATTTTGGCCGCTCCCATCTCCTTGGCCGCTGCCATCTCCTCCTTGCAGCCACTGCAATGCTGGCATCCTTCTTCAAAATAATACCAATTAAATAAATTTTATCCAATATTTTAAATCTACTGTTATCAGTACAAGTAATTTGTACTGTATGTATTTTCTTTTCATGGTTTCAGGGGCGTACGAAAGCATTTCTGTAGGGGGGGAGGCAGATTTTGCGAATAGCAGAAAGGGGAGAAAGGAATATAGAAAGTAATCAATTTGCTATAGATGTCTCTTTTTGCACATTTTCTCAGAGGTTCAAAAATTAGTTGTCTGCTACAGGCAATTTAGGAAGGAGGTTTCTACCTGCCTGCATATCTATATATATATTATCTTTGACCCAACCCAATAATGCATTAAAAAAAAATTTTTACAAAAAATCCTTTAAATTGCTATTCATTAAAAGTCACAAAATTTCACGACGATAGTGTCAAAAATAAGAGTGCTAGGACAAAAAACTACAGGGGGAGGAGCGCCAAAAGCTTCCCTCCCCCCAGATAATCCCTCTTAATACTGTGGTGTAAGCTTCAAGGGATGAAAAATAGAGATTGAAACGTTTCTAAAAAATTATCTATATATTTTCTAAGGATCGATACATATTGTTTTATAAATTATGATATCAAATATATTTACACTGAAGGCAGTATTGATTAAAGCTTTTTTAAAAACTTAAATGGAATACATGCGCAATTTCAAGGGACCCTCCATTTATAGAGTGGCATGTCCGAAGTAACTTTGAAACCTTCATTTCTCCATCGTTTCTGAAGCAAGAAATGTACGAGTCACTTTTGTAGAGAAACCACAAATAAAACTAATCAGTTTTCAAAATGGGAAACATGGATATTTTACAAAGCTTTGAAGGGTTTTGTTGTGAATCAGAATATCTTATTTCTTTTCTTAATCTTTTAGTTCGGGTGATTTCAATGCAATATAGAATGTAGATTGCCTGAGGAAGGTAAATGCAAGCAGATGTAATATTAAAAGAGCCCCCCCCTCAGGGGAGCACGCGTAGGGGGGTCCGTGGGGCTCAGCCCCCCCTCGTACGCCCCTGGGTTTATTGAATACTTCTACAGATGATGTTCCACAATGACAGGGGTCGCTTGCTAGTAATGATCAAACAAATCTTTTTTAAAAATCTTATTTACAAAACTAGCGCTGAACTTTGTGTTTAATTTAATAATAGTTTCTCCAAACTTCTTACCCTGAAGAGTTTTATAATTTGTTTTATAATATAATTAATATAGATTGTATAAGTGTGATAGTGTCCGTCTTGATTTAAGGAATAAAAAGCAGTCCCTCAAACTCTAACATTATTGTGTCCATGAAAATATAGATAGGGATTAGATGGAGGGGCATTCCTTGTAGTATTATTATTCATGTTTGATTTAGTTTTCCATTTTTACCACATTCAGAACGCAGAAATGCAGAATTCCTTTTTAAAAGTGTTGTCATTTAACCATCAACTCTTTTGAGAACCTATTATTATGATCGGCCCCCTAGCCCATCCTTACCGCAGCGCTCGACCCAGAAAGTGTCTTAACCTAACCTAACCCTACATAATGCTAAATAAAAACTAATTTGGTNGACTTTGACTGAAAGAACAAGTACAATTATAATACTTACCAGTACGCCTGTCAACCTTCTCCTTGATCTCAGCGAATGCTAAAAGAATAAATTGTTAGAATTGAAAATTTGTCGCACAAAAAGCAGTTAAATAATTTATAAAATTAGCAGTCAAATATTTTTAACGAGCGCCAAGGCTAGTACAGGCTAGAGGGCCAGGTCCGTCCTAGTATATAATTTATGGACACCCCCCTCCCTATCAATTTTAATACTACAAGATACAGCCTAAAAACATAGATCCACATTGTGGCAAAATTAAAGGTTTGTAGGGTACCGTTGTGAATCAGGTATATCACTTGACTTTAAAAAGAGGGTACATTTAAACTTTTTAGAGAAATATTAACGATAACTGACCTATAATCAACCCTGTCAAAGAACTTGGACAAGGCTGTTGGACTTTACTCCAGGTTCACAAACCTGTTCCTCTGCCTTGTTACCACAAATGTGCCGGACCCGGTGACGGAGTGACTGTGTCTGTGATGAACGTTGTGCGCGTCTCGGCATTCTCTGAAACTCGGAAAAGGAATCTAGGGTGACGCGAAAAGCTGATAAAAACCCAAATCTAGGGTGCCCCGAAAAAAAAATATTTCTTGGAATGGAATTGTTAGTTTGTTTTGCTAAAAATTGATTGCGAATCCAAACTTCGCTATAGAAATGTAACATTTTACCCCGAAATTATTTGGTTTGGTAAACCATTCAATATCCATTCCCAAACATGTCGTCTTCACAATGATTTTTTGTGCTTTTCCCCAGGCAGCCCCAGAACCCCTATATCGATTTGTTCGAACTCTACTTTCGGAATCACACAAAATTTAACTAACTAAGGGTGCACGTGGATGCTGCGTAAGTTGTAATCTGTACTGTATTTATTCTCTTTTTATGGATTCAGGGGCGTACAAGAGCATTTCTGTAGGGGAAGAGGCAGATTTTGTGAAAAAAATATTGATACTTTTTATCTATTCGATCATATATACACAACACACTTCCATATTACAAGTGGAACAAAAATGTTGGGCCTCCCCTTGGCAACATTGTGCCCCCTTAAAAACCACTTTTTTGAAAAAATATTGATATTCAACTATTCGATCATATATACACAACACACTTTACAGTGTTTATACATTATTTATGTAATTTTCTTAGCCCTAAAGGCTAGGGGGTCTGCAATCATCTTTAAAAGACCATAGAAAATTGGTGTAGGTTTGAATAGATAATTTGCCAAGGCCATGGCTCATTGAAAAAAAAATTAGAAAGATAATTCTTTAATAGTTTGGGTGCCAGCTGGAGGGTTGTAAAAGATGCAAAAAACGGGTCAGAAAAAAAAAAAAAAAAGTGTTGTTTAAAACAAATATGAAAGTGTGACATATGTTTCTATTTCCATTTTTCAATGGCTTTTCAGAAATATAGTTTTTAGATCTGTAGCTTTAGTCACAATTTTAGATTCTTTTTCCCAAAGACCAGACAATTTTTTCCGCGCTGTATCCAACCCTATGTATTAAAAAAAATTCACAAAAAAATCCTTCAATCAAATTACTATTCATTAAAAGTAACAAAATTTCACGATGATAGTGTCAAAAATGAGAGTGCTAGGACAAAAAACTACAGGGGGGGGGGCCAAACGCCCCCCTTCCCCAGAAATCCCTCTTAATACCATGGTGTAAGCTTCAAGGGATGAAAAATAGAGATGAAAACGTTTCTAAAAAATATCTATATATTTTCATAGGATCGTTACATATTGTTTTATAAATTATGATATCAAATATATATTTACACTGAAGGCAGTATTGATTAAAGCTTTTTTAAAGACACTTTTTTAGTTAAGGGCAAAAGTGAAAAGGGGTTTTTTTAAACGATGTAATCAGGTGCGGATCCAGGAGGGTCAAGAGTATCTTTTGACTCGCCCCCCCCTTTTCTGGAGACTAACCTAAAGCTTTACTGTAACTTGTTTTCCAGCAGATACTTTAATATGCTTTAACAAAAAGCCAGCATGAACGATGACAGATTTAATGATCTGGCCCTAATGAACATTCATAGAGACATCTTAGAAACCGTAAAACCCACAAAAGTGTTAAAAACTTTTATAGATATAAATACCCTTGAATTAAATATATTCAATAGGTTCAGGGTTTATTTATCTTCATTTTTTTACTGCAAACAATAATTATAAAAATGCATAACAAAGTTGACCGACTTTCTTTATTCTAGAAGATTAGATCTTATATCTTTATACAACTTTGGAAACTTTACTTTTAATCCTCATGTTTAGTAGTTTACATATAAATAATTTATTTCTTAAAATTTTATTATATGGATGGGCAAAATCCAGATTCATTTTACAGAAACATTTATGGTTTTAGACTTTTAAAAGGTATTATACGACATTATGAAAAAGTTCCAACATTTCAAAACTTTATTCTGTAGAAGTTTACCAAACATGCAAATTTGTTACCCTCGAAGAAAACATAAGGCAAAAATGATGTTTTTGGGGTTTTTAAAACGATCGTTTTTAGTTTGTTTTTGTCTTGTGTTTTCACCTAGGATAACAAATTTGCATGTTTGATAATAGTAGACTTCTACAGAATACGATTTCAAATCGTTGAACCCTAGAAACCAGAGGACGTCCTAAGATCGTCATGGGGACGTCAATAATTACCAGTGCGACGTCCGGCGACGTCATATTTTAGGTGTTGAGGACGTTTAACGCAAGGATTCTTACGTCATCACGACCAAACTTTCGAAGTCGAAATGACGTCACTTTGGACGTCCAAATGACCAAAGTTTTGACCTCCAAATGACCAAAGTTTTGACGTCCAAATGATTAAACAAGTCATTTATTTATTAACCACTGAGCAGAGCCTAATTTATTCTATTAGTACAACTGTACAACTACACTGTAACCCTCCCCACTGGTATTACATTCACACCATAACTGTCCTTCTGTTGTTGTTACCCTTACCCCCACCAGTAATTGACCTTCTTATGTC